GCATTTACACAGTGCTCGTACCTCTGGACTTGTAGGCTCTATCAGAACATTCAAGAGCGTTAGTGCTCGTTTTTGTTGGCCTGGGTTTAAAAGAGATATTTTGCTCTGGTGCCGATTTTGCAAACCATGTGCTGCGGCTAAGATGACACATGGCCGTAAACAATGTGATCTACGACAACTACTGAGCGGCTCTCCTATGGAACGGGTCGCTATGGATTTCTTGAGACCACTACCACGTACCAAGAATTGACAGTGGTTTTCAATTGCGGTCAGTGTTCCCTCTAAGAAAATTTCACACTGCGCAAATATTGTTTTTACTGAGCAAGACTATTTTAAGGCTGAGCAGAATCCTAAATTATTTGCAAGTAGCTTATTATGTATTGTCGGAATGCGAACAAAGCACACGTTTAACTCGAATAGCTTCTCTTTGGTTTCGTGCCTCTCCAAGGTTTATACATTTTGTCCATGTTTGTTGTGTTTATTGCTGAATCAATCGACAATCATCCAAAGTACAATACTTGATGTACAATCTCCACATTTTTGTTGTTGAAACATCATTGCTTTCATCAAAATCATAGTATGAATTTTGCTTGTCTTATGCTCCGCATGATTTTGCTTATCAAAAATTCGAAGCCGTAATTTTTGCTTCACCATGAATGTGGCAATTTAGTGTACGTTGACAAGCAATAAATTTTGCAAAGTTTAGCAGTTGTTTTAGCTTATGCATACCGGTATCAAGATTGCAAATTAGTGTCGAACACTTCACTGTTGTATTTAGCCATTCCACTTTAAAATTAATTTTCCTATTTTTAGCTTTACTTCCTTGAATTGACATTTCACTTACACGTCAGATAAAGAAAACTAGTATATTATTGGTTTTGGTTAATATGCTAAATATGAAAACGCTTAAAACTTTTTTTTTAGTAATTTCTGGTGAAACATGCTTACAACAATGCTATATAACAGGGATGGCGAACCTTTTTCAATGAATGGGTCAAAAATTATGTTTTTATCGCGTAACAGAAGTGAGTGGGTCACAGTTACTTAATCAATGTTTGTATCTATAATTATGAAACTTCTGGAACAAATCTTATAAGCTTCTGTTGGTGTTGGTGTAGTTTTGGGCTTTACTTATGCAACGCTTCTATCAGGGACTTTATATGGCACTCGATTTTATGAAATTAGAGTACGAAATAACGCATATGAATTACCAAAAACGTTTATGATTATGTGGCAAATTATTTCAAAGAGTTGGAGAGAATTCCACTCTGATAGTGTTATATTTTTTGATCAGCTTTCAGCCACATTAAGACACTTTTACACTGCCCAATTGTTATTTCAGATTCCTAGGTTTTTATTTCAAGTTTGAAATATTTTGTTTTCTCAATGGCATTGTAGGCGAGAAACTAATAAAATGCAAAGTAGCATCTAGTTCTCGTATAACCCCTAAAACAGTATACAGATGCACTTCCGAAAAAAACAAGACGTTGCGAGAAATGAACAGATTAATTGCATTGTTATTTTATAAACGATGTCAGAGCCAATAAATGAATAACGGTACACAGCGGTGCAGACATTGAAACATGCGTCCATTTGAATCCACATTTGAATATGAGCGATCGCAGCCCTACTGCCCAACTGACGGTACATTATATTAGTTTTTAATTGTTAAATTAATTCAAGGCCGGTTTTATAAATTTTTATCACTGATATGTTAGCATTTTTTAAATTTTATTCGTGCCTTGGCGGGTCACGGATAAAACGCGGTGGGTCACTTTGTGACCCGCGGGTCAGTGGTTCGCCATCCCTGCTATATAACATGGGTATCATTCAGTTTAAGCTCATGGCCACGTGTGTACCAAATAGAGATTTAAGAGCCGACAGTGCTAGCACTCGCTTAAACTCAGCCCTTCTTCAAATTCCAGCTTTGCAACATTTGATACCTATTCAAATTCTAAACCATCCCATATCTTCATCTCTTCGATTACACGACGGACAATAACAAGATTTTGCCGGGTCGACAACACGAAGTTCAGAGCGCCGATGAAAATTTTAAAAACCGACCCACGCTGGCATACAGAAATCAAGGTATTCGTGACAGACACGTGTGTGACATCACGATGACTAGTGTTAACCAGAATACGCGTGAAACATAAAACGAGCATTCTAGTTGAGCGTTAATATAAATGACATATGAAATATGAGCCACGATTTAAAAACGAAATGTTGCTGCGCGAGCATGAGATTTTACTGCGCAAATGTTCTGGTGGTATTGCGCGGTTGCGCAGCTTAGAGGGAACCTTGATTGCGTTGTATCTAATTCTAGAATCTAGAATCTAAATAATCGTGTATTGTCTTTTAAAATGCCTGTATCATGCAAATGACCAGTTGTGTACCGGATTTTAGGGTTTTTCCTGATTTCAGGGTGTGTCTTCAGTTTCAATTATATGTATTGTTTTCTTATATTGTGATGACTGTTATATTCATTGTACCCTTTCTGTTCTATTTGGTTGTATTAAGACTGATAATTCATAAATAGATTAAAATAGCATGAATTGAAGGGAATGGAATATTGACATCAGATTATATAATTAGAAGATATTTTGGACTTAGAAAAATCATTTTTGTATAAACGATACGCTACACCATTACAATGTTCCCTCTAATTTTTTGTAGTATGTGTGCGCACTTTTTTGGAAATGACTAATATTTGTGCAAAAACCAATGAAGAAATTTTGGCGTTCTAACCGGGTAATGGGTGGGCCAACAACAAACTTTCTCAACCTGCCAACCGAGCACATTGTTACATTACATCAAAATACGTCTGTGCGCAGTAAATCTATGCGTGTGCGCAGCCTCTGAAAGCTGTGTGCGCGCGCACACCTTAGAGGGAACACTGTACACCAACGATTACAGCTTTACCCATATGGTGTGATCTACGGTAGCGTAGATATTGATCGTCTGGCTGAATTATTGTTGTTGTTGTAGTGAATATGTATTTAAGCATTACTTTTAGATTTCAACAAACAAGATTCCACTACCAAAATGCCTCGATTAAAAACTTTTTCACTCAAAAAAATACGGCTAAAGTATATATATTTTACGAAGATTCATAGTTGTTCCATCTTGCGGGTATCATCGAGAGAGAAATGAAAAACAAGAGAGAAAATATATCTAATACAAAATACAGTACAGATCAAAATTACAATCAAAAAGTTGCTCAACAATTTGCTCTCTTTCACGATTCAACTGCATTTTAGTGACATTCTATAGATTTGGGAGGGTGGCAGAATTGATGACACACAAACAAAAGTTAGTTGATTCAAAGGGCATATCATCCTATAACACAACGTGGATGGTTTTGGGAGACATTTTATTTTCAAGGGGTACAGTACTGAGACGTGTTTTACAAATAAGTAAATTTTACAATCATAACATAAAAAACATAATGAAAAGTCTGTTTTATTTAAAAAAAAACAAATTTTTCTTAAAAGCTGAATGAAAGGTAACCGAAAGTTCCTAGGTCAACTTCAAAGAATTCTTTATTTATTTCATTATATGCACAGTCCGGTTCTATTACATTTGAACCCACGTACATTTGAACCCATGACAATTGCACCTGCATGCTATTGCACCTATGGAAATTTTTTTTGTTTCACGGATATTTGAACCTATACTAACCCTAACCCATGGGTTTTGGCACCCGCATATAGATTGAACCTGCGGATATATACATGGGTTCAAATGTACGTGGATTCAAATGTACGGTCACCGCACAGTCCCATTGAACTTCATACCGTTGATAGGCGGCGTTGCAAATATTAGCTTAACACAAAGAAAGTATGCATACACATACATCGTCTAGTTATGTTGACCACTGATAAAAAAAAAACTCGCTCTTGGCTTCTGAATGTACAAACTCTGCATATGAATACGAAACGATTGTAGTTCATCCGAATGGCTCCCCGCTGTACGGAACCTTAGTGTTACAGCAGGGTTAGTTTATATATATATATACGAGTATATATCATTTCTCAGGTTGTGGGTGATCGAAGCTGATGCAACAATCGTAGTGCAGTGACTACAAAAAATTCACGCTTTTTAATGAAATTTTCGTCAGTATTTGTGCAATTACACTGCAATCTTGTTACATATAGTTTATCTACTCCCTTTTGAAAAAACACATATTGTATTTACATTTTTAGAATTTTAAACCTCTTCATCAGAAAATTGGTTCATGATAAGGTTTGTTTTAGACGGTAGAATAGGCTATACATTCTGAGCACCTTGCGATAATTAATAAAATTGCAGATATCAGTGTTACCGAACTCTTTGTTTCAGATTGAATTGTTTGTTTATAAACAAACGAAACGTATTTCTGAGTCGACGAATAATTGACATGAGCCAATCGTAAGTTCTGGGTTCATTGTAGAGCAATAGGGCGATCTGATAATTTGTTGTCGCGTTGGCCAACTTCACATGGCGCCAGTCTGTAGCTTATTGCCGAAACCCTAAGATGTGGTTTTTCTTAGTCGATGCTAGTTTAGTATTAAAAAAGTGTGATGTTATGCAAGATCATGAGGCTGTGATATTTCTTAGTTCATAGTCATGGTGACAAAAGCCGTCTTCTTCGTTTCTTGGAACTTCAAGTTTACAGCGCAGCTTGAAACTGGCTAAAAGATTATAGAGAAATGACAAGAAAACTACTGTACCGCAGACGGTTTTACCGTTCTGACAATCGGAAAAAGCCTAATTCTGCGAATGGAATGTCAAAATGGCTGATCGAAAGCCAATTCCAACCTAGACCGTTGTCAGCCAAGTATAACTCATTTTAGAAGGAAATTTGCGTATTATTAGAAGTAGGGGCCATGTGCCTTCATTCGACACAGATAACAAGTGCGGTAATTTAATTAATTAACATCGGTAATTTGAAAAGTGTCTTGTCCCAGAAAAATGTTGCTGCATGATTTTTTTACGCACATCTTTTCAACTGCATTAACTGGCGTTCATATATTCAGATATATTTTAGTTCAAACCAAACTCATCTTGTTAATTGTGAAAATGGCAACTCTTTCAACTTCCATTATATTTGTGTCATTGTTTTCTTTTTGTGTAGCAACTTCAACAGTTCAACAGCGACAAGCGTTTAAAACTTGTATGAAAGGCAAGCAAAGGTATCATTTATTTCTCCCTAATTTACTGATTGAAATAGGAGTCTAATTTTTACTTTTCTATAATTAAGGAAACGTTTGGTAGTTATCGTTAGTGCCATGCTGAACTGATTAGGTTCCGTGGGAAAAATGGTCTAATAATAATTGATTGGTTGACATGGTTGTAGAATCTTAGACCTGTTCGAAACAAAGGTGAAACACGTTTGGATATTAATACGAATAATAGTATGCACTAATGGCATAAGTTGACGAGAAAATAAAATAATTTTTCCAGAAGACATTTCCATCTTTACTACTAAAAAGTTAATGTATTTTTTATTATTAATTTTCTAAAAAGATTCAGAAAAGTTGTGTCCAGCGTTTGTCGTTTAAGCTCAAACCAAATTGTTGGCCTTTTTTTAGAATCGGCCAATTGTCTGAAGATGCAATTGCACACTGTAGAAAATTAGCGCGACAGAATCAACCGCCAAACACAATTCAAGAAAACGGTGAGCAGTGTTAACTCTAAGCAAATTATGAGTGCGAAAGTGCTTCGCAGTCGAAAAAAAAAGTGCGAAAGTGCTTTTGCCGATTTTCACAAGTTATGTGCCCTAGCCTTTCATATAACCCATTTAAAACGGCATAGATACTCGAAAAAGCGCTCCACCGGTTAATATTATGAATTAAAGAGAAGCCTTTTCGTTAACCGAGTTCCCTTTAAGCGAATTCATGTTTACTTAAAACAAGCGAATTCATCGGCAACGAAATAACATCTGCTAACACCTGCCGCGGACAAAACTTTCATGCAATGTATCACGGTGTCAGTTGCTTACTCGCCTAAACAGCAAAGACTTTCACATTTGTTACTCCTTCCATCTAACAGACACGAGGCAGGCTGGAAACCATATTAGTTACAGGGTGGATCGTTTGTACAAATCCCGTGCAAAATAATCCCCCAAATATAAATAGCCTAATTAGGGTTAGGTGCGCTGGAAGTTCAACTCTTCGATTTATCCCTAAACCTTATTTGATAATCATTAATTTTTGATTTTGAACCACTTTGAAAGTCGCCACCCGCTGTTTTAAAAGATAGGTTAACCTACGTTCCCTCCGAAATATTACGCAGGATACTCCCCTGTTTTAGGAGATAGGTTGACCTACTTTCCTTTCAAACTTTTTTCTCCGAAATATTACACAAGATCACTTTGAAAATCCTCCCGTTTCGTGAGCTAGCGTGACCTAATTCCTCATTTACATTTATATTATACTATTTCAGAGCTTACCCAAAAACAAGTAATTTTTAAATGTCGACATGCCTTGGTTTGCGTGCGAGTTAGTTTAAATCGGGCAGAAAACATCATATATTGGCAAAATGTTCAGTAATGTCATGTACTTTCAACATTCATAAATAGCACTCTTTGTAATGCTGCTGACCTAGTATCAAATATTCGCATCACAACGCCACTTGCGAGGTTTCCATATATTTCAATTACACTAATAGGAACGATGACACCAAAGAGTTTTCTTTTGCGAAGGTACACTAAATATAAGGAGGGTGATTCTTGAGAAAAACATGAATAAAAAAAATAAACGAATGATATGATAGTGGATCCCAAATAATTTTGACAGTGTCCCGAAATACCAATCCATTTGATAAATAATTTTTATTCGACCACATGAACGCTGATATTCTGATAATTAATGTTGAAAGAGAATTACGCATTCTCAGATATCGGACATCCAGTCGCGATATTCAATCGTTCATATGCACAAATCTCACATTAATAGTAATTGCTACCCAAGTTTGTAAAATTTAGAAACCAACAACAGAAAATAACTTATCCTAAAACACAATTAAAATTCAGTCGGCAATAAATTCATCGCCAAGACGATGCCATACAAAACAAAAGAGATTTGGTCGCGAGAGATACGTGAGATGCTGCCGTTGATTTTTAAGCAAGAATGAAAAATAATTTATAATTAATAAACGGGAGTTACGACGCCCTTTACACATCGTGTGTATTAAACTTCCCTGGTAAGTACTTTGGTAAGTACTAATATTATTGTACTTATACACCTGTTGGGAGTATTTCGGACAATTTCGAATTTAAATAAATGAAAACCCGACATATAATAAGACGCAAAAGTAAAATGAACATTTATTGAAAAAGTTATTATTTAAGAAAGACAACAATGATCGTACAATTCCGCCAAAACCTCGATGTTCGCAAAGTGAGATGATAAATAAATACTTCCCTGTATTCGATCAATTAACTTTAGCGTATCGTTGATCCTGCCAACAAACAAACAGCCGGGTGCAAAATATTTCAGTCCTGTGATATGCTCACAAATATTCTCGATATTAAGATCATACCCTCGCGTATGTACTTTCTATTAGCTCTTTAGTGATCCCTTCCATCCTTGGCCAAGTCATGTTTCCGAATAGGTGAACATTTTATTCGACCATACATGGCCGGCGGGATGTTAAAATTGTAAACAAGAGAGAGGTAAAATCAATCGCGAATTTCGTTATAACGGCTCGTTTACGAATTGTTGCGCCTGTTATCGTCGAAAATGATTACATTTGTTGTATTTGAGGCATTCAAGCAGAAATAATTAGGGCATGACATCATCAAAAATCGTCAGTGAGATCTTGAAATTGCAAATTCCGTAAATAAATTGTGAATTATTCGGTAACGAATTCAGCTTTTAATGACCGTCGGGTATTGTTTAGTTGAAAATTATTATTATTGTGAGAGCGCCAAAAACATACAGTCCATACCGATGCGACTGCAATTTATATGGTCGCAATTGTGTGGTGCGTTTTATTAATAGTGTAAAAAAAATTTAACGAATATCAATTATAACCAAGCCTGTCAGCGTGTTTATTTTCTGTGGGCAGGAATCGTAAAATACCATCTTGAGACAAATTCACTTCTATCATAAAATCTTAATTTTCAGTTACTATCGTTATACAAATAACGTGTGGCAACTTTTTAATTTATTGTCGACCAAAAACCGCCCCACACTCGTCCAAACGTGTGTCGAGCTTTGAACGACAAGAACAGATTCATCGACGACCTTAAATTAGGGAAAATATGTATTTTAATTGGGAATCGCAAAATAAATTGTAACAAACGCATTTTTGTGATAAAAACTTTGTATCTTCGGAAACGGGTTGCCGTGAAAGGAAAAATTTGATCTAAATTAAATCGCAAAAATGTTTTATTTTAAATGTAACAAAACACATTTTGCGATATAACCTTGTATTTTCGAAACGGGTTGTCCTGAAAAGTAAAATAATGATCTAAATTAATCGCAAAAATGTTTATTTTAAATGTAACAAAACACATTTTTCGAGATACAACTGTATTTTCGGATACCGGGTGACATGAAGAGTAAAAATATGATCTGATTAACGGCAAATAATGTTTCATTCAAATGTATCATAACGCTTTTTTGCGATATAACTTTGTATTTTCGAAAACGGGGCGTCACGAAAATTAATAATCTAATGTTTTATCTATCGTCTAACTAACGTCTGGAACAACATCATATTTCGGGGAGAAACTCCTAGCCCGCGAAACGTCATTTAATTTAAAATAAAGAATGTTTCACGCATTTCAAAACGGAAAATCACCAGTAAGTGGACAGGGATTCAACCCTCCGGATTCAGTATTCTATATCCCCGTGTCAAAAGCTTTCTGAAGAATAGAACTAAGAACCCGTCAACCGCCCGCGGAAGAATGGGAGTATTTTTTTGCACTAATACTTAGGGCATGACAATATCAAAATCGTCAAGAAACTGGTGAATTTGCAAATTCCATAAATAAAATTGTGAATTGCTCGGTAACATTTTAGCTATAATTATACGCCGGGGTATTGTTTTGTTGAAAACACGTTGAAACTTGAGGGAATTAGTTACAATTAGCGCCTGACCTCTATTAGGCAACTCGAGCACCTCGAAAAAAAGCACTCGAGCCCAATCTTTTTAGCATTAAGTCGCATACGTAAAATATCCTGTAAAAGAAGTGCTGTTCATTAACGCCATCTCGTCTTATGACCACGCAGAAATGCATTTATTGCCGAATTATTCAATCACTATTTGAAATCAACATTCAGATTGGCACAATTTCAGGTTTGCGAAGTTTATCACCATAGAAATACATGACAAAGTTAATTATCGTCTAATAAATATCTGCATCAACGGTATGGACAATAATATTACCATTCCATAAAATTGGGACGGTAAATTTACAAATCTTGATAGGTAATATTAAAGCCAACGCAAATGTTAATTTGAGTCCTCAATGTCTTCAACAGCTGTTGACGATGTGAACGAACGGGTAAACCCGAAATATAAAACTTTGATGACCGCCGACCCACAAGAATTCATATTTGTAAAAAGGAGAGGGCGGGAATATAGATTACCCAAAACCTGGATATCGCCGCCAAAACGATCGGTGACAAGAACAATTAGCCATTACAACGGAATTAACCAGTAAAAAGGCTTTATTGCCGATTTTTTAATGTTTCCACCACGTTTATTCCGTACTCCTTAAAAACATTCGATTCAAAAAAATATTGAATTTTGCCCACCTGTCCTCACATATCAATGAGGAATAGTTGTGTAAATATCGCAAAATTCCGGAAAATGCCACGTCCTTTCAACATTGTGATTACAATAAAATGGCACTTAATGGTATTTTGTGAATTTGGTGATTTTGCAAATCTGTGACATGCTGCTAAAAGTTTCGTCTGATTTGAAAATCGTGCAGTTTGGTCACAATTCATCCAAAGTGACTACAACACATTACTAACACTTTTATAGTCATTTTGAATTCATCGATATCATTGATAGTCACATGACCTTCAAAGAAACGCACTGCCTAGTATTCCAACATCTGGTTTCAAACACCCGGGAGCGTTTTTTGCGGGAGAAGCGGAATCGGTGTGCTTGTATAATAATCATATTATAAACAAGAATTTTGCCGTTAATGCAAAAGCTTTATCTCCTTTGTCTGCATCTCATAGGTTAGAATTCCGATAAATATCGTTATGATATGCAGAATTGAGTTACAAAAGTACTAGTATGTTACTTATTTGTCAACTTAATACTCAAAATATTTGTTAACTTTGAATTTTTATTCCATTCAAAATCGGAAAAAAGTGCTTTTCTCTTCAAAATCGGAAAAAAGTGCTATTTCGCAGTCCCTAAAAAAAGTTGCGAAAGTGTTTCGCAATTTTCGCAAAAAGTGCGCTAATAGTGAACACTGACGGTGAGTATCTACGTTAGTAAGATCACATGGTTGAATCATGGATTTTCAAAGTTACCACCTAACGGCAGTGCATAGTGAATGGTACACCTTGAATTTTGTATTCATGTTTTCACGTTTAAAATGTTAATCTAGCTTTTCGCGAACTTGTAAATGACGCTGTTGTGACTTAACGTTGCTTTGTTTTTACAGATGCGGGTCGAGATGAACATCAACACATCGCTACAAAATCATCTGAAGAGATAGCATTCAAGTATTTTAGGAGTAAGTTTATAGATTATACATGAGGTTAAACTTATAGATCAAATGTTTTCGTCTCTCGATCGAGCTTTACATATTTTAGGAATTCAATCGCACAAACAAAGCCCTTCCTAATCAACAAACACGTCATCTCCGTGCTCCGTTTGTGATCCCAATCCTATGATCATGTCATAATCTCCCCTTCACCAGGAATTTAACGGATATGCGATATAACAATGTGATTATTTTTAGATCTTGGAATGTGGAAGAATGGTCTGACGGAATTGGGAACTGGATTATTGGACGAGATTTGTTCGTGTTGGAGGCGATCGGAATCTGTTAAAGAAGAATGGACGTCGCTATTCGAAAAAAGAAAAGACAACGAAGTTGCCATGTTGAAAGTCGTGAATCAGAGATGGACAGGAGAAGAAGGAATTGCTTCATTTGCTCCAATTTCAAAGAAGTATGCAACTGTTTTAATTTAGTTCTTGTCTTTCAAAACCCTCACTTTTAGCTTTGATAGACGCGTGATGTGTAACGTGAACAATTACTCAAATTTATTTTTTTGCGTTCATAGGTTGCACATGCAGGATTTGACAGCCGGAGAATTGATATTGCATCGTGTTAGCCCTTCCAAAATCGGAGAAAACTTCGGAAGATATCGCACTGCGGTTTATTCTACTTGGAGAAATGTTAGTAAATCTAGGATTCATGCCGACTTTCAGGTACGAATGTGATCAACTTGACAATTTTTTACTTGTGAAGTAGGCCTATCTTCGCGTTTTTTAAAGTCATATAGAGTATAGACGTCCTATGAGGTGGCAATCCTATGACATCATGATATTTTAAAATGTTTCACATTTTCAGTCAGCCTGTCCATCTACTAAGGGAAACATAATGATGCTAGACCTTGACCTTCAAAACTTGGTGGAATGGAGAATCGCCGGTGATCAATTGTTGAAACTTCACATTCGTGTCCTGCCTCGTCGGCAATATATTGCTGGCGGTATGCACACAGCAACTAAGACCAGAATATCGGTTGTGGAACAAGTTGTGGGTCTTGTTTTGCACTTCACTCAACCGAAAGAAGACATTTCGCCACATTTGGCTCGTGCTTTTGTGAAACCTTCGGTCAGATCAGATGGAATGTCAGAGAATGACTTGCCTAAACTTGTTCCGATAGAGAATAATGAAGCGCAAGCAGATGCTATCAAGCAAGACGGAAATGATGATACCATGAAGATTTTACTAGGAACTGGAACGTCATCGAATGAAAAGAGTACAGTAAATCGAGGTAATTTAAATTCAGATTTTCATATGCGTCTAGAGCAGTCGTTTCCCCAAAGCGACGTCATACACATTGAAAAATGAAATATGGCGGGGCGTTTTGTTGCCATGAGCAACCGTCATCAAGTCAGACAAAGGATATTCCAAAGATGAAAACACACCTCGTTTCATAAATGCCATCTTGCTCCTGAAACGTTGCGCAATTATTAAATCGTAGACAAATAACCAGCGTCATGCGTTAACTGTCTGTGTTTTCAAATTTGGATGCTTTATGACGACTCTTGCTTGCTTTAAAGCGCCAGTTATACTATTGAGTTTACCCATACAGCCTAATTACGTTTGTATACAGTCTCGGCGAGAGCAAAAAGAAGCGTCGGAAAGTCCAACCGCAGTCGCCAACGACGTGTGCCGGCAAACACAAGACCTCCACCAACAGCTGCAACGAGAACGCCACAAAAATGTAGAAGAATGTCTCATCGACTAAGCCCAAACGCATACAGGGTTTGTAATCACGTGACTTTGCGCTACGTGCTCTAAACTCTAAAGCACATAATACATTGTAATTCTTTATTGAGTCATAACTGGCCGCCATGGTATATTTTGATAAACGATCCATTACGAATATTTCATTTTATAGGTATTTGTTAGTGTTACGTATTGAAAACTCAATGTGGCGATTTAAATGCATTTAAATCACTCGAATTTTGACAAAATATATCTTTTTCATGGTAGATCAATAACACTTTCAATGTTCATTATCGCCGCTCATTTCATTGCTCCTTTTTGCATTTGACCCCGGCCATTTGTGACCAATACAAATTCTAAATGCCAATCCAAATCCAATAATTCTTATTGATGATTCATTTGAAATAGGATGTGGAGTGGAGCAAATTAAATTAAAAACGTTAATGATTAAAATTTGGTTTGGTTAAACCTAAATTCAATGGAATGCAATTACTGCATCTGTTTGTAGTTTTAACTACGTCGAACTTGTTTTGAACAGAGACTGAGAATTCGTCATCCAGAGTACGAAGATGAAATGTTTGATATCGGAGAATGTATGGGAGATTGTCCGCGATCATTAGCTTCAGAAAATTTAAATGTAACTTATCATACTGTCGCTATTTCAGAGGTAAGTATAACTTTTACTTCAATGATTTTGCAGTTCTCGGGTGAGAAGCAAGGTTCCCTCTAAGGTGCGCAACTGCGCAATGCGCAGTACCACCAGACTATTTGCATTGTTAAATTTACATTCTCGCGCACTTGCAACATTACGCTTCCAAATCGTGGCTCCTACTCATATTTTCTAGCGCCTAGCTAGAAAGCCCCTTCTACGTTCCATATCGTCACGCTAATAACCGAATTGCTTAAGTCATTTTTGGCGATTTTGAGTTTTATTTATAAAATAGGTATTTATGTAATGCTGCGCACCTGTCTGTTAACTCGGATTTTATTTTAAGAATTCCAAAACCCATAAAAATAGAGATTTAGTATGAAATGCACATTTGTGCAATAGTTTCTTCATAATGAATTATCATTGTTACCTCAGGACTATTGTGACGTCACAAAGGCAAAATAACCTCGGCGAAGTACTTTCGAGTTTTTGCATCTCGGATTCTAGCTTAGCGCGTATTAATTTGAATTTATACTACAGTATAGAAGACGTGCACTTGTGATATTCACTGTCCGAGTCCAATTCACCTTGGTTGGCTTTTATATTGGGTGCATTGCTGTTTTATTCTTTATATTTAATCTTGGTCTTATTTCGGTGGGTGTGCAGAACGTGTTATATTGATGAAATATATATTTTTAAACATAAAAAATAATGTAATTGAAACTGATTATCTATTCTGGGGATTAGACATTGTAGATACTGAGAATTACATTCGTTTTTGGAATGTTTAGTTTTCAGGACTGGTGCATATAGTAAGTTGCAAAATTACATATGTCCCCAAGTCATAAACACATTTCTGCCTAAGTCACAGTGCGCCATTATGACGTCACTCAACTGCGTCATACAAATTAATTTAAATCCTGCTACGATCAAAAAATTGAACCATGGCAAATTATTGATCGACTCTCAATGACATAATATCATTAAAAAGTTTTTTACGTTTTTCTCAAAACTGCTAAAAATGACCTACGTAATTCGACTATTAGCGTGACGATATGTAGTTTGCTTGCCACTGTTCATTGTGATGTCACATACGTGCCTGTTACCTCCAAGTACCTTGAATTCTCTGAAATCATTTGGAACGGGATAGTTTTAGTCGAGCCCACAAAGTCTGGCGCATTCTTATAATATATCATATTATTGTAATATTTCACATAGTTTGTGGATCATTTAGGTTTCTGCTCAGCCTTAATGCTCATTAAAACGAACATTTGGTCAGTGTAACATTTTCCTAGAGGGAACACTGGTGAGAAGTACTAATAAATGAAATAAAAATAATGACATTTTTGTTCTGGCAGAGTTTAGGCACTAATCCGGATTTGACCGTATGCTGCGTTCCTCATACGTATAAAAATGTATATTATACCGGATATTCAGATGAAGAATATTTCTTCCAGAAGATTCTCAAAAACCTCAAAGCAAACTCGTGTGCATGTCGTTAAAACAGTTGATGCTTTTCACTGGAATACATATTTTTCATTCCCCTTTTTGTGATATGAACGTACAACCGACCACATGACAATTTATGACGATGTTGCTGTTACTCGGTATAATGTTGTCAGTTGTACATTAATTTTTGAACGATGCTTCGTATAAATATACTATTTGCTTCAATGTCAGAACGCAACATTTTCTTGAAATCGTTTCCACCTCTTGTTGATTTCCATAATACAATTTAGTACATATTGGCTTACTCTTAATTAGATCAGATTTTGCCTGAATTTATAGGTTACTCATACTTGACAAAATGTTTATCAATGTTATCGGGATCTTTAACTTATATTCGCCATTTTGGTACATTATGTTGTATGGCTGTTATTATTGCAAAAATGTTATTGCACATTAAATAAATAGTTGAATGTTAAATCCAGTTAAAGTAAATAAAACGTTTTTTCTCTTGTAAAAGTTATTACATTCGACGCGAGTCTTACGTTTTTATGTGGAGTGATGCAATATATTGGTTGACAGCAATTACTGATTCGAAAGAAAATTGTTCCTGGGTTGCAGTGTTTATCACGAGATTTAAGGCGTTTCTAGGTATCTAAGAGCTGAGGTCATCGGGGGTCAGATCCCGAATTTCAAGCTGAAGTAAGTCCAAATATTCAGCGCGAATTTAAGCGGACTCATTTCGCGGGAATGACACTGATCAATAGTGTAGGGAAGCGGTTTATTTATCTGGGCTCGTTCATAACAGCTTGAATTACTGGTATCGGCAGTCGTTCCCCCCGACTGTTTTTGCCCCCTCCCGTTGTATCTTCTGTGGCTCCTTTTCCAACTTTCGATCGCCCATCAGTGGTAAGCTAGTAGTAAAAACTATAATCTGTTGCAACTGACATCTTACGTTGAAATTACGTAACAGCATATATATCAAGTCTATTCTATGTTCAGTGTTTTAAGCTTATATATCAAAACAACAGCAACCAATATATACATATATAGGCACAAAGCGATCTACTACTACTATCATGTCTTTTCTTTGATATATATTTTTATCATCCAAATATGTTGTTATCGTTTCTCACATGGCTTGGAAGGTAGAGTATAACACGGAGCAACACCTTGTTACGCGTTTGCAAATTTCTGAAATAGAAACGATTTGATGGTTATAAATGAGTCACCGTAAAAACGAACAAAGATTTGAAAATTTAAACCGCTATATTCAAGTTTTAAGTTTCTTACATCAGGTTGTGTATAAACCGGAGCTGGCTGCTGCATCTGAAACGAAGAAATTTTATCGTTTCTGAGAAAGGTTTTTCACGTTGTATTGGCATGTATTTTTCCATGTGGACATGGTGATTAGCAAGATGATTTAGGTTGTAAAAGCTGAATTCACCTTTGCAAGGTAATATATATCACTTGAAAGTCCAAATCTGTTTGGGGTTTTTGGGAAATCCTATTTTCAAGTGGTCGTGTCATAAAGAATTCATATTTTGTCGCATGCTTGGCAGTAAACAATCTTTGATTGAAAATATACAAAATATATTCGGAGTTTTGTAAAGTATAACTTATTAGAACGAGTTGTAGTATATAACTGTTTTTTTCACGTGACTTAACTGTTTTTTTCACGTGACCGTATCAAAGAATTTATATTTTGTCACATGTCTGGTAGTAAACAATCTTTGATTGAAAATATACAAAATATAATTCGGAGTCTAGTAAAGAATTATTGGAACGAGTTGTTGTAGTAACTGCCCCCCCCCCCCCTAAATTATTAGAATAAAAATACACAGTGAAATATGAGGCATACAGTCTCGAATGAGAACGTAAATACATATCAAACAAACATTATATATAAATATCACCTGTTGCGGGTGTGTATTCCAATTGGCGTAAGTTTGAACTTGTGGCTGAGGTTGATAGCCTATTAAAATGTAAGTATCGAGATTAATTGAAATGAAGTACATGGGTCTTGTTGGAAAGTGCGAAACGCTCTCAATGATGCAAAATACATTACCTGCATTTCCTACCGGAACGGTCATCACTGTAGTTGAGGCTATCACGCGACCCTGTACATTTGAAAATTTATTTAAAATTATATTTTCCGGATTGAGAGCACAAGGTGCGTCATAGAAACATATATATATATATATATATTAAAATTGAAAGATAGGTATTTCATAAATGCACCGTGTACTTATATTTATATATATATCAGTAAAAATAAACTTCACATAGGTTGTGACGTATTTGATTAGATCTAGACTCCAGGACAGGGGTGGGCAAGGTTTCTGGACCAGGGGCAAAAATCTTGACTGGCGGGTGATGTAAGTGTGACGTAAAAAGTTACATTTTATAAACAGAATTTTATTTACAGTGTTTCATGAGCAAAACAATAAGCCTCGTAACAAAACTGAATTTAATCACAAATTCAACAAATTCCTTGAGCTATTTATTAGCTAAAACATCAAAATTTAGTTTTAGTTTGGTTGTGGAAATTGCCAACCTAAAATATAACTTACACAAACTACGATCATAATCGTAATCAGATTTCAATAACAACAACTATGTAGTGCATGCGGAATTGATTAAAAGCGTAAATTTATAGCAGCATCAGGCGGGTCAGATTGAATCACCAAATAGGCCAGATTTTGCCCGCGGGCCATAGTTTGCCCATGTCAGCTCTAGGATGACAAGTAGCAAAGATTATTCTCATTACGTATGACTGACTTCTTGACCAGTGACAGCTCGTTATGCACAAAAGTTCAAACCACTTCATGAAAAAGGGTAATATAAAAACCCTTTTTTACATTCATTAGCTATAGCGTGAGTATTCTACTTTTCAATGTTTTGATTGGCTGGCTTGAAACCATGGGAATAGCTGGGGTTCAGTTCAGCATGGTCGTCTGAATTGAGAAAACCCGTTGTTAGGGAATTCGACGACAACAATGAGAACCCGTTCTTAAAATTTTACATCATGGTTGTGCGTGCACTTCGTTTTTGTTATATACATATATATATATATATATACTAAAAGCCCAATAAATAGAAATATTTGTTACCAGTGCTACAATCTAACCTGGTGTGTACGGTTTCCGCAGCCTGCTGAGCAGCAATATGCCGAATGAACAATAGCCAATATGAATTCGACAAATGATAGAAATGCCAAAGCTCCGTGGATTCCAACCAATGTGCTAGTCTAGAAAAAGCATACATACATATCAATTCTTTAATAGGCAAACGTCAAAGGAAAGAGTAGAGGAGGGAGGTTAAATATCGGCTACTCACCCCATTTGTAAGAGCTGCCCAGAATGTCGCAGCCAAAGCATCCGCGATCGCTGCGCCGAAAGCCGCTAGGCTAGCAAGTATAGAAATTACAAGCCCGGCCACAACCTGTTAGAAAATACATGTAGCATTTGATTTATTACAATCCATATGTAAAATGACGAATATTGAAACATGATAAACAAAAACAATGCAGATAGACCACAGCAACGATACGTGAATACCTGTGAAAAGCATCAAGTCCTTTAGACTTATAATGATACTATCATAATGTGTATTGTGAACGTGCATTAGCTATTGTAGTTAACTTACGTTACAATCGTTTGGGTTCACACCCGAAGCTATTCCAAGGCTGCCCGATATAATGTACTGAAACAGAAATATTTTATCAATATTAAACAAAATTCATTATCATACGAGTGAATAATATTTATTGCAAAAAAACTGTAAAAAGCATGCAGACGGTTACCCTCCAGCAAAAATAAAACGAATTTACTTTTGAGACCATAAAAAATTGGCTTAAATAAGATAACAACAGGATCTCTCATTTTATAAAACGGTGCTGGATATCCCATGGCCATGATTATGCAAGAATTATTTTAAAATACAAAATTAAGAAAATCGAGTGGTGAATACCTACCCAGATACCTCCCCATAATCCTGCTCCAACATAGCTGAACGGAAAAGGTATGACAATGTAAACTGCTATTCCAAGACACACACACAGAGCTCCGATGGATACTTCAGCGATCTGAAAAGTTGGGAGAAAAAAGGTAGAAGGTTGAGGAAATAGCTATTCTAGCAAATCACTCAGAAATTGAAAGTGAAGACATCAGCAAAAACTCGAATTGCTGGTTAAGTTCTGTATCTGTGCAAGAATGTGAGAAAGAGGTCAGATGTAAGCATTATTTGGGCATTATAACATCGAATTTGGGAGGAAAACCTATCCATGCATGTTTATTATACCTCTTATATACTCGTTTCATAGCTTTTCATAATTAACGTTGAAATACAAATTACAATCTCACAAAAGCATTCGTAGTTTTTGATAAAGCAATCCATGAATTTGCTCACATTATTGAGTTATTATGCCGCGAAATAAAAATGATTTAGATGTGAATTTTATCAAAACGGCAATGAGAAGTATTAATACCACGACCAATGTGACATCAATCTAGTTTGAACCTATTATTTATTGATGGCATAAGAACAAACCCCAATTCCAAGAAAAGTGCTTTTATTTTTTGTTGCGCGATGTGGCTCTTCATTTGCAGTAACAATACCAGGTGACTGAACTATGTATGATGCTGGAAGCGGTTGAGTGGTAGCGTAGGTTGTCATTGCCTCCTGCTTTGAATTTGTCCAATAGGATATAACTACAAAACTCAAGTTCCTAAAATAATCTGGCGCGTGGCAGTAGGTAATAGTTACAATCATGAAAGTTGATATTTCTTCTACGCTATTTCTTCTCGGTTAACTAACAAGAGGCTTGTTGTTAAATTGCCCAGGGTCAAAAACATCAAAATCAAGTCTTAAATGGTTGATATGTTTCAAACAAAAACACAAGCCCGGCCCAAACTCGACATTGCACCCTAATGAAATACCTGATAGCATTTATATAAAATGAGCTGCTCTACAGTTGGTCTATCATAGAGTCTAGAATTCTCCTTAACTCAACTCACCTTTTCTTATGGCGATTTTTAATCGGCAACGCTATCTATTACAACACATTTACTCAGCAAATCCGCTACTGCTAATTTGTCTATAACACCCCTACAAGCGGATTTTTCTACAAATCCAACGTGAGCTTTTATGCGAAATTTTGAGTTCAATGGCGCCAAAGTATTTGGCAAAAAATTTATTAACTCACTCGTGCCTGGATTATTGTTGGCATTTCCATGGCAATTTAGTCATAATAGTCTCTCTAATACGCCAAGCTAATTCGAATGTACTTTGTAGTTATAACAACTACTACCCCGTATAAAGAGGGAAACTCCGAGAAAAACACAACACTTGGAGGGCCCGATCAAACAAAGCTGATTTACCGCGATTATTTAACACAAAAAACGTTGAATTCGCCATTGTCTGTACTTTGTAAAGGATGCCAACGAACAATATAATATGTTTGTTCCTCAACAATTCCTAAAGAATTTGTCCGATTAAATAAACGGTATATTTATTCAACTTGAATAGCAAAATCAGCGAAAAATACCCAACGTAAAAAATCTTTAGTGTTGTTACCTATCGATCTTAAGATCGTTACTTATCGATCTTATTACTTATCGATCTTAAGATCGGTAAGTATGTTGATAGGTATTTGTCTGTTTGCTTGTTTGTTTGTCTGTCTGTTAGATACACGCGATATCTCACGAAGGCGAGGTTGAATCTGCTTCAAATTTTGCATGTGCATTCATCATATCTCGGATCAGAAGTCTATCGATTTTAGATGAATTATGTCGTGTAATTAACGAGTTATTAATTAATTAGTGATCGGACACACGGTGTCACTATGGAGTAAGAGCGGATGAATCGAAACCGCAGTTTCAGTTTTGGGGGATCCCCTAACTTTCAATCGATAAGTCTTCGGTCTCCGACCGATATTCTCGTTTGTTGCGTTGTTTCATTTCTAGAAGGTGATATGGTGACTGCGGCAAGATTTTCACGTCTGTTCCAAGATTCTGGTGATCTAAATATGTTTTTTTGTAATAATGACAGCAATAAAAAAAGACCACAAACTAATCTACTATTTTGAATGAAATCGTTTTTGACGATAATAGCAAATAATTTCGAGGAAAAGTTTTTTCAGAAATAGTTTGGTTTTTAAATAAAATTAAAGTATCAGATACGCTTTCTACAGAAACGGCTGCGTATAAGAATTTTCGACCGATCTCAACTCAGAAATACCCCATCTATCTGTTGCCATAACCTAACTGGCAGTCAGCTTCTGAAATTGATTCATTGACAAGCTAACATAAAAAAAACCGTGTAACCAGTAGCAAATGATTTCCTCTATTATTCATACAATCTTTGATTTGTGCGATTAACAGGTCTGGTAAAACACAAAAACTGCTTCGATTAACACCAAGTCTAAAATTCTGTATCTATTGTCGGATACAAAGTAAAACGATGGATTGGTTTGCTAAATCGTTACGGTTGGTGTACTTCGTCACGCTAATAACCGAATTGCGTAAGTGATTTTTAGCAGTTTTGAGAAAAACGTAAAAAACTTCCTAATGATATTGTTATGCCATTGAGAGTCGATATTTTGCCAAGGTTCAATTTTTAGATCGTAGCCGGATTTAAGTTAATTTGTATGACGCAGTTATGTGTCGTCATAATGGCGCACTGCGACTTACGCAGAATTGTGTCTATGACTTGGGGAAAACCAAACAGTCCTGAAAACCAAACAATTCAATAACGAATGTTATTCTCAGTATCTACGATGTCTAATCCCCAAAATAGCTAATCTGTTTCAATTACATTATTGTTTATGTTCAAAAATATGTATTTCATCAATATAACACGCTCTGCACACCCACCGAAATAAGACTAAAATTAAATATAAAGAATAAAAGAGCAATGTACCCTTATATAAAAGCCAATCAAGGTGAATTGAATTCAGACAGTAAATATCACAAGTGCACGCCTTCCTATACTGTAGTATAAATTCAAATTTATAAGCGCTAAACTAGAATCAGAGATGCAAAAACTCAAAAATCCTTCGCCGAGGTTATTTTGCCTTTGTGACGTCACAGGTAACACCGAAAATTCTTTATGACGAAACAATTGCACAAATGTGCATGTCATACAAAATTTCAATTTTTAAGGGTTTCGGAATTCCTAAAACAAAATCTGAGTTAACAGACAAGTGCGCAGCATTACATAAATACCTATTTTATAAAACTCAAAACCGCCAAAAATGACTTACGCAATTCAATTATTAGCCTGACGACTTGTTGTTGGGACAAAAATATCATTGTAACTACTGAACCAACCCTTTTAAATATACATCGAAAATGATGGCGGATCCTTCTTAGGAGGTTAATACGGTCGATTTTTTCATATTTTTGTGTATGGGCCCCGTTGCTGGTGTTAAGAAAAATTGTATTGATAGTTAGTTGAATAGTTTCATGTTTTGTGAAATAAAATTCTTGTAAAAGTAAAATTTCATTACAAATTTAAAATTTCAAAAGCAGTGTTTCATGATGCATGTCGATAAAATTAAATCGGAACATTTTGAAACATTGTGGAAAGTTTGAATGTTTCTATTTACCGTCAATGTATTAGCCATACAAAACAAACTTTATGTCCAAAGTTTCCTAACATCTTCAGTTATATAGAATTCACTATCTCGAAGATTTTTTTCTAGCCGTATTTGACAAGAACTGCTTTAAAAGTGACGCGTAACTTGGCATTTACAAACTTCTTCCCTATAAGTCGAATTCTTCCCTATAAGTCTTTGTAGTCTCGGTAGCTCGTAACACGGAGAGCTGGTATCTCCTGACCGGAGGTGATACTGTTTTTTTTTTCTTCAAAGTAGAAGTTGCACATCAAACACTGAATGTTCTGTCACATAAATGATATGGGACCAAACTTGCTTAAACCATAACTTATTACGTCAAACGTTACGTTGCGGTTAACCGGTCAATTTTACCTGGTTAACGGTTAAAGTGTTTTCCCTGAAATTTCCAGCCATAATTATTACAAATAAGAGTTATCAGATGGCTGTTGCGGTGTTATCGTGTTTTGATTTACATAGGTCATTGCAGAGGAAACGGTTCCGCTGGTACTGTTCCGTTTTTTATTCTGCCAAAAATAAAAAAAATTAAAATTAGTGATGCATTACATATAAATAAGATAGGTAATTTAAACAATTTTGGGCCAAACGAGATGCAAAACGTTGAGTAGGAAAATACTTAGACCTCACACCGATAACAAATATGAATTGTCAAAGTAATAGAAAATATTAAATTATTACCAACACAGAGTAGTAGACGCAGCATTGTATCAGTGTCAAACCGAGCACATTCCCCGATAAGAAAGCCAGAGCTAAGTATATTCCGAATATCTGCAAAAATTATTTGAGAAGTTGTAAATGTAAACTTTATGTTTACAATTGTGTTCCCAAATACATGAACTTTACCTTTATATCTTTATGTTTATATATATAGGCAGTGGCGGCGCGTGGTCATTTTGACAACCGGGGCAAGCTACTGCGGGACCAAGTCACCCCCATATACGGGGACAGGATGAGCGCTGTAAGTTCTCCCATCATTTTATGAGTATAAAAGCCATTCCATCGGTAACAACCAATCGGCAAAAGCGACAATTTTTACCGATAAGAAAGTGTCTTTAAAACCGGTCCAAGTCAAGGGATTAATAAATATAGACATAGTTTATTTTGAAACCTCTTTCAAAAGGAAAGGCAATATTTACCCAGATAAATACAATGACATATTAACAGAAACTTCGGAAAAGCAGACAAAACCTAAAATAAGGTTTAAACGTTACTATGAAGAAAGGAAAGTAATGCAAAGATAAGGACATGCGTCGCTCACTAATAGATATATATGCTGCTAGACTTCTACTGCTTGAACATATATGCAACACGCCGCGGTTTCTTGGAAGCAAAATGCTCAATAACGCGCTGATTAAAGTCATGCATCCCAGAAATAACGTCTCTGTGAATGGATAAAACAGCCAAGAAATTTAATCTATCTTGCTTCATTGTGTTTCTGAGATACGTTTTAATACGCTTCAGCGTGCTGAATGTTCGCTCTGCGTCGGCGGAAGAAATAGGCGTCGTCAAAATGATGTCCAGAAATTTTGCAGACGCCGCAAAGGTAGTTACTAGAGTGTTATCTATGAGGAACCCATAGAGCGCGCAAGTTGATGTGATGTTCAAAAAAGTTTGATTGGTGTATATGCATCGCAATTCATTTTCCAATTTACCCACGTTTATCATGGGGTAAAATTTGGAGACAGTAGCCAACAAATGGATGGGAAATTGACGTGCAAATTTTGAAAATTTTTTGGGGTTCATCAAAGAGAACGCGGCAAGGTGTTCAGTGCGCAGACGATCGCCTATTTGATTCACCAGAATGTCACAGCATTCCTTTGCAGACAAAATCAAACGCTGCGTTGTTTGCCCGCGGCGTAAAGAAGCACTCCATGTGTCGTCATTTTATTGTTTCCCGGATACGAGATACAGCATCGCAGAAGTCTGAAATACACGACTGCACAGACGCTCCATCCATTAGCCTTGACTGCAATGCGCCGTATAATACATCCACGTGATAGAATATTGTGGAGAAAAAAAGCGAGAAAAAATGAAAACTCACCATCTTCTAGCAAACGCTTTAGACCTGCCGCCTCCCTCACAGAGCGTTCGTCCCAAACCGGAGAGCTCTGAATGCCATTGAAACACTCAATGAGCTCAGACCTAATTTCGGACACGCCCTGCACCACGCGTGATTGGAAGTTCCAACGTGTTGGTGCACAAGCTGGGAGACGGTGGCTACATATCTGGCGAAGGAGGTCAGAGCGCTTCGGCGAAACGGAAAAAAATGAAGAAAACCCCGAAACATTTGCAAAAAATATACGGACGAGAGGGGTATCAAGACACATATTTTTAATAACGAGGTTAAATTGGTGTGCATTACAATGTAAAAAATGCGCATGAGGAAAATCTTCTTTTATATAAACTTGAACACCATGTTTCGACCCACTCATGACTGCCGCGCCGTCATAAGTTTGAGCTATCAATTTTGACTTCGCGTTGTAAGGCTGTAACACTTCTTTCAGTACAGCCGATATCCCGCAAGCCGTGCGATCAATGATTGGTACAAAGCTGTGAAATCTCTCGGTAGGTTTACCATCTTTCACAAACCGAAAAATCACAGCCAGTTGGGAAACGCACGTGATGTCAGTTGTCTCGTCAGACTGAATCGAAAGGAACTGGCAATTCTCAATTTCCAGAGCCAAATGTTGTAAATAAATTTTATACATTGAGTCGAGCAAATCATTTTGGATATCCTTAGATGTCCCTTTCGAAACAGTTGCGGCATCAAGATGATCTCTCAATACTGTATCTAGGGATGCGGTGCATTCCACCATATCCAAAAATACCCCTCTATTAGAAGAGCCATCCCGTTCATCGTGCCCACGGAGGGACAGCTCGTGACAACCAATGAACTTCAAAACATCTATCAATCGACCGAGAACATGGCGGTTTTTCTCGACGTTTTGGTTGTGCCGACGAATAGAAACCGCGCGTCCTTCATCCAACTGTGCTGCAATATTAACATTTCCGAATGTTCGGTATTTTACTGCATTGTCCAGATGCTCCATAGAAGATTGATGATCCCTAGCACGCTCGGAAAGATGTTTAAGATCTCTAAACCCAAATTTACACCAACGTGAGTCACGGGCAGTAGCAAAAAGTAGGCAATAAAAACAAAAAAGTGCATTTTTGTCCTCGCTGTAACACAACCATTCGTGTTTTTTATACCAAGTTTCTGCGCAGAATGTACGCCGACGCTTTCCTCCTTCATGGGATTGTTCCAGTGAACAATTTTTGGTTGATAAGGCCCAAGACGTTGTACCTCTAATTTTTGTTCCAGCGGCAGCTGCGAAAACGGAGTGCGAAGTAGTGCATCAACCTTATTCATTATGAGGTCTAAGGCTAAGAAATGCGAAGCCGGAAAAAAGTGAGGAGCTCAAAAGGAATGTGGAAAATCGGAAGCAAATGGACTAAAGGTCTCTAACTGATTCAAATAGCGAAACAAGCGACAAAAACGAAGGCGAGGAAACTATCAACTCTTCAAGCAACCAACGAACGAGAAGGAATGCAGGATATGTCATTGTCAACACGTTGTTGTGAGAAACGTCGGCATTGTGTCGTCATAATTTCGGGGCTAGCCCTGATCGGCCCCGATGATTTAGTAAAAGAAACAGAAAACAAACGAGACAAACGCGGCGAGTGGAAGATAAAAGAGAGAATACGATATACAATGAGCAACCGGGGCAAAATCGGCGTCGCCCCGTCGACGTTCGGCGAAGGCTCTGCGAGCGAAAAATGAACCATGTCGGGAGAATATGGCTAGTGTAGACATTCTGTGCAACCGATATTGAGGTATTTTTCGAATATTTTTTATTATACCGAAAAAACAACCGGGGCATTGCCCCGGTTGGCCCTATCGACGCGAGGTATGATTAAACTTCGAACTTTAGGGCAATGGACGAACAAAACTGATACTAAGCTTTGGGACTTTTTAGATGAATTTCATCGTCCTGACAAGGCGACCTCGACCACCAGAAATACTTTAACTTGATAGGATATGAAATATTTAAATAAGATTTAAAAATCATGTACACATTGAATTATTGGCTACTGTTTTACAATGAAATAAATACTATTACCACACAGTATCGTTGAACTGGTTGAAGACAGACCCATAAAAACCATTTGAGATGTCCCACAGATACTCCGAAAGCAGCAATCGACCCAATACAAGTAAAACATGACACCACAACAGCGGTATTCAGCTGTAAAAACAATAAGGGATATTATCAACATAGTCGAGCCAGTGAATGTACAACGAGGCATCAACAAAGGCAGGAGAGAAGATAGAGATAGGTAGCGAGAGAGAGAAATAGATAAGAGTAAGAACGGGAGAGTGAGCAGAAGACCTTAACCGCGACAAAAAAGATCGATATACTCACTTTTCGCCTTGTAGGTTTCATTGTAATAACAATCCCGAGAATACCAGAGATGATGTACTGAACAAAACACGACAGATATTAGGAACATTTGACCATGTTTGAATTCGTATTGTAACTTACCAAACCTCCACTCCATATGGCAGGACGATAGTAGGGATAGATTCCATTAATATATCTGAGTTCATCTATTCCCCCAAGAATTGTGGTTGCAACACCGATAACAATTTGGATGGACTATTAAAAAAATACAAATCGTTAATTCACTCATTCAATTGTTCAGCTCCATATAGACGACGTCAACCTTAGCTCGAAGATGGCTTATACAGAGTATTATAATAACTTTTAACCATTGCATTCCAATAGCATGTAAATAGAATAGGATTTCAATATTTATTCAGAGGTAGACGAAAGCCGATAAGACGGCTTAATCAAATGGCGAACTACGGCCTCTTGCCCGGTCCATGTCGGGTATGGGATTAGTTAGACAGGTATTTTGTTTTCATATGCACAGAATTGACGGAATTGCACATGTTCATGACTTCATGTTCTGAGCGTCAATTCTCCGTCGAGAGATTCATCACGTGATTTCTAAGTCAAGTGAATACTTGTGAACAATGCGCCATAATAATTCTCATTTAATTCTAGTTAATATTTTGAATGCAAGTATTAAGGTCACTATTTAAATAATCAAATTGGATATATTATTTGTAACAATTCATATGAACAATAACATAGAAAAAGTATTACATTGGTTTACACCATTTCAATTATTTATAAGGTGTCACGTTTCGTAAAATGTACCTGTAGCTAAAAAGGGTTGCCCTTTGATCATTCCTTTCTATTTTGAGTCCAAAGTGTACCAAGTAAAAAATGATAACAAACAATAGCATTCGAAATTTTTACGATATTGTTTCCGCAGACATTTCTCATTTTTAACGACCCAACATATTTGTAGATTTGACCAGTGATTATCATTTAGCAAAACATTTATGCATGAATAAAGCTTCACCATCGGTAACATCAGGAATTTGAGATGAGTTTTGGAAAATATAGGCTACCGGTTAATTCGCATTTGAATAACGGTTGTTTTTATTTCTTACCCGATCAGATATCAAATTTTTACATATATACTGGTCGATATTGAGATTACAAATATTGCTAGAGATGATGAAATAATACGAAGCAGCTTTAATGATTGTATTTGTTAACAATGAATAACTTTTGGTAATTTTGTGAAAGATGGATTATCGATAGTTCCTTTCGTCTTGTTGACGTACTCGTGTTGGCTGTTGACACTACGTTTAGTGATGTACTAGCCATGTAATTCATTCTATTTTCAGAATTCTAAATATTTTGCGTTCCGAATGTTCTCAACTGATTTATAAGATTTAAAAAAATCATAATGTTAATGAAAGGCATTACTGTCAGTAAAGCATTTTTTCAAATTGCTCATCCTATAAGTATCTTTTTCGGTGCTCCCGAAGTATGTGCACCAAGATGGCGTACAACACAATATGTGTACCAGATTAGGGTTTCAAGTTGTGCGCCATCTTGGTGCATTAACTATTCAATGCAAGCGTCTAGCAACGAAAATCGGACTGCACTTGGCATAAATATTTATAAGATGAAATATCAAACGTATACCACAGGAATATTACAAAACTTGCAGGTATCAGCAATGAAAAATTAAGTAACCTGAATATGTAACGAAATCGAGATTCGGAATACGTATCTTACAATTGCAAAATGCTTTTTAACTTGGACGACAAATCTGTAATGGCAGAAATATACTTGTACAGTACAATAAATTGTTAGTTTTTTACACTTCAAACTAGATATGCATTTTCTCACGTATACTATAACAGCCGCAGGCACGTTCTTTTTAAATGAATTATTGATCTCTCAGGTCAGTAGGATCAATGATCAAAGTTTGACATTTTCAAACATGGATATTCCCCTTTACCAAAATTGATATCTCGACGTGATGCAAAACTATTTTATTGTCATAATCAGATAAGTGAAATGCTTATTTGTGAGAATAATCTAGTTTTTAAACTTACAGCAGCTGACACTGACGATTGTATGGAATAATCGCGAAGCTTCGATATATATAACAGTTATAGAATTGAAGACGAATTTCTCTACTCAATGTTATTTTATCCCCATTAAAATAGATAAAAAATTAATTATCCCTAAATCGTTCCTAATAAAAACAAATAGTTATAGAAATACTATATAATCTAATTTGGCAATCATACATATTAATTGTATTCTGTTATTTATAATTATTCTTTATTTTGAAATTTCAACAAGGTTACATGTTTTCAGTCAGAAGCGAAGCAAACTCACCTCAGAGGAAAGTAACCCTACTGTCAGATAGCTGTATATTTTTTTTTAAAATACTATTTTAGCTTGGTTCAATATTTCCAAATTGCATATGCTATTCCAGTACTGTATGTGTGTGTGGGGGGATCCCGGTTTCCAGGTTGTAGAAGTTCAAATGTTAAGCGCGAATTTGAACGGACTCATTTTGCGGGGATAGCGCTAATCAATGGTGCGGGATGGCGGTTTATTTAATTAGGGTCGTTTATAACGGATTGAATCACTGATATCGAAAGTCTATTTCAAGACTTTCCTCGACTGTTTTTACCCCCTCCTGTCGTATTCTAACTTTCTATCGTCCATCAGTGGTCAGCTAGCAGTAAAGCAGTAAAAGAAGAATCGATAGCAACTGACATTTCGTTGAAATACCGTAACAACATATATATATATATATATATATATATAGGGACTAGGGAGAGAGAGTCTATTTGATATCCAGTGTTTTACGTTTATATATCAAGTAAAGCAACAGCAACCAATGTATACATAAGCAAGCTCAAGACCATCTACTACTAGCTTGTCAAATATCATGTCATTTCTTTGATATATATTTTTGTCATCCAAATATGATATTGACGCTTCACGTATGACTTGGACGGTAGAGTATACCACAGAGTAACACCATGTTACGCGTTTGCAATTTTCTGAAATAGAAACGATTTGATGGTTATAAATTCATCGGCAGTTAAAACGAACAAAGATTTAATAATTTAAACCGCTCTATTTAAGTTTCTTACATCAGGTTGTGTATAAACCGGAGCTGCCTGCTGCATCTGAAACAAAGTTTATTGATATCATCAAGTGTACGATAGACAGTGTTGCAAAGAAATTTTATCGTTTCTGAGAAAGGATTTTCACGTATGTGATATATATTCCGTATGGACATGGTGTTTAGTGATGTGATTTCGGGTGTAGCAGCTGAATCTACGAGCGCAAGATACGAAATATCGCTCGAATGTCCGAATTGGCAACCGCATATGTTTTACCACAGATCTCGGTTTCAGATTTTGGGCCATCCCATTTTCTGGTATATATCAAAAAAAATTTATATTTTGTCGCGCGCATGGTGGTGAACAATCTTTGATTGAAAATATACAAAATATATTCGAGGTCTAATGAAGTATTATTAGAACGAGTCGTAGTAGCTGTTTTATTATTGGAATAACAATACACAGAATTTATTGAAAATAGATTTGACTTGATGAGGCATAGAGTCTCGAATAAGAATGGAAATACATCAAACTAACAATATTTTACCTGTTGAGACTGTGCATTCCAATTGGCGTAGGATTGATAGCCTAGGTTTATTGAAATGAAGTACGTGGGATTTGTTGAAAAGAAAAGAATGGAAGTGCGACGCGCTTTTGATGATGAAAAATGTATTACCTGGATTTCCCACCGAAACGGTCATCACTGTAGTTGAGGCTACCACGTGGCCCTGAAAAATTGAAAAAAAAATATTTAAAACTATGTTTGCAGAAATGAAAGCGCAAGGTGCGTCATAGAAACATTATATATATATTAAAATCGACAGATAGGTATTTCATAAATGCACCGTATACCTATAACAGGGAAAATAAACTTCATTTATAGGCTGTGACATATTTGTCTGGCACTCCATGAAAAAGGGGTAATGTTATAATTTACATCCATTAGCAATAGCGTAAATATTCTACTTTTCAACCTGTTGTTAGTGAGTTCGACATGAAAAAGAACTCATTCTCAAAATTTTGAATCCCGCCACTGCTTTTAACACTCTATCTTTTCTTGTCCCTCTTCTTGTAGATTCATATATCGATTAAAACCCCAATAGATAGAGATATTTGTTGCCAGTGTTATAATTTAACCTGATGTGTACGATTTCCACAGCCAACTGAGCAGCAATATACGGAAAGAACAATAGCCAATATGAATTCGACAAATGATAGAAGTGCTAAAGCTCCGTGGATTCCGACCAATGTACTATAGTCTAGAAAAAGCATACATATCAATTCTTTGATAGGTAAACGTCAAAAGAAATAGTTGAAGAAGGAGGTCAAATATCGGCTACCTACCCCATTCGTAAGAGCTGCCCAGAATGTCGCAGCCAAAGCATCCACGATCGCTGCGCCGAAAGCCGCTAGGCTATAGCAAGTATGGAAATAACAAGCCCGGCCACAACCTGTAAGAAAATACATGTAGCATTTGATTTATTACAATCCATATGTAAAATGATGAATATTGAAACATGATAAACAAAAACAATGCAGATAACCCACATCAACGATATGTGAATACTCGTAAAGAGCATCAAGTCCTTTAAACTTTTAATGATAATGATGATACTACAACTATAATGTGTATTGTAAACGTGCATTAGATATTATAGTTAACTTATACATTACAATCGTTTGGGTTCACACCCGAAGCTATTCCAAGACTGTCCGATATAATGTATTGGAAATAAAAATATTAACGTTTAACAAAATTCATTATCATACGATTGTATAATATTTATTGCAAAAATGCTGTCCCGTGGCCATGACTATGCAAAAAGTTATTTTAAAATACAAATATAGGAAAATCGAGCTGTGAATACCTCCCCATAATCCTGCTCCAATGTAGCTGAACGGCAAAGGTATGACAATGTAAACTGCTATTCCAAGACACACACACAGAGCTCCGATGGCTACTTCAGCGATCTGAAAAGTTGGAAGAAAAAGGTAGGGGATGGAGTAGATAGCTGTTCCAGCAATTTACTCACGTCAGCTAAGTTGAGAAAGAGTTTCGGTATAAGCATCATTTGAGCATTATAACATCGAATCTGGGAGGAAAACGTACCATGTGCATAATGATTATGACTCTTATAAGAAAAAAAATAAGAATTTCGTAACAGTAAAATTTCATTGCAAATTTGAAGTTTCAAAAGCAGTGTTTCATGATGCATATCGATAAAATTAAATCAGAACATTTTGAAAAAAACATGGTGAAAAGTTTGAATGTTTCTATTTACCGTCAATGTATTAGCCATGCAAAACAAACTTTATGTCCAAAGTTTCCCAACATCTTCAGTTATATAGAATTCACTATCTCGAAGATTTTTTTCTAGTCGTATTTGACAAGAACTGCTTTAAAAGTGACGCGTAAATTGGCAATTACAAACGCGCAATTCTTCCCTATAAGTCTTTGTAGTCTCAGTAGCTCGTAACACGGAGAGCTGGTATCTCCTGACCGGAGGTGATACTGTTTTCTTTTCTTCAAAGTAGAAGTTGCACATCAAAGACTGAATGTTCTGTCACATAAATGATATGGGACCAAACTTGCTTAATTGAACCATAACTTATTACGTCAAACGTCACGTTGCGGTTAACCGGTCAATTTTACCCAGTTAACGGTTAAAGTGTTTTCCCTGAAATTTCCAGCCATAATTATTACAAATAAGAGTTATCAGATGGCTGTTGCGGTATTATCGTGTTTTGATTTACATAGGTCATTGCAGTAGAAACGGTTCCGCTGGTACTGTTCCGTTTTTTATTCTGCCAAAAATAAAAAAAATAAAAATTAGTGATGTATTACATATAAATAAGATAGGTAATTTAAACAATTTTGGGCCAAACGAGATGCAAAACGTTGAGTATGAAAATACTTAGACCTCACAACGATAACAAATATAAATTGTCAAAGTAATCGAAAATATTGAATTATTACCAACACAGAGTAGTAGGCGCAGCATTGTATGAGTGTCAAACCGAGCACATTCCCTACAAGAAAGCCAGAGCTAAGCATAGTATATTCCGAATATCTGCAAAATTAGTTAAGAAGTTATAAACCAGTGGTTTTCAACCGGGGGCCACGGAGCAGCTCAAGGGGGGCCACGACACGAGTTTAATAATTGATTATAAAGCGACTTCGTTTGCATACTTTCCCTCTAAAAGAAAATTCCCCGTTTGCCTCAGTTTCTTCATCTAAATAGGTTATTTCAGGTCATCGTCACAGGGTGTATTCACTTTCTCGGCGTGAATTGTTTGATCATAATGGAATTTGGAATCTATCAATCAAAATAGTTCACTGGTAAGCAGTCTAACCTGCTTCACTAGGGTGAGAGATAACTGTCGGTACCGTATTATAGACTCAGAATCCTATATTTCTAATGCCCAAAATACGAAAATGGAACGACAGTTACGTTGGCTTTGGTTTTACCAAAGTAAATGACAGAGAATGTGCGCAATGCCTGCATTTCTCGTATGTAATGAGCAATAAATCATTACATCCATCTAAACTCCAAAACCACCGTGACATAAATTATCCCAAGGTAAAAGCCGTTGATAAAAATGATATCGGTGCCTTGGCTGCCAAGTGAATTAGATTCGACAAGGAAGCAACATTGACTATGCCAAGCACCACTATTGCATGTAAAAACTACCTATTTGCACTGATCTTGCTACCATCAAAAGAAAATCTAGAAACCGTCTTGATGTTGACAGTGACTTTCGTCTGGCTATATCACAGACGGTGCCTAATATAAGAAACCTAGTCAGACAGTCCCAAGCACAAGATTCCCATTGATTGTTTACTAAAAAGCTTTGACTTTCATGACTGTGGTTTGCTTTTGCATTCCATAAAAGGTCGTAACTACATAATACAATCCAACGCGTCTAGTTTTTTTAAAATGATGAACAGGGGGGCCACGAGTGCGAAAGCCACCGGAAATGGGCCAAGCACGAGCCATAAAAGGTTGAGAACTGCTGTTGTAAACTATATGTTTACAATTTTGTTCCTGAATACATGTTGAACTTTACCTTGATATCTTTATGTTTATATAGGTATGATTAAACTTCGAACTTTAGGGCAATGGACGAACAAAACTGATACTGAGCTTTGGGACTTTTTAGATGAATTTCATCGTCCTGACAAGACGACCTCGACCACCAGAAATATCTTAATTTGATATGCTATCAAATATTTGAATAAGATTTAAAAATCATGTAAACACTGAATTATTGACTACTGTTTTACAATGAAATAATTAATACTACCACACAGTATCGTTGAACTGGTTGATGGCAGACCCATGAAAACCATTTGAGATTTCCCACAGATACTCCGAAAGCAGCAATCGACCCAATACAAGTAAAACATGACACCACTACAGCGGTATTCAGCTGAAAAAAACGATAAGTGATATTATCAACATAGTCGAGCCAGTGAATGTACAACGAGGTAGGAGAGAAACAACGAGGGAAGATGGGAGATTGATATAGCGAGAGAGAGGGAGATAAGAGTAAAAACGTGACAATGAGCGGAGTACCTAAACCGCGACAGAAAACATTGATATACTCACTTTTCGCTTTGTAGGTTTCATTGCAATAACGATCCCGAGAATATCAGAGATGATGTACTGAACAAAACACGACAGATATTAGGAACACAAATGAGCCTGTTTGGAATCTTATTGTAACTCACCAAACCTCCACTCCATATGACAGAACGATAGTAGGGGTAGATTTCATTAATATATCTAGATTCATCTATTCCCTCGAAAATTGTAGTTGCAACACCGATAGCAATTTGGATAGACTAGTAGTAAAATACAGATCGTTACTGCTTCACTCATGCAATTGTTCAGCTTCATTAGACGGCGTAGACCTTTGCTTGAAAATGGCTTATACATAGTAATATGATAACTTTTAACCATGGTATTCCAATAGCATGTAAATAGGATATGATTTAAATATTTATTCAGGGGAAGACGAAAGCCAAAAAGACGCCTTACATGGCGAACCACGGCCTCTCGCCCGGGTTTGGGGTTACTCGGCCAGGTATTTTGTTTTCAGATACATGCGCTTGATGGTGGAGGATTTAACCAACCAGCGGTTACATGAACGAAGGGCGGCGAGAAGTCCAAACCAAATGGTCATCAATTTGGGCTCAAGACAAGTAACATTTTTATTTACACATGTTCATGACTTCATGTTCCCAGTGATTTTATTTATTGCCAGGTCAGGTATCAAATTTATACATATATATATATACTGGTCGATATTGAGATTACTATTATTGCTAGAGATGATGAAATAATATGAAGCAGCTTTAATGATTGTATTTGTTAGCTTTGTTAACAAGTACTCACCCCTACTCCAATGAATAACTTTTGGTAATTTTGTGAAAGATGGATTATCGATAGTTCCTTTCGTCTTGTTGACGTACTCGTGTTGACTGTTGACACAACGTTTACTAATGTACTAGCCATGTAATTCATCTTATTTTCAGAATTCGAAATATTTTGCGTTCCAAATGTTCTCAACTGATTTATTAGATTTTAAAAATTATAATGTTGATAAATAGCATACTGTCAGTAATGTAATTCCTTTTTTTCAAATAGCATATTTATACAGGTACCTGTTTCTACATAGTCATGTGTATCGGTGCAATTACAAACCTACAGGTGCTAAATGTAACATATATATATTCCACTTAAAGTAGCGTAGTCGTTTCTTGTACTGAAACTTGCAATCGCATTGTATTGGGTATTCAATTCGATGCAAGCGTCTGGCAACGAAAATCGGACTGCACTTAGCTTAGCATGAATATTTATAAGAAGAAATATCAAACATATACCACAGAAATGTCGCGAAACGTGCTGGTATCAGCAATAATAAGTAACCTGAATATTTAACGAAAATCGAGATTCGGAATACGTATCTTACAATCGAATAATAACAATCGAATAATACAATCGTCAACCACTGGCAATTAGTCCGGTAGTTAATTTTCAAAATGACTTATGTAGAAGCGTTATTTTTGGACACGGAAGGGAGCTATGAATCGTATTGTCATTTTTTTACAAAGTTGAATCCGAAAAGCGGTAGGAGGCCGCCGACTTATCTATCTAGCGGCGTGTATCCTTCGCTCTGACTCAATAGCGACACCGCGTGCTCCATCACTAATTAATTAATAACTCGCTAATGCTACGACATAATTTATCCAAAATCAATAGTCTTCTGTTCCAAGATATGATAAATGCACATGCAAAACTTGAAGCAGATTCAACCTCTCGCTTTCGTGAGATATCGCGAGTGTCTAACAGACAAACAGACAGAAAAATACTTATCAATATACTTACCGATTGAGATCGATAAGTAATAAAAAATAATTATAGCCGTTTGCCCGTTTCGCAATCGTACGTCAGCGGATCTCGTGCTTAGCGGAAGTCGGAAGTTTTTTGGGGCACGGTAGACTATGGTATCGGTAATGAAAGATATTTGCTAATATAGTTGTGACCCGAATCATTTGGTATTTCATTCGGGAATTGTTAGTGAAATTTTTTTTTTGGCTTTCGTGTCCATATATTTGATCATTGCTCTCTTGTTTTCATGAAAACCTTTGACATTTTAAGAAGTTACTATTCCGTTCTCCTGTTATGATTTGCTACAACATTTTTTGCATTTGACTTTTGTTTCCGGCGTTTTTATTTTTTGTTGTCAAGTTTCTCTATTTTAACTCACTGGTGTATATGTACAATGCGTAAAAAATATCTGTGTGACTGTTTTTGTGTGACATAGCTGCGATACAATAGACTGAATAGAGCACCCCAGAGTTAAGATTTCATACTAGAAATTCAAACGTTTGACTATAGCGCTATTACTTCGTGGTTCTCAAGTAAATAAGCTACTTGTTTCAATTAAGCAAATGGTAAAATGTGGCTGTTGACCGCGTAATAGATTACAATGTTGTTGTGATTGCAACGTCTTCTGTTGCGCAATTTTGTACTACTATGCTCCGACCACAGATAGACTGCCTGTTCGAGAATCCCTGAAATAGAGGAATAGCAACGGGTTCCCGGGCGGGGTGTCTGCGTTAAACTGAATGTTTACTATATATATATGAAACAAAAAAATGGGACAATACAAATTGGGCAAACATTGGTTTGATTTCAAAACTTTAATAAAATAATTCAACTGCAGTACGGCATTTTAAACTATCGCCCACATAATGATATTTGTTTATTTGCACAGTATTAATGCTTTTGGAGATTGCCACAGTCGACTTCGTTATGCAACTAGTTCCTGTGTGTATTAATTTTACTGACGTTTTTAATCCGTTGGTTATATGAATATAAAACAAAATCCTTGAGATTGAATGAGATATTTAGTTTTTTTAGGTCATTTTTGGTCACCAATCTTTGCACTTTGTGTGCCTATTATTCTTCTGACATTCAAGCATGGGAAAAACATACTCTTTTCTAACTTTTAAATCGGGCGATTTTCAATATTATTCAACAAAACGCACACGAGGTTATGTGTGTGTAATAAACGCAATTAGCGTCGTAATGACGTTCTATTGTCAAGTACCAGTATCCCGCGTTCACCAGAGGTCTATTCAATTGATACGTCGAGAAAGGCGACAAAATCTACAATTGTGTCATCCGACAATGTCCGCCGATAAGGTGAATGGATGACTATTATTTTAGTAGACGAAAATTTTTTTAACAGTTCAACACAGTGTAGTGCTTTAGAAGTTATATGCTGAAAAAAACAACGTTGAATGCATTGGTGGTTTATGATCATAGTTTTTATATTCGCATAGTTTTTATATCTTATTTTCTGAACAGCGGATATATCGGGATTTTAGGCACCGAAAAAAACATCGCAGCTGTTTGCTTTCACCGAGACACATTTTATTGTATTCCTGATTGTAAATTGGGGCCGGTGCAAAACAGGGCTAAATTCACGCACAGCCTGAAGGAAATGTCACAGATGTATGTGCCGCGACGTACCTCTCTTTGTCTGGCGATTTGCATGAATGTGTGCGCAAACCTCATTGTGATTTTAATGACTTCAGACTTGTTGTACTATGTTTCATTGGGAAGGATAGGTAGGATACACAGGACGATATTTGAAAGTAAGCTAGTAGGTAAAAAGTAGGCACAATCAGTAATATTATAGTAAAACGTATTTATGTAGTAATCGAATATAAACAGTCGAGTAATCAGCTCAGTCGGTATTTACTTGGTAAAATTTGTTTCGTCCGCCTGCTAGGGATGAAATTTTCACTAACTTGCAAATACCTGTTAAATTAGTCGGAATTATAAATATGGAACCACTTTCATTTCAACAAGTTTCGTTTCTTCGTCGATTTCATATATCACTGCAAGTATTGAAAGAGTTGTGTTGGTAAACGTTGCGATTCGTATGGGCCTGCACAAAATCAGATGTAATGTAACAATATATATTGTATGTAAGCTCTGGTGAAAGGGAGTGGCTGAAAATTATTATGTATTTTGACGCCTTGAAGATATGCAGAATGATTATCCGAAACCATATTTTTGCAGGGTAATAAAAAAGATTGAAAATTTCGAAAATGATATGTTGATTTTTGCTTATGAACTATCAATCATGCTGAATATATTAAATCAAAATCCACATTGATGTACATGATATAAAATCGATGATTCAATTATTTGAGCAAGTGATGAAATTGTACATATGTTAACAGTAAAGTGGGCCGAAGTATTCAATAGCTTTATAAACCTACCTCATACACATTGTGTTTTTGTAACCCTTTGTGAAGACTACTTCGAGTATGGGTTTAAGGCTTTAAGCGATCATAGTAAATTGAGGAATTGCTGGATTCACTTATTGTTAACATTCGCTCTTGTTAATGCCGGATGTCACATCATTATAGAAGTGTCGGAGAGGGAGTTTATTCCCGGGCATATTTATTATTTCGACAGATGCATTTGAGAGCTATATTTTCACTTTCAATAATGTTAAAAATAAGGTTTCTATCCATGGAAGAGACAATAACATGAAATCCCTAACAATAAAGTGTTGGTTACGTTGCCTCTACTTTTTCTAAAAAATAGTTCGGTTTACGATCAATTGAACGCTGAATGATTAGCTTCTCTTTAGCTTTTAATTTATATCATGGTGATTTTAAAGTTAATCAGGCTACATATAAACTTCTTGAACAACGATGATTATTTACTCGACTGAATTGGTGGACTTATGTATATATATACATATATATCATTTTCTGATGTTATCAATATTTTCTCATTTTTTACGATATAAATATAAACTATTTTATAAGATACAGTTAAATGACTAGAGCAATAGCACGAGGAAAATGGCAACAACTATCACAACAACTCAGGCAATACCAAACACTCAAGTGATTCAGGTACCAGCGGTTGTGCCTCCTCCAGTCGACCACCCTGCTAAAAAATTCGCGAAAGTTTTTACTGGACTCGGGGTAAGTTGTGTAGTCGTTCAACAGAATTATATTCAATTTCAGATTTGAAAAATAGTTGGTTTGAAATCAAACGCATGAATCAACTTACCGACTCACATCGCAATTCAAATGGCCTGCTGCGTATGTATGTATATTATCCATATGTCGACTCTATAATCTTCAACTATAGCAGTGTCAACTTTCGATTAGTTGTAAAATTTAATTCCAGATTGCACTGTTATCTGTTGGGGTATTGAGTATAATTTTGGGAGGTGTTGCGCTGAGTCCACAATACTATGGATACGTTGGATCCGGAATTTGGTGTGGAGGATGGGTAAGATGTTTTGTGAAATGTAGCGATTACCATGTAGCGATTTAGAAGTTTTTAGTAGTGTAAAATAAGTGTGTGTTCCCGCAAGTCAAACACGTCCGTAGTTATCTATATCCTGGGTATGGCCAAGACGTCAATTGTGATCGACCGGAAAGTGCAAGTTTTGCCGCTACCAAGGTTTAAAAATGAAGGGCCGAATATCGCGTGTCTTGACTGACAAACGATCCTACAACAACTTCACAGTATGTGAAGGGTATTGTCTAAAAAGTAGTGTGACAATTTTTAGTCGCTAGGGCAGCAGTGGCATCAAAATGCGCAATGTTTTCTGTTTCCAAGCGATCGAAGAATCGAAATTGGAGGAAATTGTAAATTAGATACTGAAGTTTGAGCAGTCATGTAACATTCATAATTTGAGAATATTTATTTTTGCTGTTTAGATAATACATGAATACTTGGTAAGGTTTCTTGAAGAATTTTCAACTCTTGCGACTAAAAATTAGGCACGCCTTATATCTGAATTGTATAATTTGAAAAAATCTTAAATAAATGATGGAACATTTTCTTCGGTTTCAATTGAATAACCATATCAACAACTTAATTGAAACATGAAAAGTACAAATTTTATGTCGATTTTATTAAGAATGCGCCCACAACGGCTTCTTATTGGCAGCGGTTGAATTTTTTTCATATATATGCGTGTGTGCAGTTATCTACATATTCTACATTCGTTTTTGTGTAGGACCTTATTACCGATCAGTCGATCGCGAGCTATTTTAAAGATTTTAGGCGATCGCGGTCGAGAGCAAGTTGGCCACCTCTGATCTATATGATAATGAGAAGTAATTAAAATGATTTATGAAATATGTTTCAACAAACTGCCGTACATTTACTCTATGTTGACGCATTTGGTATACAGAGATTTTACTAAATTAGAATGGAAAATATAGTCCCATAGACAGCTATTTTGTTTTAATTCATTTCCTCGAAGCGCTTGTGAGTTGTGACGGCTGATACTGACTCATAATTTCCTCTTGTTTTGTCATAATTTATCCACGTTTAATTCATCCAATTACCAGTTGAAAGCTTAATCTGGTAATATTATGCTATTGCGTGACAGCCATTTTTTTATTACTTCACTACAAATTTTTGATCTGTTTTGTTTGATTTATTTCAACATAGATTAACGTATAGGTTGGGTTATAGCCCCATGTTTTGACCTAACCTAAGATAAATAAAATCCAAGAAAACGAATCAAAAGCTCAGTTGTGGTTTTAGGATTTGACTGTGATATTTTACCATCATTCAGTGTCTTTAACTTGTGTATAATTTTACTCAGTATGTGGCTTCGGGAGCATTGGCAATATCCACAGGTAATGGAGCACACTCTTGCAACGTAAGTATTTATTCTTTCATTCTAAATCAATTTTGGCTCATTCTCAATCAACGCTGGCTCATACAGAAATTGCTGTCTCATTACGACGACGATCGGTCTCAATTTGCGGGTTGCTTTCTGAATTCCCTTTTCAATTCCATGAACAATATCAGAAGATCGACGAGTATTTTCATATGCGAGAATTCCCTTTATCCAATTTATCGGCAATTCGTTTATAGGAGTGGACCTACGGATCGTTTTGTTAAATTGTTGTTCGTATATTTATTCTTCTTGTTGTTAAATTGCTGTCCGTAAGACTGTAAAACTGTTGATACAACTATGTTTTGTCGTTTTTGTCCGTATATTTGAGCATTGCTCTCTTGTTTTATTTTATCTATTATCCTTACTATAGAGTTAACCAATTTTTTCCAATGGTAACCCCATCCCATACCGTTGCAAATGTAGAAACGGTCTTTAACTGTTTTCTGTTTGTAAGGACTGTCTTGTTAGATTTCGATGTTCGGCGAAGCAGTATGCCCTTTATTATTATTGTTGTACTTCTATAGGTAATTGCTGGAATGGTTGTTTCAATATTAACTGCAATCGTGTCGTTCTGCGTAGGAATTTCGGAAGCTGCGTTGGCAGGATATTGCGGTTGGGGGTGTTTGGTATACTGCTTGTTTCTTATATATATATTATATATATATTGTTCGTATACTGTGTTACGTCAATATCAACATTGTCTTCCATTGCGATAGCAATAACGCTGAGCCCAAATTTTGATAAAAATGCAGCAAAGGCTGCGTCCTCCGTCTTCATCACAATAAGGGGTAATACCCGATCTTTGTGAGCTACTTAACACTTAAAGTTCGAACACAGTTTAAAGCCTGACTTGACTAATATAGAATCCAACATTGCTAGGCGTAAATAGCAAAGCATGCAGCTATACCGTCTTGCGTGAAATTTGAAGACCGATACCCAGAAAAGAATTTTTATTTTTGAAACCTTAGCCCGTTTAAAGAGAAGGTATAACCGCGTCATATCTCTTCTCTCATGAGCCTTATACAATTTATATAAATCTCTAGTTTGGTAATATTACGTCACATTTAAATATTAGGATCAACCTCTCATAGAAATCTTATACACATGTTTTATCTTTTCTTTTTATTAAGAGCTCTTTTCAAGGAATCCACGCTACAATTGCAGCTCTAGCATTCATCGCCTGCATATTAGCTATTATTCATTCCTCCTTCTGTTGTTGCGGATCATGCGGGCAGAATAATTACCAGGTATGTTGTATGAAAGCAAGTAACTTTTATTTCATCGGTCAAGTTTCAGCAAATTTTAATGTTTCCCAAGTCGATTCGAGCCAGGGTCATTATATAGTTGGGACATGTAAGTCATATAGCCACCTCGATTTAATTTTGCGGTAAACCAACTTTATTGTAAAGTTTTAAAGTCAAACTTTGAATAGTTAATACTTATAATTAAACTTGTATTGCTAACATGGACATCGGCATCAATACGAACTATTTATTTCCTATTCTTAACTTGTCGACTTTTTTTTATTACAGCATTAATCTACGTGTCAAATCTTTAACTTTCTTCATTTTTTTTTTCTATTTCCACGAATTGCTCAAAATTATCTTCGAGTCCCAACTCAAAACTCGTTAGAGGTTATCCGAGTCCGAGTTTTAGTCGAGTGTTTTCGTTTCAAAATCCTATTCAACTGCCATATACACCCTGTTTTAAAAAAAGATAGAGTAAAAATGGCATTTTTATCTAGTCTACAAAATTTAGTTTGAATACGATGCGTGTAAAATGGTTTAGCTTTGGACCCTCGTTCGTGTAAAAATTGCAGAGCATTTTGTAATATGGCCATAACAGAAAAACAAGAACGGAACGTAATCCAGCATTTCTATCAACATAACGTATCTTGTTAACGTTTGTTTGACAGGGAAGAGTTATGGCAACTACTACAGTGATGACCATACCCACCGTTCAAGTTCCCATGGCACAACCTTACGGTATGCATATACATGATCATAGGTCGAATAACCAATGAGTCAACCGGTTTTTCTATGTTTATTCTTGATTTCAGGCCAGCCAACTGTAGTCTCTCAGCAGTATTATCCACAGATGCAACAACCTATGGTGCAATCTCAGGCAGCCCAAAACTACCCGCAAGTACAAGTATGTTGAACAATTATTTCAATCGACTTCAGATAATGTTGTCGATATTGAAATGAATAATGTTGTTTTAGTCATTCTAACTTTTGGATATAAGCTTGTGTCAAATTATTACAGTCGACGTGTCTCTTTATTTGTAGAAATATCATAACAAAGCGTTCATTCGTTGTCAAATTCCTATCCAGCGAAGGGTGAATTTACTCAATGACACAAAGCTAATATATTACCCGTGTTTCTATTGTGTTAAAACGTCTGCTACGCTGCGGTGTTTCAATTTTTTGTTTTCTTTCATATATAATCCAGTCTCCAGGATACCAACAAGGCCAGCAGCAACAAGCTCAGGTTAAATTATAATATTCATTATAACATCGAGACATATAATATGGCCCATTTATAAACCAAAAATAAATTTAATTGCTCTGTTTGGCAAAAGACCGGAAGAGAGGGCAAAATATTGATTCAACGAGCACTTAACGATAGGCGTTTGATAGTTAAAGAATGTATTGCAGTTTTTTTATTAATCATAAATTGTTGGGCTGGCTATAACGGGATATATTCCATGAATATATAGCAAAATAATCACTATTGTGTATACGTAAGCCTTCTATGATTTTATGTTAGACTTTTCCAATATTGCGACGAGTAGGATGATGTTTAAAAAATATACGACCGTGTGAATAAAACAATATCAAAACTGGTTGAATGGTTTTGCTATTATTGTGCAATACACGTACATAGTATTACGAGACTTATTATGTATACACAGTGATATCATCTGACAGCGTTTACTAAGTTCCATATATCACAATCATTCAATTCCACGTTACTGACGTAACAGTGCAGTCAGTATTTATATTATTTACCCATGCGTAAATTACTTGCTCGTTTTCACGTTAATTAATTTTACTTTGCTTGGAATGTTATGATTCTATTAGGTGGTAATGCCTGAATCTTATGGCGTGTGACGCCTCACTACTATGTTTCATTAGATATCATTAATATCTTTAATGTTGTTATTTTACAGTCGTCATATGCTCCTCCGCCGTATACACAAGGAAGTCCAAATCAGGTAATTTATTCATAGCTAAATATACATGTGAATGTGTAATACTGAATGTTATAATACTACGATATATAGTCACTCATATTGTTTCTCTGTACGTTTTGTTTCAGAAACAACCTTTGTGAACATACTGGTGTCTTTAATCGGGAAGATTTACCAATACCATTAACAACTGCAAAGCAATTATAGCTCTGCTATACAATGTAATTGTAATATATAATTTGTTATAAAATTGAAATTCAGCAGACTCATGCAGATGTTAAGGATATTTTTGAAACTTGAAATACACTGCCAGTTTGAGCATCGTAGTAAATAAGCAATTAGACAACCCGCTACAGTATTTTATCGCGATATATATTTTATGGAATATACCATATATTTTGTTTCCTATATGCTTAAGCTGCATTTTAAAAATAAAAACATTAAGCATACAAGTACAGTTTTTGTGTTGCAAATCAGTGATTAGAACTCTGTGTCTAACCGTGATGACGCCACAGGTTAAAAATCTCGGATACAAACCTTCCGTGGCATAGTGTAAAAACTGATTGAAGAGAACTAGGCAAATTACAAAGACCTACGTATAACTTCCGTGTTCATAATATTATAGATTTCTTTATGCTCATTTCATTACGTGCTATCGATTGCATTTAGTCTTTTAACGGCATTCAAGCTATCCTGATTAAAATCGTTTTCGCTTTATCATCGTATACTGCAGGAATTTCTCACCGCGGTATCGCAGAAATGTGATGCCTACTAAAATGATATTTCGAAACAAGCAAAATAATAGTCAAAAAATAAATACATATTATGAAGTTGGAAATGAAAACTTAGAAAGTTTTCTTATACATTCCTATACACTAGTTAAACAAGCAAACCTCGGAAGCGGATTTCGTAAATCGAATTACACTCGTATACGAGAAATCTGATCAAACACAGAGAGCTCAACCATCCAGTGATTTCCTCATCTATATGATTATTGGAAAAACGATCACTTACTTTTTTAGCCCCATGGATCGTTTTGTTATTATGTCGTTACAATAGTTAGTTAGTTGTTAGAAAAAAATCGCTTTTTTATTTTAGCAGTTAAATATTGTTGTTGTTGCTAGAATGCTTGTACTTTTATTTATTTCAAAAATTGCTGTGGGCTTTATGGGATTCGCTTTTCACTTTAAATTTTATGTGAAGACGTCATCAAAGAAATTGCGCACCTACCCGTGGTTCCGTGATTGCATCTTAGTGATTTGGTGGTCAGACTACCGTTGCTGTAAAAGATTTGATGCTACTTCGTTTTGATCTTTGTTATTTCATCAAATCCCGAAGGGGTTTGCCTATACCGTCCTGTATTTTGCGAAGAAGTATGTGGTGACTAAATCTTGAAGTTACGAATGCCGCATGTTGAAGGTATCACAAGAACTCAGGCAAATAGTGATTTGAAATGTTACAGAACTAATTTTTTGCCCGACAGGGATTGCTTTTTACTTAAAAGGTACATTTCCAGGGCGTCCTTGTTCGCATCAATTGGCACAGCTACACCATTGTCCTGTATTACTGAGTAAACTTCTGTAGTAATTTCCTTCGATGTTCATTTCGCCCGTTCATTTTTCCCGTCGTTGAAATCTGCTTTCGTTATTTCATCATCATCTTCAACTGTAATTATAGGACACCGAATTACAGAAACAGGAACACTCGCTCTGTTTTGAACCTCAACATTTGTGACGTTCTGTAATTCTGAATTTTGTTGTTCATCCAATTTCATGAGGTAGTCTTTGTGCATTTCATACTCGTACGTATTACTTTTGATAAAGCGACATAATCCAATGACGACCATAAGAAACCATCCCAGCATGGTCAAAAGCAAAGGGAAATCAATCTTTTTTATTCTTGTTTGGCTGAAAATAAAACATTAGTTACATGTTTCGTTTATTTTTGTCATGTTACTTATGACGATTGCATAACAAATAAATTATAAAACGTGTGATACTGCAAACAAAGAGGATTAGTTACATTCATTCATATTTCATTGGAGCAAATATTTAGGCCCTATCCTGCATCTAACTAACCTGTTCCCTATATCACGTGGTCGATATAATCTTTCTTCATAGTCAGAATAATCCAACAACAGATTGTTAAAATTATTTTCTTGAATTTTTACAAACTCAGAAAATTCGTACTGGAAAAATAAATAAAATGTGTTTAAAAAGTAAGAGTAAAATTTACTCATTAGGTAAGTCAGGAACTCCAAATAACCAGTTTTAATGCAAAACCATAGATTTGCAACAACCGTCTGATTGCTGTACAAAATTGAGAGAAGGAATATTGTTTAAATTGAAAATTTAGGATGCGGTAATCTAGAAAGCCGAACTGTACATGGGCCAACTATATATATTTGGAGTACCAAACCCTAAGTACAATAGCGAAATTTGGAGCATAGTTGTTAAAGCAACGTAATTAAATTAATCGAAGTTATACAATTCAACAAAAAGCGTGTTACAATTTCATGAAAATACCTTGCATCATATTACTTAAATATGAAAATAAGTATTAATGTTAATAAAAACATTTATGCAGTAAAATTCGTTCGATAGTGCAGTACGTTGCTTTTGTACGTGGGCTACATTGCAAACGATATACAATGAAGGATAAGTAAATTTAAACAGTGGAATGAACTACATCACTCCGATGCAGAACTGGTTCTGGTTTTATATATCGTTATGTTACATAGTATTTATTTTTATTCGCAAGGACAAAATTGGGCGCTCTCGTAGTATGTGCACCACGATGGCGGACATCGGAACGTGGTATGTGTACCATGTTAGGGTTAGGACATAATTTTATTCTAATTTTCCTTATTTTAGTTCTATTACGAGTTCGGGGACTAGCCAAGTGACTCCCGTAGTATTTATATCTGGAATTTTGGCCCAACCCTAATCTGGTACACATACATGTTCCGGTGTACGCCATCTTGGTTCACATACTACGTGAGTACCCTACCCAAAATTGTACGTATACGCTGAGGTTATTTCAAGAATTGAACAGATGTACTTATAGATGACTTTACATAAAAAAAAGTCTTTGGTTTTCAAGGTAAACCCAGAGTTGGTGTTTTTAAATGTCTGGTTTCGGTGGTCTACAAGGGAATAGTGAAGTACTATTTATCGTATTTATATTTGAAAAATGAAAACAATTTTTTAAAGAGTCGCCACCAACATTAATTATACATGGTGTTGTGAATACTCAAACACCAGGAAAAATTACTTACCCGAGGATTTACGCAATAAGCCATCATTTCTTCGGATATGTAACTGAGATAAGACAATGGAATCAGTGTTTGACCTGAATTTAGATAAAATTGAGAAATTAGTAAAGTAAAATCATTGAAAAATACCAAATTTCGATCGTGTTATTTTAAACATAGAGTACTCACTTTTCCTATTGTCAACAGAATTCTTTGTATCTTCCTGTAACATGTATAATAACTATAATAACGTATAAAAATCAAGTAGACTAGCAAATATAAAACAAAACTTCCCATAGATTGTATGCGTTTTGGAATTGAGCAAATACTAATATTTTTAGTTCATTGACGAACCTATATATAGGTTATCTAATAAAACAAATTTCATAGTTTTTAAATTACCTCAATCATGAGCAAACAAGAAGCATCATCTCTGCGTACTGTACAAGATACAATGCGAACCAAATCACAAGAACATATAATTGGATTTCCTTCCAGTAATATCGTTGACAGTCTGACAGCATCAACAGGGTGAAGAAATATTTCGTTGAGGAATTCAACTTGTGTTAGAAGGTTGTGCTGGAGATTCAATACCTGATAATGAGGGAATATTTGATTGAAGTATTACCACCTATAGCTAAAAATTTGTGTACTGTATATTTACGCCATAGATGGTAATTTTTAGTGACGGAATTTGTAATTATGATGTCATAATTTTTTTAAAACTAATCTAAATTTTTCCTTGCTTTCGCCTGTCTGTGCGCTTGTTATTTGATCTTGAGTTCTGGGATTGTTTTGCATTAACAGTTCAATGTTAAACCGGTAATATCGTCTATCAAATTTGTAAGATGAATATATCTGCTCGGTTATGTTAAATTTAAAGTTTATTGCAGCGTTTCCCTTCCCATTAGTAACAATTCACTCTAATTTATGCCCTTTTTTGCGCGAGAACCCTCCCTGTAGCCTATATATTGTATATAATTTTTTAGCAGAATTTCTTCGGAAAAGAAGTAGAAAGAATTTCCCGTATCCACCATCCGTTTTGAATCATGCCAACAATATAAACTACGACTTAATTCGATTTAATTTTTCAATTTACAAAACTGAAAACTTTCAATGTCAATACATTTTATCCTTTTTACTCTGATCAATATTGTATTGTATAGAATATAGATTGTACTTAATCGTCCCAACAAAACAGTTTGGTGACGATATGAATTGACTTTCCATATTTTACTGACAATATTTCACCTTATTTTGATATTTATTCCGATTGTTGCATATGAAAGGCTGTTGCGTTTGCATAACTCCAAAGGTACAGTACAAAATGTGCATTATTTAATACAAACCTTTTCTCTGGGTACTTGCTTCCGCCACCTATTGAATTAATTCCCTTTGTCGCGAAGATGTGCATAGTTCTGAGGGTAATGCAAACGGCACCGACAAAATATGTGGAAGGAATATCTTAATTGAACTGATTTTGGGGAGAACTAAGCCTGTTTTGAATGTGGCATATTTACACATTATACTCAGTAAGTTTCTCTGTCACCATTGTATTTATGATAGTTTGGTGATTGAAGTTTGTATAATATTATGTATATAACAGCATAATATATTATACCTGCAATCGTCTGAGTCCTTGCATCGCGTCATTTGCAATGAATCGTATTTGATTATAAGATAAATCCAGAACACGGAGAAATTTTTGTAGTTGAATGGATTTTATAGCTGAAATGGATCCGTGCCGTAACACAAGAATAGACGATTGCGCTGGGATGACAAAATTGCCATCATTTGAAACACCCTAAACAAAAAAGGCAATCATTAACTTTAAAACCTTTGTGTCGCAATTTAGTATTATTGTTATATTAGCTGTGGAGTCGGAGTTTAGTGCCTCGGTCGTAATTAAACTTCCTAGAGTCGGAAGTCAGAGTATGAGTCGAGATTCTGTTTTCTCCGGTTCGCTATTTAAGCAATACAGTAGAAATTATTAAGTATGATACGAATCAACTTTAGAGTTCTAACATGCTATATATTCTAACCTTATAATCAATAAAATAGATTTTTCACACCTACGCCCGAAGAAGTCGCCCTTGAGGTTCGGAAAATCCTGAACAATTTTTCAAACTCACCTTAATTGGTTTCCCCGCACTTTGTGGAATTGAAGTAACGTTATGTCCAAAACAGATGACCGCGTATTCCGACGAGTAAACGTAATATTTATTAGCAATACTTTGAAGAATATTAACTAATATCATGCTGCTTATATTTTCTTCTTCGTTCGTATTTTCTTGAATAAATCTACCTTTTTCTGCCGTCGTGTTCAAAGATTTTGGGGGACGAAGAAGTTGAACTGCTTCTCCACAAAAGCATTCAACGGGGCAATTCATTTTCTGGGGTCGTCTTGTCGCAATTGATGACACATTTCGAGTAAAATTAAAAATGATCAAAATTACTGAAAATCTACCAAAATGCCGCAGTTGATACATTATTACTGTATATATTTCTGCAATACGAAAATTAAAAATTAATATTCCAATTTAGATATTGTGTAGGTTTATTTCGCACATAATGTTATTCGATTTGTTAGTGACTTTTGGATAATAATCTGTAGCAAGATTGATGGGCTTCTCGCTGCGGCGACGTGTTTTACGTTTCTCGACTTTATTTTTTGAACAGTTTTAAGTCTCTCCTCGACCTGGTGATCCAGTGATCGCAGTTTCTCATATAATTCAGTCGTCCGATCAGTTTCCCAACCTAAAACCATTATTACAGTTCTAAATTTTTATAACCTTCAGCCTTTTTGCCAGCTCGATACCTGGTACGATATGAATACAAATTTCTTCATTGTTATCCCATATTGCAGTATACTCCTCCCCCAATCACTGGTTCTGCGCCCAAGGCCTTCAGCTATTAACCTAAAATAACGGAATAAAAAATATATGAACATAAAAACTTTTGTTCACGTTCAGATAAAAGATTACAAATGCTTGCAAAATAATCTGTTGTCTCTTTATCTCACTGACAAAAGTCACGGCCTGTTTCGTTTGCCAATTACACGCACCAGTAATAAAAATATATAGATTTATTGACGTTGCTGTTTACTAATTCGACCAGAGCGTTTCGTCAATATCGAGGGGTGATCACTGATAATTTACAAGGGGATTAATCCGAAATGTTAACACTCGTTGTTACTGATCTGTGCTACAAGTTGGATTAAAAAGGCTTAAAAACTATACAATTAAAATGCACCGCACGAATGTCCTTCCGAATTTATTCACACAATCTGATGACAAAATTATATTTTTCATCAAAAAATTATTGCTTTATATTACCATCCCGAAAATACTGATGAATGAGTGGTTTAATCGATTTAACTTTAAAATTTGCTTAATAATCATCTTAAATGCATTTTCGGTTAAACTTTGTTCCTCACATTTGGCATATCGGTATTTTACATGCTAACTATTATGATTCTGACGTAGAAAGTACATTTATTACGCAATTTGAAGCATAATATGAGGCTAAACGGTGTATTTGCTTTTCATTAGTCAAACAGATGCTGGATCTTAATAGGCGACCCCATTCCAAGTTGGGATAGATACTGAACGTTGGCGACTAAATTGAATAAATATATAGAATTCGGTAAAATTGCTAGGTAGCTTTTATCCGGAAGTGATCCCACACCATTTTAGACGTTACAAAGATTATTGAGTACCTGTTTACATGCAAGGCATCAATTCTAATTTGATAAAATCGATTCCACCCATAATAACAATCTCTAAGATTCCTATTCAATCGATCAATTCTTGGCCAAGTAAGAAAGTCCTTCATCCTAAAATGAATGTACGAAATACACCGACCACGATAAAATTAAATAAATAAATCGACAATGAAAAAGGAAGTAATTAAAGCCTAACGTGCGAGAACAGCAAATTTACCAATATTCAGCCTTAAATGCTAAGAATAGAACGCATGACTGCCAGGAGAACTTCTAGATAAACGGTATACGTGAATTTGTTGGGACTGTTCTTGAATTTGATTTTGTACTTCCTTTTTATAATAAGAAAACATGCGTGCATTTAATGAAATGCTTGTTGAGCCCAAACTAATGCTTTCGCGCTTACTTTTATATTAAAATTGCACTGGCGGTCAAAAAACGCGAGGCCTTTTGGCCTATGGCCTTATTTTGTAGTTCATACATCTCACTTTAAGAACTGAATATAAATGTGATCTATCGCGCCCCTTGATTACTAATCGTTTTTGGTTATTTAAAATCACTCAATAACGCGAGTCATCTGCATTCCAACCTGTGAATCTTGAATTCTCAAGTAGGGCCTAATACTACAACATGTTTTACACGACGTTATTCTTCTTCCGTATTGTACATCTGTAAGCATTAAGGAAAAATTACACTACGTGAAAGTAAAATGTTATAGCTTAATTATTAATGGAATAACTTAAATAAAACATGACTTATGAGGGTGCTCAAGGCGACAATTTCACGCGACCAAAATTTCTTTCAGTATTTACGGCATGCCATGTTTTTCTGTTTGTTGAATAGCGTTGGCCATATATATCTTCAATTGACCATGCTTTCCCTACTATTTTTAAAACTCAATTATGAGGTTGCCATTTGTTACCTACTTTTAAATAATCTCTTAACACAATTTGAGATGCTGAGTACATCATTCCATGAATATGTTAAATTTTTTCGAGGTCAGAGACATTTTGCCTTCTTTCTAAATGCGTGTGGTACATGTCGTATCCTTACTTTTAATTAAGTAGATGGCGCTGATTTCCCCTTTTCCGATATATTTGTTGGGAGCATTTCAAGTGGTTTTTAAAGTGGTTTAAGTTTAATCTTATCGGTTACGGATTCAGTATTGGATAGACTGATATTTTTGGATTTTTGTCCAACAAACATTTATTAGATAATCCTCACATTCATTTTTCATCTTTCCATTCAGCCTTTTAATACAATGAAAATACAGATTTACCAGCAGACCAAATTACTGGCGAATATATACATCACAGATAAATACAGTTAAGATTGGCACTGCAGTGGTTGTCTGTAGATCAATCGTCTAGACCAGTGATTCCCAAAGTGGGCGATATCGCCCCCCGGTGGGCGAAAACGATACAGAAGGGGGCGAAAAAGTCGAAGGGGGCGATAGGGGGGCGATTTCGCGAAACCTGTTTTTGGTCGGCGCATCGTTCACTTGATTACTGTACTCTGCGTGCTTTCGTAGGTTTGAATCACGTGGGCAATGTCACACGCGAAAGAATTGCTGGACTCGTCTTTGCAGTAATAAGGTACGGTAGTTTGCGTATTCCAGTGGTCGGGAAATCTGAAGTAATCTGGCCCGGGACGCTTCACTGAATGGACCTTTTCCCGACCTTTGACCCCGGTAAATTCTTCCCTTACTTTATATACTAAAATTTATTTTTTCGGTGCTTATTTCAAGAGTGGTTTCGCGAGCTATTGCCTATATAATAAAGTATTTGTTTCAAACTATCGTTCTAATTCATACCATTCAGCAATCTGCTTTTTAAAAGTACCGATAAAGAATTTTTGCCTAGTCTATCACAGCTATTTCTACAGTAATTTTTGATTACTGTAATTGAACTAAAACTCATAGAATGATCATTGACTTATTTAACTAAAAACTAACGAATATAATTCAAAATCGCGAAAAAGAGGTAATGTTCACGACCACGCCTGAAAGTCTGTCTGAGCGAGGAATGTGTCTGAGGCTCTGAGCAGATGCGAAAGGGGCATTGTTACGTTTATTTTTGCATTTTGCTCAATGACCAACGTCATGAAGTATACAAGGAAGTCTATGCCAGGGGAAGCATCGAAACGGCGGTTTTAACGATGAATTAATTTTATTTAATATCTACGCTCGAGGAGTAAATTACATTTTTTTACGTAACAGAATTTATCGCGAGACACGTTTAGACTAAATTTCATTATATATATCCTGAACAGCTACTCGTTTAACGAGCCTACAATTCAATCATAATTAGAAAAATGGAAACACGCAGATATAAAATTCATATTGTATTCGAGAGATTCGTCACTGCTTAATTTTTGTAAGAATGTATATCTTCTTAAAGCAAAACTTTATCAAAATTTTAGAAACCCTGCGAAAATATTCACTTCGATGTTTGGAAGTACATATTTGTGCGAACAATTATTTTCGAAAATGAACATTACAAAGAACGAGCAAAAAACTAAGGTTAGTGATGCCCATTTAGAAAATCTTCCAATCTTGGCGTCGTAAAGCTATCAAGCGTGATGCGGCAACAAGACAGTGACACATTAAATGTCATTGTAATGATTTTTAATAAGACGACTAAGTTGAGTTCACGAATTGTCGCAGTTTTCGCACGATGTTCCGTTTTTAACTTTCAAAAAATATATGCGATCCGCAAAATAGCAACCCTAAATTTTGTCCCGCGAGCGATGTAAAATTTGCCGACCCCTGGGCCATCCGAGTCCACAAATCGAAGACAAAGGGCTGATTGATTCTAGGGACTGGTGATCGGACCGGAGGACGTGGTAGGAAGAGGAATCGAGGATGAATTTTACCGAAGACCGTTAAATATCATGTATTTTGGTGAAGGTCATTAGGCTGTTTTGGAAAATTAAATTTGTTTTCATTATTTTCATGTTTAATGGGGTGAATTTAGGGAGATAAATGCTATAAGGCAGGATCTTCGAGAAGGTAGAACCCTGGATTCTTTCATTTCCGACCTCTGATACGATGAAAGAGGGTTTTTTAGCCGTGCTGCTATTGCTATCAAAACAACTAAATCGCCTTTCCATCAGTAAACGGGGTAATTTTAGATATTTTAAAAAACTCGCTGAAGAACACCAAGCTCATCCATCTCATTAAAAAACACTATAAACTATGATTTGTCTTCTTATTTGGTCTGTAATATATTCGTTTCAGACTTTCATTTTTTTTGCAGTGCCGGGGGGCGATGAAGTTGTATAAACTACTATAGGGGGGCGATGGTACAAAAGATGGTACAAAAAGTACAAAAGCTCTAGTCTAGACCAGTGGTTCCCAACCGCCGGTCCGCGAAGCTTTTATGCCGGTCCGCGAAAAGTTTCCTTATTTTGATGCTGTCTCAATCGCTTTTCCGAAGACGAGGTTGCGTTGGTTTATTACGCAATTTTTCTTCCGCCGTCATATTGCGCCGTCTTTCGCGACATTTTGGCGTCGTCTTTCGCAACATCTTGGCGCCAAGTAATCACGCTTTTCGGCTCCGATTCATCGCGAATGCGCTCCATGAAATCTCGAAAGATTTGGAATCCTAAAAATCGGCACGTGTCTTTTTCTGCTCTGCGTGCTTTTCCTGATTAATATGACCATCCATATATAACGTTAAGCATATTTGTTTGTAAACCAGAAAACAGTCAAGAACAGTATAATATTCCAGTAAGATATGAACTTGTTGCGACCTTGCAGGTGGTCACGAGACGCGCAAAAAAGCATGGGCCGCAGAGACGTTTTCCAGTACTTTGAACAGACACATTAGGATTTTGAGCCTGGTGCCAAGTTATCGACGGCGTTGTCATTGTAACGTAAATTCATTTCGTTTGAGGCGTCGATCAACTGCAGAGGGATTAATATGATGAACGATGAAAAAAAAAGCTTGATTAAAATTGTGATTTTACAGTCCAGATTTAAAAAAGAATCACCTAACACAATTTTGGAAATCTCTCATAAGAATACCCATCGCTAGTAATCGAGCAATCAAACTGTTGTGCGTATTTTAACCAGTTACTCATAAAATTTTCGTCACTAGATTCAAATAAAACGAAACAAAGGAATCGGCTGCGCGCCACTGCAGAGCTGCGTGTTACAGAAACTCCTTTGAGGCCTCGTTCGCAATCCTATATTGGAAACGAAACAGGAGCAAAATTCCCACTAGAGTTAATTGTGTCTGTACATGTTTTGGCATGTATTATACATGTTTTTTTATGTGAGATGTTTTCTATATGCCTTTCTTACGAATAATGGGTGCCCAGAACTGCATTTCATTACGCAAATATATGGTATTATTTTATGTTTCACCCATTCCAATTTTTGGCCGGCACATTATTTGATAGTTTTTCTCAATGTGAAATGTTTTTAAGTGTGCCTTTTTTTCAGAAGCATATTGAGTGCCCGACATTGCATTATATTACGCAAATATATATTATTCTTTTCTTTTCCGGTCATTTCAATTTTTGCCGGTCCGCGGTTACATTTAATTTGATTTTACCGGTCCGTCAGGGTAGAAAGGTTGGGAACCACTGGTCTAGAGCAGCGGATCCCGGCGAGTTGCTAAGTGCACCGCAAATATTAACAGGATTGTGTTACATAACTAAAATATGATTGAATATTTCACGTATTGCATTTATTATAAATGTATTATCGTTTCTTGTTTTAAATGATGTGTATATGAAGCAATATATTCGTTTTATCTTTCTATGTCGTTTATTTTCTGTTACTTACTTGTTACGTAACGATAGAGATAAACACACACTACTTGCTGCTGCAATTTTGCGAGTTGCGGCTGCTGAGCTGAGCTGCTGAATCGAGTTTAGCGAACATGAGTGATAATTTTAGCATTCCAAAGTAAATCAGGCACAGATGAGGAAGCGGAGTTGACCTTTTGCCTTTATTCTTTAGGCCTACATGTTTACAAACTCCAAAAGCCATGAAGTACACATTACCGATCACAAACTTGAGTTTCATTTGAAAGCAGCATTTTTTTCGTGTAAGTGCACCGCGTTTTTTTATCTGATTATTTGGCGCCGCACGAACAAAAAGTTTGGAAACCGCTGGGCTGAACATCAGTCTTTTTTACCTCTCAGTGGGAGCGTGTAATCTCTCGTTGGATCGTCACAAATCATAGAAAAAAACATATATAATTCAATTATTCAATATTAATTCCCAGTCCCGAAATCAAACCAGTCGGACAGAATTTTTTTATTAAAAAATGTGAATTCAATATATTCTCAATGTTTCACAAATATATTTCTCGTCGGTTTTATTTGGATCTTACATGATGAATAAATACTTCGAAGCTTTTCCCTCTGACAGCGACTTTAGAATTTAATTGATATGTTTATTTGCACAAGTTCAATCTCTCGGGATATGTATATACGTTTATTCTTGCCATAAAATAGTCCAAGAAATAGAGACTGATGATTATGTAGACATATTTGATACATATGTTTATTTCAATGAAGCATTTGGCATATCCAGTAAAATTTTCAATCAATTACGCCATGCATATTAAATGCAAGCTGTGGAAAACAGAAAAAAAGGCTGACACTGATTATTTTTTAATTAGTAGCAAGCTAATGATTTCTTATAGTTGACAATGCCACAACATCGTCTTGTCAATCTTGTGTAGTTCCGCACTTGATTGTTGTATGGTTATCACTGCAACATTTGTAGTCAGTTGTGGCCTGTAATGCTGAAATTGGATCTAGCATTAATACAACCCATACTTTGCGGAGTAGAAGAAAAATTTCTTGACTATTCCCTATTAATTTCTGATTGGATTCGGAAAAATCCTAATTGTAATTTAGAACAATTTTGAAGAAAAAATGTTTAGATATTTTCCCTACCCGTTTTGCTTCATCTGGCGCTAACTCTGCTGGTGGGTTCTAATCGTTTTGAAGGAGGTAATATATACTTGGGCAAATTGAGGAAACCCACACCCAAATAACTTGAAACAACCAGCATACTATTTGTGGCTTGGAAACAACGTTTCCATAACGTATAAACACTAAATTCCATTTACAATTCTAATTGGACGTACCTGTTGTTTTCTGCAGCAGATGCAACCACCTTTACAGCAATATACTGAGTGCACGATAGCAAGTATAAGCTCAAGAGCATTTAAGGTAAATCCACCGATTTTTACCAGAAGTCCAATCTCAGTTGCGCTCTGGTAAAAATATTTTTAAATTTAAAATGCCAAAAAATCACGAGTTTCTTCAATGTAATGAACTTGAGAGGAAAGGGGTGGACCAAATCTAGCCATATCATTTATCTGGTGTTACAAAATAGGTTTCCTAGTTACAACATTTATCAACGTTTTTTACTTTGTCAGGACGTGGAACAACGATTATATCTAAAAAAGGGTTACGTAAGGAGAAATATTTGAACAGTTCAAGTGCTACCTTTATCTTATTAACTTAGACCAGGGGTCACCAATCTTTTCGAAGCCGAGAGCTACTTTCTGGGTACAGATTGAGCCGAGGGCTACCAGTTCAATGCAAACTTCCAAAAAAGTCAATTTGCTCGATCAAGCTTCAATTATTGATAATTACTGCTATTTAGTCAGGTAAAAACACTGATAAACCTCAGAATTCTTCAGGAAATCAAACGATTATCACAACGTAGTAAATTAATCACTATCCATAGAACTTCCATTTTCAAACTGATATTTTTTTTCAAAATGATCACTATAATAATATCCTCGGAAACCACACCACAGGTTCACAATGTACCTGCGTTTTTACGAACACCCTGCATAAGGCTAAGATAAAAATGAACTGAACAGTTGTACTGTTAAATGTTGAATTTACAAACAGATTTAACTAATTATGAATATCTTGTTTTCAACAAGAAGAAAACCAAAATCAAACAAATTTGGTCTAATGCTTCTCCACCAGTGTGTTATACTCCGGCGTGTAACTTGACACTGTAACTCTGATCGAGTCTTGCAGATTTTCATTAGCAGTGTGGCGTGTTTCGTGTTTAGTTCCTGGTGAATTTCATGTCAAAAAATGTTGATTCACAAAGATAGCTTGAACCAAACACTGGTCTCGTAGAATAGGATTTCTGTTTGATTTAAAAGGCGAGCTTTTTCTGCCCTTACTGCGCTGACCAATGAATAGTGACAAGATGTGAAATATCTCTCCGCTTTGTCGTTACTATAATCGCCCCGCAAATTAGACATACGCAAGGTGGTAAAGGGAAATCCATCCCCTACTCATCGTGAGATGGTAGGTTTTCTGTCATTTTTCTTTGAAATCAATAACTGTATTATTGCTGCTTCACAAATCAACGGACAAGAAAAAACGCGGGTTCGTGGAAGGTGACATCTGTGATGTCATATTTGGGAGAGACCCGTCACATTACTAAAGTCAAAGACAAAGTAGGATGATCGTTAAAATAACAATTAACATAGTGTCAGTTCCCACATACAGACATAAGTGCGATTTATACAAGAATAGCATGACAAAAATTAATTGACGTAGCTTACTTATAAGCGCCGTTGTTATGCTTATTTTGGAACAGTCATGCGGGCGACTCATGTGGTCTTTGCGGGCGACTTGGTGCCCGCGGGCAACGCGTTGGTGACCCCTGACTTAGACTGTTGTTATGCATATTCATCTTACCGGAGCAGGCGGAGATCCTCCCATTAATATGAACAAACAAATGTAAAGCGCCGTTGTTCCTCCTGATGCCAAAATAGAAAGAATAGCCAAGATCATTCCTCCAATCACCTAAAATGCAAATACCAGCGTTTGGGATAACTTATAGGGACAATCTACACCAGTGGTTCCCAAACTTTTTGTACCATCGCCCCCCTACAGTAGTTTATACAACTTCATCGCCCCCCGGCACTGCAAAAAAATTGAAAGTCTGAAACGAATATATTACAGACCAAATACGGAGTCAAATCATAGTTTATAGTGTTTTTGATTGAGATGGATGAGCTTGGTGTTCTTCAGCGAGTTTTTTATTATATATAAAATTATTACCCCGTTTACTAATGGAAAGGCGATTTGGTTGTTTTGATATCAATAGTGTCACGACTGAAAACCCCCTTTACACCATATCAGAAGTCGGAAATGAAAGCATCCAGGGTTCTATCTTCTCAAAAAGCGCCGTTTACTCTTGCCTTATAGCATTTAACTCCCAAATTCACCCCGTTTCACATAAAAAAAAATAAGAAAACAAAATTAATTTTTCAAAACCTATATTAATGAATCAGGTACATCTCATTTATCCCTACAGCCTGATGACCTTCACCGAAATACATGATATATAACGGTCTTCGGTTAAATCCATCCCCCATTCCTCATCCTACCACGTCCTCCAGTCCGATCACCAGTCCATAGAATTAATCAGCCCTTTGTTTGGGATTTGTAAACTTGGATGGCTCAGGGGTCGGCAAATTTCAAGTCGCTCGCGGGACAAAATTTAGAGTTGCTATTCTTTTGCGGATCGCATATATTTTTTGAATGTTAAAAACGGAACTTCGTGCAAAAACTGCGACAATTCGTGAACTCCACTCAGTCGTCTTATTAAAAAATTATTACAATGACATTTAATGTGACGCCAAGATTGGAAGATTTTCTGAATGAGCATAACTAATCCTAGTTCTTTGCTTGTTCTTTGTAATGTTCATTACAAAAATGATTGTTCGCACAAATATGTACTTCCAAACATCGAAGTGAATATTTTTGCATGGTTTGTGAAATTTTGATAAAGAAGATACATTCTTTCAAAAATTAAGCAGTGATGAATCTCTCGAATAGAATATGAATTTAATTTCCTTATTGCAATACAATATATTCGTATATTTACTGCGCTATTGAACAAGCTCGTTAAACGAGTATCTGTTTAATAGAATTTTTAGGATATAATAAAATTTAGTCTAAACGTGTCTCACGATAAATTCTGTTACTTAAAAAAATGTAATTTACCACTCGAGCGTAGATTATAAATATAATTAATTCATCGTCAAAACCGCCGTTTGGATGTTTCCCCGGGCATAGACTTCCCTGTTTACTTCGTGACATTAGCCAATCAGCAAGATGCAAAAACAAACGTAACAATGGCCGCTTTCGCATCCGCTCAGACAGATTTTCAGACGTGGTCTTGAACATTACCCCATTTTCGCGTTTTCGAATTATATTCGTTAGTTTTTAGTTGTTTTCCGGATTTTACATATAAATCAAATAAGTCAATGATCACTTTGTCTTCCTAGGAGTTTCAGTTTAATTACAGTAATCAAAAATTAGTATAGAAATAGCTGTGGTAGACTTGTCTAATATTCTTTATCGGTACTTTTAAAAAACAGATTGTTGTATGCGATGAATCTTAATTATGGTTTGAAACAAATACCCCATTTTACAGGCAACAACTCGCAAAACCACTCATAAAATAAGCACTGAAAATTTTAAAATATTAAAGCATAGAAAGAATTTTTAGGGGTCAAAGGTCGGGAAAGGTCCATTCAATGATGCGTGCTGGGCCAGATTATTTTACTCCGGCCGTATTTTTTGAACTACTAGGATACGCAAACTAACGTACCTCACTGCGAAGACGAGTCCAGCAATCCTTTCACGTGTGATAATCTTCCACGCGTTTCAAATCTACGAAATCACGCAGAGTACAGTACCGTAATCAAGTGCACGATGCGCCGAACAAAAACATGTTTTGCAAATCGCCCCCCTATCGCCCCTTTTGGCTCTTTTCGCCCCCCTATCGCCCCCTTCGACTTTTTCGCCCCCCTCTTTATTGTTTTCGCCCACCGGGGGGCGATATCGCCCACTTTGGGAATCACTGATCTACACCACAGCAACGAATTGATGACAGAAAAGTCACTAATGTAAAGTAGCTTTCAAAAAATGAAAGTGATAAGAAAAATATATAAATTTATCTACAGAACAAAAAGTACATCTTCTTAATACAGCTGAAAAATAACCCCCACGCAATGTTACGGAAATCAAAATGGGATAAAAAAAAGACCGATGGGTAAACTGCAATAATTTCATTCAATCACATGGTCAAGTCGCCAGATAATATTCAACTAAAGTCGAATTTTAGTTTAGGTCGATTCGAGTAATGAACTGAGTTTGCCAAATGACGGCATAACATATTATTTTAATCTAGGTAAGTAAGTGAAAGCTATCTATAAATATGAAAATTTTTGCTACAATGAAATGGGTTATAAACACTTAATTAACTAACGTTGCAATAACTTACATTGCAGTTGGTGGGACTTCTAGAAGTCGAGGAAGCCACAAGTCCGGTGCTTAGGTACTAGAACAAGAATGAAGAAAATGTGATAAAAGCAAAGGATGAATTGAATATTTCGTAATAAAGAACAATCGGGTATAATTGTAGGCGAAATGGCATGATAGGCAGTACATATGTGTGACTATTGCCTTATAGTAGAGCATTGATCCTGAGCCAGCACCCAAGTTTAATGGTTAGTAGTTTACGTAAGTCTTATTTACGATGAACAAATCGTAGATATGCCAATTCGAATCATTTGATGTAAATTTGTGTCGAAGTATTGTCATGTTCCGAGCGAGAACGTGAAAAATAAAAATATTTAGCATGAGTGTACGCTAGTTTGTGCTAATATTAAAAAAGGTTCAATATAGTAAGTGAATGTCCCGCAATACGAACCAGCACTCCAATCGCTATTGCACAATATGGTGATAATATTGTTGAGATAACTGCCAAAATCATATTAATAAGTCCAATAATCGTCTGACAAATCTGAAACAGAGAGTATAATTCGTAATTATTTCGCATGCGAGGAAAAGCTGTTTTTTCCATTTACTACATATTCTAAAAGAAAATATATCAAATATTTTCTTTTTATATTTTATAAGTATTAACATGAAATTTTTATTACCCCCAGTTTCTGGAAGACAGGCTTGTACTTTATGGCCGGATGACGTGGACGGACCATATTCGACAATTTACAGCATGTGCCACAGTTACAGGTTAGAATAAACTGAAAACAATCACAAAATACTGAATTTACAGTTATTAGAAGCTTCACACACATTGCTATTGATTAAAGTGTTTTCAAACTATATTTTTATATTGAAATACCTCCAGTAGCAATGCAAAACTGCATGAAAACAATTGCGATAACTAGAATTTGAAATTTTTCTCACGACAACTCGCAACGTTAGTAGTGGATTATCCATAGTATTGTAGATTTATTGATATTCTTTATCCAGCGAAAAGTATCGAACTTGGACAAAATTTTATTCATATTTTATGATATTGTGTTCCTAATAACTTTCAACATATGAAGTTGAACTAGTAGTGTATTAATACAATTAAACTAGCAGAATCACACGAATTTGGTTGGTATGAGATTGTTCTGTCCATTCGCTTTTCAGACGTGCAGACAAGGAACGTATTACATAATAGTCATAGCGTATACTATAGAGCAGTGATTTTCAACCGGTGTTCCACCTCTGCTTGTCACGAAACTCGCGCGCCGATGTGATAGCATAGTTATACCAATAATATGAAACTTTGATCTCCGCCGACCCACAAGAATTAATAATTGCGCACAGGAACAAATATAAGAACGTACAGGGGACAAGAAATGATCGATTATGACAAAATTAACCAGTAAAAATCGCTTTGTTGCCGATTTTCAATTTTTCTATTGATTTCCAAACCGACCTCCGACGTTCTGGAATCATGTTGTGTGTAAAGATATTGTTATTGGACCCAACACTCTATTGGCCACTATGAAAGTTGAAAAACGTGGGAAATAAAGAAACGTTTGAAAAAAGCTGCGTGTTTGTGTCACTTCAATTCCAGTCAGAATCAAATATTTAAAACTCATCGTAACAGCCCCAAATATCACTTAAAATACCATTCCTGTTTCTAGCTTATTATAGTATGCATAAGCAAACTCTCAAAAACATTTATGTGTACCATACTTTAGCTCTGAATCGGAACGTGTCACGTCTTTTCCAGCTAAAAGTTATATTATCAATTCCGTTATTTTATTTTTATGTCGAAATGATCGATGTCAGTTAATTGCATAATATAGTTTAATACCAAAAGTATCATTTGGTGTTCCGCCATAATTTTAGACTATGAAAAGTGTTCCGCGGTACAAAAAAGGTTGAAAATCACTGCTACACATAGTTTAATACCAAAAGTATCATTTGGTGTTCCGCCATAATTTTAGACTATAAAAAGTGTTCCGCGGTACAAAAAAGGTTGAAAATCACTGCTATAGAGCAAGGCTAAACTGGCGGACCGCGGTCCGAAACCGGACCTTTCGAGTATTAAATTTGGACCGCAGCTGCTTCTTGATTTCGAATGCATCGTTCTTTTTTTATTTCATAATCGTAATGCATTTTTCGCTAAACCATTGAGGTATAATTTCTTTTTTTACAGGTTTTTAGACATGGTGGTAAACATTAGCTTCTTTTTGTCAGTCTTTAGTTGTATTTTCGAAATTTGAAAATAGATCAATAACCCGATATTGCAAAATAGTATACTCTCTCAATTTTTAGAAACAAGATAGAAATAATTGGCAGAAACGAAGAAATGTAATTTCTCAGACTAACGATTCACAATTAACACTACTATTGGACACGGAGTCGACTAATGAATCGTTTTGCTAGAACCCTTGTGGTTGTTGTGTTTTTTTTTTAATCTTGCCTGGAAAAAAACGTTCTTCTCCGCAACTAATATATTCCAAATTTTCAGTATGAAAGATAATTCAAGTCGCAAGAAGACTTTTAAATACATACATTTTTACGGGTACGATGGGAACGAATATTTCATATGTTTCCAGCAAAGTCGGCGCTCAGCTATACGACTGAAGCCTTGTCATACCGGCACCGAAGCGCGATATTGAACATTCTCGTTCTTGTCTTAATACAAAAAAATATATATATCAAACCAAATCTGAGAACTGAATTTTAACAAAACAAGTATTTCAAACTTCACAAATCCATTCCCAATAAAAAAACACATATTCTTCATAACTCTTTGCATATTCCCAACATTTGTTTACTGCCTCGCCTCTAAGCATTGCAAGTCTAAGCTTTGCGTAAGGCGTTTTCGAGAAGAAAATCTCTTTTTTTATTTTTCATTTTGCCTCGGGCTTCCTTTATTAATAACATGTCAAATATCATAGGGCGTATATTGTGTGTTCATCCTGTAACAAACAAGCTATCATGTGATAGTATTGCCATGTTGTGAATAAATCTCTGTGAAAAATTTAAAAGCATCTGATTAACTTAAATGGGCAAATTTTCTTTTTCTTAAAGATTACTACTCATTAGGTTGATCACCGATTGCTGTGAATCAAAATTTTCATTCGTTTGACCGTAAATATATACTACTACGGTTTGACAAGATGGATGAGTAGTGACTCAATTAAAATGACAAGAAATGCCTTCCATTTCAGACTGGTTTGAAAATTACAATAAAATCAATGAATTCACGTCGGACACATTTAAAGAAGAACATGTTTACGCCACGTGTATAAGAATTCTTTCTCATACAGGGGAAATTCCCGCTAATTGGTTGCCACAGGCATAGTCGAGTTTATTTCAGACATCCGTGCATAACGACGTGTGTTTTTTTATCAAAGTCATTTCGTATCATAGTTTATTTTTGATAATAAATTTGTCATTAGATTTCAATTCGATGCAACATTTTAATAAAGTATAAAGGTTCAGTGTAATTGAATTTAACTGTTTGTAAGTTAGGAGAGGAACTGTTCAACTTTTCTGTCGTATGTATAAGGGATTGGCAATGAATGTTTCATCGAGCCGTGGCCTCAAAAATTTTTTTTTATACTTTTGATTTTTGATATATATTTATTTTGAGAGTATTTTCGCGAGTTGACCCGTGCAAACTTGTTTTATCATTAAAATCGCCATTTTGTTTAAAAATGTTCAAGCAGCAATTAAAAACTACAGACAGGTAGCCTATATAGCCCATTTTGGCAGTTTTACATCAATGCCAATAAACTTGAACATTTCCGAAAACAAAATGACGACTGAATCATTTCGTAGATACTAATTGTTTGGAAACATAACCAAAAATGAACAAATACCACTCAAAACTACCAAACCAAAGGAGTCAACATATGTAAACATATCAGAGCGCTGCTAATTTTACTCATTATTATATCAATATTTAATTCTTACGAATTAGCCATTGTTACCGTGAGATCGCAAGCAAGTCAATGCTCGGGGGACATCCATAGCGTATCCAAAATATGAAATAGTTTTACAAATCAGTTTTATCATTCTACTTACACCGCACATATAGAATCTGCTTATTGTTCGTCCATAAAAACTACATTATTTGCATCAAAACTGACATTATATCCAACTAAAGTAATAATATGCTAATACTGTATATGTTATTTAATATTTTATTTAGAATTGACATCAAAGAGGTGAAAATTTATGTATCACCGATTATACTGAACAAGTATACCACATTGATGTGGTTCCTATGCTGCTTTTAAAAAGAGCGAATCTTACATACTTTGTTAGTCTTTCAGTGGAACGATGACTTCGATTGTCACTGTGCCGCCATTAAATACCTATTATCCTAGATACTGATTTTTAGTTTCATAAAACAAATTAAATATTTTGAGGCAAAGATAATTTGAGTTTGTTCCAATAGTTTGAATACTACATATTTTGACATGAGCTTTTTAGTTTACAATTTGCATTCGGACGTTATCCTCTGGCCGTGGTTAATGGTATCCTCTATACCTAATGTAATACGATTTTTTGTCAAAATAAACCGTCTTTTTATCTGATATAAGGTGTTCATAATGATACGGGTGAACTTATTTTTTCAATTTCACTTTTCTTCGGGACCGGGATAAGTTTCTCATCGTCAAGATGCAGTCTTCGATGTTACGTTCATCAGCGAAATCTATGTTTATTGTAAATACCTCATATAGCTTGACTAGAATCAAGCATGGATGGACAACTGTGGGTCTGTAATAAACTCAAAAAAGCAAAATTCCCAGACTTTACTCATGTGCTCTGCAGAAAACTTGACAAATATATACATCTCTTCGACAAATTTATACCTCACAGCATCATGGTTGGTGTTTTGCTTTTCAAATATAGAACATGGTCCGCCCAGTAACCCACTTTCGAGATCTTTAGAAGATACAAAGGCGCAATGCAATCATATTTGCTTTATTTGACGAATTCTATTTTATCTTCGAAATGAAAATATGGAAATTTTATTTTAAACTGTAAAAGTATTTTCGTGATTTGTTTCAACTTGCAGACTTTTTACAGCAGATACACATATTTACAATTACACCGCTGTTAATTTACGAGAGTATTGTACATGGAAAATAATCAGCTTTTCTTCACCTCGCTCTTATGATGGTATAACCTGAAAATTTGAAAAAAATATGTGAGCATCAATGTATAAGTAACACGTAATTTGAACAACATGATAGGATGAAAAATGCGAGGATGACACGTAAATGACTAGAAGGGGATCGGTCTTGAAGACAATGGTGAAGTTAGAAAAAAAAAGTATAATATGTACATTCATGATCTTACCATTTTATGCTTCTGGTTCGTTTGTGAAAGGCTTGTAGGGGTTTTTTGTTTGGCCTGTTAAGTCAAAAACAATTTTGTTATATATTAATCACAATCTAGTGTTGTTAACGTATATTTGAATTCATGTTTTTTGAATAATTAACAAAATTATCTGTTGCACATGTTCATATATATTCATGATGCTAGGATGCCCTAATTCATTGTAAACTCGAATGATCAATAGTAATGACTGTTGACTTACCATACGCAGGAGGTGCAGCATGAGGTTGTGGTATTTGCAATACCATTCCAGGCTGAAAGATAGAACACAATAATGAATATATTTAAATTTAAAATAGTTTTGTTAAAATAATAAAATATAATAACAAAAATAATACATTTTGGTAAAAGAAGCGTAGCTTGCAAGATACGATTCCCAAAGTTTAATAGCCGGTGTATAATAAATTAATTTTAATTGGCTATCAATTTGATCTATGAAAGATCTTTATCAAATGTCTGAATATTTATATTTACTTGGTCGGTTCTGGCACAGCAACTTCCACTACAGCAGTACGCAGAATGTACAATTGCAAGGAAGAATTCGAGGAAACACAATCCGCATATTGTTCCAATGATCGCAATGACACTGCTCGCCTAAAATATACAAACGGGTTTGTCTGACAACTGCTATTTTACAAATGAAACATCATGTAATTATTCTGCCAATTACAACTTATAAAAGGCTAAATAGCGTTAGCGCATGTTCTCAATTCTAATTAAAGTGTTTTGAAGATATTCTAATAATTGTACGAACAAAAATGAATTTTCATTAAATTGAAGAATTAAATTCACTATAATTGTTACGAAGCTTCTCTTTGAACAAACTCAAACATTATAATGTAACAACAACAACAATCTGAATATCCACATAAGCAGAAAAAGATCACTTTGAAGTGACATGCATTAAAATGTGGAATGTATAAACATGACCCACGGCCCATTTGATCTAAACTAAGAATATGCAAAAAGTTTCTTAAAATAACAATTACAGTATAATTTGTTTTAATCTTACTTCCGTGTAGTAGGAATATTCTAAGCTGTCCAGTTCAGCTAAGGCAAATGCTGCGACGGCTGCAGTAATTCCTGCCGAAAGAGACGAAAGAATAGCCATGACCATTCCTCCAACAACCTATTACCAAAAAAAATAGATTGAATATATTTGGTATATCGTTAAATAGAAGTAAGGTGCCGAATACAATGACGGATTAAGCTTGTATAAGAGACTGGCCAAAATGTATATCCGATAATTCCAAATCTTAAACAGGAAAAAGTGTTTTATCAACGTAAAATACTGTTCAAGGTGAGGTTATACTCTGAATGCTATATTGTCGTATGGTGAATCTGCAAGTTCATACTATTCGGCATTACATTTATATTTTTAGATATAGCTGGTTAACTTTGATACGCTATTATTATACAAGTTATGAGATGCAATTCAATTAAATAAATAGGTAAAACCCTCAATTGAATAAAATTCCAATCAGTTCAATTATGCTTCAACCTGGAACTATATAGGTTATATTAGAAAAATAGTCTATTGAACACTTACGTTACAACTTGTGGGACCAGCTCCAGTTGCCAAAGCCAACCCACCTGTAATGGCGTACTGAAATGCAAAATTAGGATATATGAATATGGGAGTTACAGATAAAGAGAGGTGACATACTTTTTGCACGACAAATGTTGCCAAATTTATATCAAAGACTAAATAATATTTCAGTGATTATATTCATAATTTTGCTAAAGATGGTTTATTTGTTATCTTTATAAACAATGATTCACAACGGGTCACTTACATTAAAACCTATTTATAAAACATAGAGTGCATGTGCGATTCAGGAGCAAGTGGGTTTGAAATTTATGTTTTATTAGATGTTAAGTCGTCCTCGTTTGTTTTGAAGCAACGAAACAATACGAGTTCGGTCACGAATTCGCCTTAAAATCAAAGTGAAATGCAAATTAAATAACGGTCTCACCAATACTCCAGCTCCGATTCCAGTATTGGAAGTGGAAGTAGGAGATGTATGTGAGGCCAACACACCACCAATGATCGCACAGATGATACCGATTAACAATTGACATATCTAAAAGTTAATATATATAATTAGACATTGAAATGCATTTGATATAAATAAAAATAAAAACTTAAATTAAAACATGCTTGGTTGTTTGAATAATATTCTTCCAATCCCGTAATGAATAGTTATAGACTTTAATCATTAATCTCATTATAAAATTATTTTGGTAGATATCTGTAATTAATTATTATCTAAAAATCACTTCAAGTTTGAAGTTTAATTACTTAAAGGTCTTTACCAACATACCCCAATAATGGTGAAAGCATTCTTGTTCTTTTCGGCCGGATGAACAGGTGATGCGACCACAACATGTTGAGCTGGTTCGGGAACGATTGCCAGATTTTGTGATGTTGGGTAATACGCCATTATTATCTTCAGATAATTAAAAAGTACTTGACCAATAGAATAAAATTATAGATTATTTAATAATTTCCCTGTAAAAAAAATTCATTGTTGAATAAACAAAGACACCCACATCGCTAATTCTAGTCCTAAAGTTCTAATATTCGAGTCCTGAAACATTGATGTGTTATGAATGCACATCTGCGTTAAATTGTATATAATTAAATAAATATGATATAGCTCAAATTTACGGTTGAATTCAACCCGCGTGATTCTAACTTTCTTAGTATAAAAATGTTTAAGCTACTACTGCTCGTAGATAAATTGCTAATTAAGCACTGACCATGAGAGAAAGTAACTTGCATGATAAGTCAAACTGGATGGTTGTAAACAACTTCAAATTCAACTAGTAGATTGAGGCCTCTTCTTGACAAATGTATTACAGCCTTGTAGGCTTGCACGTAATTTACGGATTTACGTAATTACGTAATTATTTAGAGTTACGGAAGGGAAGTTACGAATTACGTAAAGTCGTAATTTTGCATTGAAACGAGCTTTCTTCAAAGCAGTCAATTTCGTCGATTGCGAAAAATGAAAGCTCAACAAGTAGAAGAAGTTAGCTTTCCGGTATTCGCAGCCGTTTATTTCTCTTTTCTCTCTCTTGTTACATAGGTGAAGGAAGGCATGACGCGTTGCCATTTACTAACCTATTATCAACTTATCTGGCATGGCCAATGTAAATTAATAACGTAGTTAAGGGGGAAGAACTGAGTAGGGCCGTTTGACGCCAACACACCTGGTTTTAACTTCTCCCGCAACTTAACCGTAGATAAGGGATTGCGTTGAGACCGATTGACGCCAACACACCTGGTTTCAACTTCTCTCGCATCTCATCTAGCATGGCCATGGCCAATGTACATAATAACCGTAGATAGGGGGAAGAATTGTGTTAAGACCGATGGACGCTAACACGCCCGGTTTCAACTTCTTCGGGTGAAATGACTAATGAACGCGGGAGATCAATCTATCAAACATTTGTATCCATTTTATTTACTTGTTCCAGTTTTCCGTTACTTATGGTATATATGTTCCGTTTCTATTTTATTCTATTTTATAGTCACGCGGGGAATAGTGGAAAATTCCCCACAAAGTGTGGATTAGCAATGCTTAACCATTCTTTATTGTTAATATCAACACTTGATATATGAACATGGAATATCATACTGTTTTTGGCTGTTTTATTTCGGACTTGGGGTATAAACAGGAAAATATCCATAACCTTTCAACACGACGATCTTGCGAAATTTAACGAAGAGCTTTCGCGAAGAATTGGAACCAAATAAACGAAAAGAGCGATTGATCACTCGCGCCAATACCTCGCCGTGATAATTAATGTCGCGCTTTATCAAATAGCAATATAACGACAAAAGAGAGATTGCGTAATGAACCAACGCAACTTCGTCTTCTCGGCATCGGTAAAGCGATTGAGACGGCAGAGAAGCAACAAAAAGACGGATTCCTCGCGGACCGCTAAAAATTTAACTGCTATCATATATAATCAAATATGAGCCAGTGTGTTTATTCTGTGCGAGATCCATTTTCTATTACAAAATCTTGATGTTTTGTTAACGGTTTTATCGTTATATATCAGTCCGGACTTGGCCTTGCTCATGATGTTTTTCACAATTCCTCTCAATATTTCGGCCATATATGATTAACTGTCTTACCAAATGCGGCAACTTATTTTGATTTATCGTCGACTTTAATACCACCGGCACTCGACCAAACTTGTGTCAATCTTGGCCGATAGGATCACCGACTTGAGTTAGCAAATAAATGTCGTGGGTGTAAAATAAATGTCACAAAATGCATTGTGTTGCGATATAACTTTGTATTTTCGGAGAAGGCATATCATATAAGTTCGGTATTTAATATACGCAAATAAATAATATTTGATCTAAATTTATCGCAAATATTGTTATAAACATTCAGTCCGCGAAATGATTAAATGTAAAATGAAGCATGGTAATCGGAATATCGTCAATAAGTCGACATCAATAATTATTATTATAAAATGCTAACAAGGCAGTAATGTCGGATAATGCAGAAGACGCTGCGAAAACAAGTCTTCGTCGCGAGGAAATCGCAAGTATAATCAAACGAGAGAATACGCTCGTCGTTGGTTAATAAATTAGAAACCCGTAATTTTTATTCAGTACTAAGGTGGTTTTAAAAAACTATCGTTTCCATAAATATCCGTATACCAGTGTCGCCGTGTCGGTAATGATAAAATAAAATTGATCGCATAAAAATGGGACGGTTAATTTGCGAAGGGGATAAAGGAAAACCAAAGCTAACACAAAAGATAAAAATCAGAATAAAATTAATTTGAATTCACTCCTTGATATTTTTCTTTAACATCTGCCGCCGGCGTGTAGTACTGCCAAGAATATGAAAACCCAACTTCAATGTCCCATTCGGAAAAGAAGTGGATTCAATTGGTTGTTATGATAGGTTTAAATGCGTGAAAAAATATCGCAATTACGGGGTCATTACGTAATTGATTTTGCCGTAATTACGGAATTGAGTTTTGTCAATTACGTGCAAGCCTACAGCCTTGTATGCAGACGAGACTGACGTTTTCGTGTAATAATGACGACAAGCTCTTGGCTGATCAATAGGTCTGGGCGCTCACAGACCATAATATGTGTCAAGCGTGAGTCTTGGTTGTACCAGGAAATTGGATAATAATACGTTCCTAATTGATATACAATACTTTTGTGCCGGAAATGACGTTAAAAACGGTAAGGAATCAAGTTTAAATCAAACGGTTTTTTTTCAAAATGTTATTCTTTTTTTAGTTCCTCATAATAAACAGTATGGTAATTACAATAAATGATAGGCCTAAATCTGGAATACTAGAAATTGGCCTTGTAGGCGTAGAGCCTTTATAAAATTTTATTGTGGAGCGCCGACTCTGCCCACATAGGGTATACAAGTAGGTCAATACCAGATTCTTCCGACGACCAAGGTTGTACTCCTAAAAAGACGTGCACTACCCGCACAAGATGTTTATTTCTTTGTCGAATGAAGTATTTTGTTGTGGAAATATTTGTGTACAGTACGGTGCGATATTGCAGTTTTATGAAATTATCATAAAGAGAAGTAAATGCAAATGTACAGTATACGCAAAATATAACAAGTTCGGAGCAATATCATTATTACGTCATACAAAACTAATAAATAACTATAGGAATCACCAGTGCAAGTAATCCAACACCTGACAGGAAAACAAATACAGACTGATGCATAATCAGGAAATTGTATATAATACTTACTTGACGCTGTGTCCTCGAAAGCCGTCAAGCAGTAACTTGAACTTCAAATATCCTGATGAATATCGTAACTTGACTACCAAACTATTTCAGTATCTAGAAATATCACATTGGTCATGTTGGGAAACAGGCTGGGTATAACACAGTGTTCAACATAAGTACAGTAGCCATAAAATCAAGAATAACATTCTCAGTCAAATGCTAAACCAGCCCATCGATCAGAAGCATCCAGCTAGAACCTCTCAGCATGCGGTCTATTGACGTCAATTCCACAGGGTGATTGTGGCGCGATAGTAAGCATTCGATGAACTGAACAATAGCGTCAACTAACGAAAAGTAATCTACTATACTACAAACAGACTAACAGGCCTTTCCCAACACCTAGTGAAATTGTCGAGTTGGTGGATACATCAGCTACGGATAACAGTCGATTTACTCTTTGGTACCAAAATCTATCTATTTTTTTTCATCCTATCTTCGAGGGAAAATTGAATCATAAAATATGAACCATCCTTTTTTCAACATATTGCAACCTCAATTAATCTGGATACGTTTATTAAAACACGCACTAAATATTATTCCATAACATGTGCATGTTGCCACTGCTAATATACGCTGTTTTTTTTTTCAATAATAAATTCCTTCAAATGCGCGATTTATTGATCAAATATGTGATGTTTAGCGTCATTTGCCCTGAAGCTGGAAATAAGTCACGATATATACTAAATTCTAAAGACGATTTTGTGGCCAACGCACAGCTAATACATATTTGTTTTTGCAGTCTTTGAAATATGAACGCCTGAGGTGAAAAAATCTTTTTGTTTAATACAGAGATGTTCTTTCTTTGGTTGATGACAGATTCCAAGAATTTAGATTCCTATTTTAAACGTGAATACTTTCTTTGTCTGAAAACAGATTCCATACATTTAGTTTTCTATTTCAAACGTAACTATTGGGGAAATCAAAAACAAGTTCGGTTAAGTTTTGCCAATTGTTTAGCCGCCCTGTAATCACCAAAATGAATTTCCACATTTTCAATATATACATGTTTTTGGCATGACAGCTTCATTCACAAAATAGGAATTTCCACTAAATAAAAATAGATATATTTATATATATTAAATATATTTATATTTATAGAAAAATATTATTAATGTTGTTATAATCGCTGCCCCTTTCGCCAGCCCCCACCATTTGTCAATTTTTTCTGTTTTTACCCGTTAGTCTAATTTTTCGATAAACATTGGCTTTTTAGATTTCTGTTAATGATATTCATGTTCATTGGCGCCTCGAGGCTACCATCTGTAAAACTGATGTTCAAAAAAATTTGGCTCTAAAACGATGAGATTATTTAGAAACAGGATTGCTCTGGTTAGTCATGCCTTGGCTGATTTGAATTACTATTATTTATTATGCGACTAGTAGTCTACGTACATAAAATACCTTCCACTCCAATGAATTGTCCCAAATATTGCCACCGAAATTGTAAGAGGTTCTTGGTTCGGAAATGGATCAGATTTTACACTCTTTGATTTTATTTAAGATTCATTCACGAAAGATTTATACAAATCGAAACTTTTGTATTTTTCATAGGTTTTTACTATAAATTCTAATAAAACTCATATCATATGAAATAAATACTTGGAAATAAATAAATAAAATAATAGTAAAACTGATGGCAATATTCAAAACTGGACAGGCAACAAACACCATTACCCATTTTTCCCAGGGCAAAGGGATTGTTCAAAATTTATATAACCGAAATGAACACCGTCGAGACCGCAACGTCGAAAGATTCTCTGTCTTCAGTACATACGGAACAATTTCACATACAATATATTACCTACATGCAATTTTACAATGCAATAAACATTTCTTCAAAATATCAAAATGATACTATTCCTACACATGTTGGAGGTTACCGATCCTTCCGAGAGGAGTTTGGATTAGGCTCCGTAGAACTACCTAACGCTACTTACTGTTTTTTTAAACTTCTGGGGCTACTTCATAATTTCAGTTTGAATAAATTCGAAGTCAAGCTTGTATTTTAAGATTGTAGTTTGCTACCTTATATTTAGCCTTGTCACAACTTACGCAACTTACTAATTTATAAATCTATTATATCCTTTTTCTAGAACATATTTAATTCATTCAAATGACTTCATCTAGTGAAACTAGTACTTCCGTTGTCATATCTTATTTTTTGCGTTTTCAAAGTCTCCGAATTTAGATTAAAACTTGGAGCACGTTTTTTCGTACATTATGGTTGCGACGATCTAGCTTGGTCAGACATGGCCTTCACGTCGATGGAGAATTGATAGGAAAATAGCTCAAAATTTATTCTTAAATTAGTTTATCACGATTTCGTGACGTGGTGACATAATCGAGCGCGGAAAACTTTCTCAAACTTGGGGGATTCCATGTCTTTCATTAGCCCGAGGCGTGATATGTGAGCTTTCATTTTGTGATACTAACGGTCAGTTCAGTTCCGAATTATGCAGGATTCGCCATTTTGTATTCTACTTAGTTTGACTGGTTTATTGACTAGAAATATTGACTCCAAGCGCTCGCACTGATAGGTTTATTAAATGAAGTAATGTTGACATACAATCAGTTTTCTACGGTGATTGAAGTTTTGTGCATGTGAAAATTGTCTTTTTACTAAAATATTAAAGCATTTTTACTTCAATATTGCCGTATAAACTTATTTATTCTATGTCAAATTTCCACCCATAGATGTGTAAACTGACATTATAATTTTATTTACATTCAATCTAATAGTTTGCGAAATCTATTGCGTAACAACGTCGAAAGCATAATATTTTTATATTAAAATTTATATCGTTCTTCAAAATCGATCCCCTAAATATCCAAATGAAATCACTGCACCATTTTTACTCGAGTCATTTTCCGCTCATCCATGCTTAATTAACTTTAAAGATACATGGAGAATAATATCGTTTTTAAATTTTTCACGTCATTGGATCTATCTATAATTCTTTAACATCATTACCAGTCGCGTAACGGAAACTATAATATCACGTATGTACTTGACAGACGAGTAATCTGGAGTGCATGACATTAGATTTTAAAATATTCCCTGAATCGGAAACATTAATCAATAAGCTAGGAACAAAGTATTGCCGAGATGATTATTAACTTAACAAACTTATTACCTTTGCGCCTTTAAAAAGACTGCTCGAACGCAGTTGGATTAAATTCGAGCAACACTCTGATATCCTTTAAACAGATTTTTGCAAAATGCACTGCAATATATAGTTGAATATTTAAAAATCACTAGATTATCATCATTTTCCTGGCATTTTTATCTGGATATATTGTATTTTCACGAACCATGTTTTCGTAAATCCGATGCTAGCTCAAAGAATAAATCTATAGTCCAACCAACGCTTCACGACTTTTGTTTTAAAAATATTAATAGAAGAATATCACATATAAAAAAATGTTAGAACATTGTTCTAATTATTTTTTTCAGGATAACAGAAATAAGTATTTTTGGTAATTGTAATTCTAAAGTGGATGATAATATTTCCACGGAATTTTTACCTGTATTACATCAATGAAAAAAATAAAGTAAAGTGGAAAAATACACGTATTTCATTAGGTATCTGACGAGTATTATAAAATGAAACTAAAATATTAGCATTTACGATCAATTAAGCATGAGAAGTCCCAAAATCGCAAGATTTATCTCATACATTATAAATGACAGCATGTTTTTAAACATAGAATATTCTTGTAGTCATGTATCCTGAGGCTAACGATTTAATTTGACATTGCGAATTAGCAAAGTGAAACAATTGTATCATAGAAAAAAGTCATTTCTCATGTTGGGCGAGATTTTAGTATCGACATTCAATCGAATATGTTCTAAAATTTTAAAATTTCGTGAAATTTAATTTACACCTACTTCATCTGCGGATGTGAAGTAAGCAATAGCGCCACACCCTACAATGATAAACAAAAATAATTTGCTTTAGCTAACTTGTTGAGTTTTATATACAAAATATTCCAAATATGTATATACACGAATAATATTAATTTTTCGGACTTTTCTGCTTGAATCGGTTAGTGCTTTGTTTCAGGCAGGTTCGCGTAAAATATCAGGTTTTGGTATATTCACTTTTGGTATTCGGTTATTCATTTTAAAGCCCCATAGACGAGAAATCATTGTTATTGAAGAAGAACTATTATTTTGCAACTAACACTATAAATATGACACAAAACTCATCTAAATAATTCAAAGAATATAGACATGTTCTGGAAAATGTTTTCCCCACTTTCAATCATATAAATATTTATTCATTATCACTCAATAACTGATTAGATACTCATTTATTAACATCATTCTAAAGTTGTTGATCATTTAATATTAAATGCCAACATTCGAAGGAGTTTTATTTTTTAAATTGGGAAAATTGTCCCCAGAAAGAAACGTAATCAGTTTGAAAATCACAATTATGTTGGGTGAAAAATATTAAAATATGTTTTACATGTTGTTCAATATATAACGTCACACATGAAAGTGGTTTACATGTCAAATGTGTCTTTGTTTCTGAGTATATGATTTATTATAGAAATAGAAGGGTTCATGGATTTGTGGTTTTTAGGCTATTTCACATGCATTGAAACATATTTTCAGATATGTGGTTTCCTCCGGCATTGTCACAGATATGAGTAGCGTTTTGAACATGTCATTGTTACATAAATATATATCTAAAACAGATCACACAACAGCGTCTTAGATATGTGATTATTTCTACACCTGTACAAAAAAGGTTCAAGTGTCATTGAATGGTGGCTTTGACTATATGGGCTATATGACATGAAGGAGCGTTCGTGGATGTTTATTTGATTTCTAGATCTATGTGAATCTGTTGTGATCAAGCGTCAATATTTGGGAATTTGAATTATCCAGGAAAACCTAAAATTTTTTCAGAAAATCCTCATATGGTCAAGATTAGCCGCTAACTATGGTTGAATTAGACGAAAATGAGATATGGACTCACAATATACCTCCTGGTAGACAATCTTATTTATCCCCAAATAACTCACACATAAACCCATCAACAATTGGTTTTGATTTATTTCAGCAATAAATTTGAAATAGTAGCACAATACGAAACAAAGGTATCATAACAATAAAAAAACGATATATGCATAAACAATGTGAAAAAACAATCAGGGCCTATTAGTCATTTATTCGTCGTTGATGTTCAATTCACGAAGTTATTGATATTTGACTATATTTGTATAATTGCGAATTTCTTGATGATCTTGTTATCTAAATAAAAAGAGCATAAGCGAATTAGCTATTGTAACCGACAGTCGGGCATGCATATCTGTCATTCAAATATTTAATCGCAAATATATATATTCCATTTTATAAAACTCTATTGTCGATTATATTATCTTTTAGTGAAATTAGCATATCATCATAATTGTGAGTGCCTTAAAAATTGCGAATATCAAGTGAAATGAAGGTAAACAACGTTCATATAGTAATTTTACTTTATATAAGCATGATGTAGTAAGTCACGGAGGGGTGCTTTAAACTCGTTTCGAAAATATACTCAGAGTGTAATAATAGCGATTTTTATCAATACCCAAGTATTACCTGGATTTTATTCTACTCAACAGGATCATCAGTAAACTGTTTATATGGAACCGATGATTGTTCTGAAAAAATGAGTTGAATATCAAAAATTAAAATAAAATTAGAATAAGAATTGTATGATAGTAAGGTATGAAATTTGGCAATTCCTCGATATTGTGAAGTAAAGGTTTTTGTGATTAATTATTGAATAACAATTTTAACTCTAGTCAAATTCTTGAAAATTGTGTTGCTAGTATATAGAATGGTTACTATGGATTTTAATGATATTTAACCCTTTTGTGTTATTGGTATGTTTGAATGCAAGGAAATGTGTAGAGAAGATTGGTGACGTCTTTTCGGTGTTCACAAAATGAGATTTTCTTTGTTTTTTGTTGGTGGTTCGTAATTTGGTTTAGAATTATTCTAAGGTTTTAAGTGTGTGTCATTATCTTCTATTAAGATCTTTACAAAATATGAGAATTTGGCAACATAATTGTTATATTTTTATTCGAGCTCTGAGGTAGTCCGGTTGAAGTTTGCTCCGCTTAATTACGTTCTAATAGTACTGGAGTAGGACATGCAAATAAGTACCCATCTTTTATAACTTGAACTAATTTATGAACTGAATTGCCATTTAGAAATATACTCAGATGAAGATGAAAAGTTGACGAAAAAATAGCAATCTAGATTGTGTATCTTGAATAACCAATAAACACAATACCTACCGTATGGAGGTGGTGCAGCAACCATGGGCGCATGTAATGCCATCAACGTTGGTCCCGAAGGAGGAATCTATATGTAAAAATATATAAATACTTGAGCAGGCAGTTAATTAATTATATTTTATATTGTCTATTTTTATATACATGGATCTATTTTTTCCTTTTTAATAAATGGAAACTTTATCTTGTCATAGTAGAATGAATGTGGGTTTAGAAACATTTATCAAATTTTTGTAGGCAGACATTTTCGTAGTCCATTCGACTAATATATATGCTATTTGTTGTATACAGAAGAGCAGAACGAACCACTTCATAACACGTGGTTTTATCACACAGATACCCAATATATTCAGTAAATTTCCTCCGAAACTTCCAAATATACTTTACATAATATATTTGAAAAAAATATGCCATTGTAAACAAACCTGATTTGTTGAACAGCATAACTCTTGAGAGCATAAAACCAAATGAACCAACGACGTAATAAACTCTATACCGCTCACCCCACATAATATTCTCGACGCCCAAACGTTGAAGTCATCCTGAATAAAAATCAGTAAATTCAGTTCATAATACCCATCTTGCGTTGTAATTAAATAAAATACCAAATTAAAAGTACAGTACGTATGTACAAATGATTCATTGGTGTGTTTTTGGCTAAGATGGATATCAAACTTTGGGCAAATGTTAAGAGAGAGTAGATGAAGTGGAATTGTCGAGTGGATGTCCAAACCTTTGATCTGTTAATTTTTTCCTGCTAAAACACGATGCCTTAAATCAAAATCAATCTATATTTGGTTTGAATTCTCCATATTTTCTGATAGTCGTGTCCTTCAGTAATATAAAAAGAGAAACCTGGTCATAATATCCATAATCAATTGTATTTGCCAACCGCAAACCGCCTAGAATTGTTAAGATTGCTGAGAACGTTGCTGATAGAGACGTCACCACAATGCTAAAAATCATCTGTAAAACAAGGAATTAATTTCTTTGTGAAATTGGTAAATATTTTATGATTATGAGTTTATGGTTCTTATTAACATATTTATATATATAATATAAAGTTTAACAATCAAGTTAAATATCATTGAATGGCATAAATTTGAAGGTTGAAAAGTATTCGGCTTGCGCAATAAACGGTGTGTATCAAAACTTTGAGAAGGTATTTTAAACATATCCAACCGTACATTTTTCGGCTTTTGTGCAAAACATACTATCACCGTATTTTGCGAACCATAGGGCGCACTGTCAATAAATTGCTCAGATTGCTGTTTTTTTCATACAAAAGGCACATCGGGCTATGAGACGAAATGGTTTTTAAGAAGTATCGGTTTACAGTACAAATTCCAGAGTAAGCCTCCTCCTCCGTTAATTCAATTCTGGATGTGCACCTGGTCGTAGTTGCTATTACAATGCTTATTACAATTACAATTGTTTTTACATTATTTATTGCGTGAGAATGCGGTTTGTTTGTAAAACATCCATTCATATGGCTTATAAGCCGCACGATCGATGTTTCTGAGAAAAAAGGATTTGTAGTGCGCATCATGGTCCGTAAATTATGGTACTCGTATTACTCAGCTACATTGACATAAAGGTGTCAAAAACCCAAAGTACTAAATGCACATATACTAGATTCTACCTTGAGTATTTAATATGTCATAAATTTGATTTATATAGCTGTCTATAAATGTTAATAACTTACTATGACATTATTGAACGGATATCCAGTTGCAAATGCTGAACACCCAGCAACGATGAACTGAAATGAAAAACGAGTCAGAAATTGTTACAAGACTGAAAATGTCAAATGCCTACATAACACAACACTATCGTTCAGTATGTGATGTTGAGCGAGCAAGTACTCCATTAAACATTATCAAAGGCAAGTTTTTTTTTTGTTTTTTTATTATGAATTGTATTAATAAAAATAAAATTATATACAAATTTTTGACGAGTAGAAAAATCTCACAGTTAGTCCTCCGGCAACTGTGGTACAGGTTACGAGATAGGCTGAACTGATAGCAGTCAAGATTCCTCCAATCACAACACATCCGATTCCTATGATGAACTGCATCATCTAATGAAGGGAAAAAATAACTAATTATGATTACTACTTCATTAAAATAATAGATGGGCATTCACCACTGTTAACTGTCGACTTAATAAAGCATGGAATCTCACGAAACGTTTGATTAACATTTGGTTGTCATTTGTTAGTCTTAACAAAACTCTACGGATTAATGTTGATTTTTAAATTAAAAATTTGAACATTGAACAAACTGATAAGAACACTTACCCCGACTGTCACAAACTGTCGATTAAATTTTTTTCTCTGTGCATAATCAGACGTTGAAGGAAACAAAGCATTTGGCAATTCAGTTGTCATGGTTTCGATGTAAGAGAGTTTATAAGTAAGAAATAGAGGGGTTCGTTCGTCACAGTTAAGAAATGGTTATAGTGTACTGTATGGTATTTAAAAAAACCTATGAAAGATTGGCATAAAATATCGTTTTAATAAATGTGTTCTTGAAACATATTTCTAATTCAACGATTATATGGACCAGGGGTATGCAAAGTGCGGCTCGCGGGCAAAATGCGGACCGCAAGAGAGAATCGTGTGGCCCGCGGAGAAGTGTTAAAACATCTCAACCAAGATAATTTATACACTTGAAAAAAGTCATGGCTTCGAATATGGCACTTTTCGGCTCAACATATTTTTGTTCTAAAATGGGCGCCATAAAACCGCCTGGAAGACGAAGACCTTGAAAATGGATATCGAATTGCTAGCACTTCCATTGAAGCAAATTTGAATGAAAGTAGCCGGGAAAAACATCCAGCAGCAAATTTCTCACTGAATTCGTTCAAATTCGGTGTGAAAATAAATTAGAATGCCAGTTTTCAGAAATTTATGCGTTTTATTTCAGCATTTATGCAAGGACTCCCAATAATGCCATGAGGTCAATAACAAAAAGACACTATTTTGTGCCTGTAAATACCCAGTTATCAATATTTGGCCCGCCTGCAAAAAAGGTTGCACACCCCTGATATAGACTATTGGCCTATATCAGTTACGTCGATAGCATCCAATTACTGCGTTCAAAAATCACGGCTCCTATTATGAATTATAATAATATCAGCATTATAATATGAACATATATGAACGATATATTTTCATAATTGCTCTGCACAGATCTTACTATAAAAAGACGCTAAAACGTAGACTGGATATAAAAAAACCGTCAAGTTATTCCGAAAACTAATTTCTGATTTCAGTGAAACTTTTCATCTGTTCAGAAAATTGAAGCTTAAAGCTCCGAGTCCCAGCAAAACAGGTAGAAGTAGAAACTGAGTAAAGCAAAACACCTTCATTGTCATCGCACATTTGATTAGAACTGACTCTCACGACTTGTCTCAATTGTCAGCTGATGTTGTCAATAAATGACGAAAAATAAAAAGAGAATTCGCGATATCTGCTAGCGCCCCAGGCGTTATAATTTATGGTCTTGTCATCTTTGTTTTTGTATATCTTATCTAAATATTTATCAATTTTCCCGAAATTTGAGAATTTGTTCTCAATGTATCCTCAGAAGAATGCTCATTTTATTTTTGATGTTTTGTTTCCAATGAGTCACATTTAAATTACCATCACAAATTAATTTTTGATTGTAATGAAATAAAACATAATGTGTGTTCAATCAATTTTCTATTCTCATTAAATAAATTGTATTTTTCGGGATAAATGCGTTATTAGTAAACATAGTGAGGCGCTTACGTTGAACGCAATTGTTGTAACATTTTCGAGGTTGAATCCCCGCCGTAGATTGTATATTTTCCGCAAGGAACAGCTGAAAAATCCATCCCTTTCGATAAGGGAATTTCTGACAGTGAGTGGGAATAAAGAAACAAAGGCGTAACAGTTTACTGTGTCATATATCACGAAAAAATGCTTGCCCGATAAAATCATCGTAGACAAATAAATTAGTTACATAAGCAGATTTCTCCAATTCCATTTTCATATTTTAGAGTGAATTACGTAGGGCCGGTTGAGACATTCTCACCAGTTTGGCTTGGCGGGACAGATTTTAAATAAAAATGTCAGTTATATTACTTTTTTAAAATTCAAAAAATCACAACGAATTCGTTTTCAAATTTATAGAGACTTGCGATTGATTAGTTTAAGATTTCTACCAGAATTGTGCATGTGCTTCTGGAAATTACTTGGCTCATTATTTTAAGAACTTTTTTTATACCCCAACAATAAAAACAACAAAACGATTCAATAGGGACCGTCAAACACGACCCATTGATTGACCTACCTTAAATATTTTAAAGAGAAAAACTTTATTTTTAGTATACTAAATAAATCAAATTGATTCCCAGCCCACTGTGAAATGATCAAATGACTAGCACAGAGTCAGCTCTATGGTGATGGCTATAGAATCTCGTAGCTGTTAATTGTGAAAGGCAGATATATTACCATTAAATATAAACAGGGAAAGGATAACAACAAATGCTTTCGATCGAGTGCCTTCCAAAATAGCAAATTATTTTTATTTCTAAATGAAATAATGAAGAACACTATTAACTAAATTTATACAGATCATGGATGCAAAATTTCATCACAAATTATAATGAGAAAAGTGTAAAATATGGAGCAAATCGACAAAGGTATCTAGGGAAAAAAATGTAAAATTGAAAAATACGTGAAATCAACAACTAAAATCTAAAAACAATCATTTGTCCGCAATTATACTTCGATCTTTTGTGTTAAAGTTGTATATGTTAACACTGACTGCATTATTTATAATCCAGCTGCGCTTCTTGCATTGAATTTTCAGATAGAACCTTGCAGTCCGAATGATCGTCGTATATAGGACTATGGCATCTCTTCTGTGATATTTGTTTGACCTTTAATGCGTAGAGAATCATATTATTGCATAATCGTCCTCGTAAATATTAGTTATGGCGGTGTGGCATTTTTAAGGTATGTGTCATCATGCTATTTCGGGAAATTTCCCAACCAATATTAAAAACCTCATTCAGTATATTAACTTTTGTAACTCGTATCTTAAAGACCAAAATTTGTAGGAAGAAAACTAAATTACTATAAAGTACAAATACCTGACTGCTTGATCTTGTACAGCATCTTGCGCGGCAGCAGTAGACTAAATGTGCCAAAGCAAACACGAACTCGATTGCACAAGCGACAATTATGGTGGCCATAATTCCATGTATCCGACTTCCCTGCAGCAGAAAAATATATTTGTTAATTGAGGTTATGAACAACTTATAGAGACTCTCAAGGACAACTTAAATTGCTGTTTTTATATTTACATTACCCTGATATTTTGGCCAAACATTGATGCCTAAAGAAGCCTATGTAGCTTATTACAAGCTCATTCGTGCGTGCAAATAGAAAAGAAAATCTATGGTAAAAGATGCATATGTTGATTTCCAACTACGCTATATTAATGCCTACCAAACGGTTTTCGTATGTTCCCCATATTTGCAAAATCCATATTCCTAGAACCACTATTGCAGACGATATGAAAGCAGATATAGATGCCAGTATCATTCCTCCGATTATCTATAAACAAAGTAATTATTATGATTTCACTTTGCAAAGTCTACAAGTGTGTTTCTGTATATTTCAATAAGCAAAAGTTCTTTTCGCTCACGTAAACTTCAACACCCAAAGATTACCAATTATAATTGCAAGCAAAATGTGATGTGGTGTATCAATTAGCCAACGTGAAAAATATTTCTAGATATTAGTATAAATGCATAGGTTGTATATAGGAAATAATGATGCATGTTTTTTTGTGTATAGGTGTGGCTGACTGGTGTATTTGTTTGAATTTCACTAATATTTTTTTTATATCACATGTCTTTAAAAAAACGGCCAGGAAAACATAGAATAACACGTTTTTGTAAAAAAATGGCATTGCGTTGCATCTTTTACAAACGGTTTTTGTGAAACATTGTTTTGTATGTTGACTTGAAGATAAACAATGATATACATATATCTTCTGAACTAGTTTACATCGGTATTAATAAAATATCTTGAGGCAACTGACCTTCAACCTTACAAAAACATTGATATTATACTTACATTACATTGTGTAGGTGACTGACCAGCGGATAGAGCTAATATTCCAGAGATGACGTACTGTAAAAAAAAGGATTTTTACAAGAATTGAATTCGTTTACGAAATTACGAATGGCTTGAGTAAAAGAATATGGGTGCTCCAGAAGTATGCGCACCAAAATGTCGTACAACCTGAATCCTAACCGGTACACACATACTAAAAGTATTGATCTTTTATAGTTTCTAGTAGCCTACCTAATCCATATTGACCTATCGCCAAGGAAATCAACACATATACACTTTCACACTATTTTGAAGTCAAAAACAAAAAGTTTGAATTTTCCATAAGACTTTATGTAACCCAAATCATCAGTATATCTCACCAGCACACCAGTGCCTATCCCGGATTTGGCGTTGGTTGATGTCCCGCTTGAACCGATTTGAGCAACTAATAAAATTCCGACAATAGAACAAATCAGACCCGCCAAAACTTCAAAAATCTGTGAAAAAAAATTTTAATTTTTCATTATTTTACCTTTAGAAAAAAATACCCAGCATTTTACTTACCCCGATAATTATAAAGCTGCATTTGTGATTAGTAGCTGGATGCTTTGGAATCTTTGTTGCAACAAAAGACATCTTTTGTGAATCCGAATGAATGACACACAATAATTGCCAAAAAAAAATAGTTTATTCTGAAATGTTGTATCTCAATTTTAAATAAACGTTGTAAATTTATCACGATATAGAATTCATTTAAAAATGATTCCTGCTTTCTTGAGATCGCAGCCATATAAAATAATTCGGGTTTCCTCCAAATTACAATATAAAGTGAAATATTATTTCAAGATTTTTTAAAAGAAGTATGTTTAGCTCTCACTGTGATATCTATATGTGAAACAATATAATTTCCTATGAAACTGCGTTAATTTAAGCAACAATTCATTATATCTGATATATAACATGCAATTTTGATGAATTGCATATTAATCAGTAGAACTGGAAGTTGCTATACAATATTTTCGCTCCATTTGACTATGCTATTCTTGCTAGCAGTACCATGGCGTTCTAACTAATAAAACTTAGTAGATGTTTTCTTATTCTTGACATAAATTTAGGAGTAATATTTATTAGTTCGTGATATTCTTTTAAATCAGTTTCCTTCCTCGAAGAAAAGTTGCGTCATCTCCAGCGTGACTAGTTGCTAATGTTCAAAATTTTTGAAATATTGAACTTTTATATCATTTACAAGTAAGAAAATCTAAAAAATATCAAATGAAGCGAATAACATTTTTGAACTGTTTTGTTTTCATGTGAGATTTCCAATTTCCGAAACATGAGAAGGCGTTGAAAGTTACAAATAATTTGTTGAAACAAATTATTTCTTTGCGTCTTCGAAAATGTCTGAAATACCTATTCAATTACATATTTCGGTTATTTCCACGTTTTAATTCATTTCAGTACAGTAATACAGTAAGACTGTAATACTGCGTTAACGCCCGAGGCACGTGAAAATACATGTTACATGTTTTTAGTATGACGTCAAGATATCGTAAACCTCTCCTTCATTTCGCCAGTTCAAGTTGCAAATACTTTGCAATGGCAGTTATTATAAATATTTATTCGTACACTTTAACGATGTTGTTTTTGATACTGATGATGCAAAGGAAACCCCCGTTTACATAGTATTTTATGTAAGTGGGAATTTATTTGAAATATTTCTCAATATAGGTCTGTAAGTTCGGGGTTCCCTTTTTAATCCCATCTTGGTTCACATACTACGGGAGCGCCGTAATTTTTTGTGTTACCATTGTTTAGCTTTAAATCAATTAGTTCAATAAATGTGGTTAACATTTTCTATCCTCATTGCCCTTATTCACGACCTCGTGATATTCGGTGATCGAAAGCGTCCTAGCTAAATTGAACATTACGTTCAATTAAATCTTTGCTGTTCAATGAATTATACAAAACAGATTCAGCTTCAAACGCTAGCCAAACGTACACACATGTGAAAATGCAAAACCTTCTTTGCCAGAAATGGCGGAAAAATTTTGAACTTGGGGGGCTCAAAACCAACTGTTTTCGTAACTTCATAGATGACGATAACGGCGTTTTAATTTCCATTTTTTTAAAATACAGTATTTAAAACTGAAATTCGCAATAAACTATTTTCGCAGTCATTGCGGTAATGTCTGTATATTATCTCTGCGTGTCAAATTGGCTAGTCCTTCCCGTTGCAGAAACTAAACTAAAAATATTGTGAACACTAAATCGGGCTTTTTTATTTTAACGATATCAAATACTGTTCAGTGTTTAAACGTCCGGATTTCCGCTTGTGGCCGACCAGAAGGCCTAACAGAGTTGAAAGCCAAGGTTTTGCTACCGGATTCTATATTTATATGTGGTTCGCCGTAAGACTTGCGTTCCCAAATATTCCACACGTATGGAACTCTGATTTGATGTTGTTCCAAAGTAAGGGCATAGTCGTGAATACATTAGTAATTCAAGGTATATACTGTTTATTTTTATATATAAACATATGAACACAAAAACATTTTGAGAAATTACGTAACAATAAAACAAGATACAACTGAAAAAAAAAGCATTTTACGACATTCGAAATGTATTGTCTAAAACATGACTACTTTATTGGATTCCACCTTTGGTCGTAACCTGAAGCTTTTACTCGGAATGACATTAAAAGAAATCGACATCATTCTCTAAAACTCGGGGATTTAAATTATAAAATCAAAAAAGAGAGGGAAAGCTAATGTCTCCATTGATGCAACATGAAAAATTAACAAATGGCAAACGATGAATATTTTCTGAAAGATGTGATAGTTCGATCAACTTCCTGTGTCTTTGTAAGTAACACTTTGCCAGCGTCTTGACCTTTGATGTCACGTTCTGGCAACTTATCATTTTCGTACTTCTGAAATATTTGTTTGACCTGAAATTAAAACATACTTCTCAAAAACGGAACACAATTGCTTAACAAATGCGAAACCTTAAATACGTCATAAATTTAGGATAAGTAACAAACATTTAATTAATAATAAACTCATGAAATTACCTATGATTTATCGAATAAAATTATTTAATATTTTTGAATACATTAATCCTCTACTGATACAAATACAGATTATTATTTAGAATATCAAAATAAAAAATACTGTATTTAGTTGAATGATAAAGCCTAATATACTATAAACATATTATACTAACCATAAGCAGGTGGAGCAGATACCATGCCTGGGTGTGTAGACGGGGTGGTCTGAAATACAGGTAAGTATCTGTAGAGGGTGTAATTTATACTAAATGCAAATATGATTATTGATATATGATATATCAATAATTATTTATAGTTATTTATATATGATATTTTTGTATAAAACAGTATACAATTCAATCATATAACACGTCACAGAGTCGCCGGTACTCGATAAACCAGTTCATCAAACTTCAAAAGATCATTAAAATTTAAATACAAAGCTATCGATACACAGACATACCTGAAGGTCAGACGCACAGCAACTTCCGCAGCAACTTATAATTGTGTGTGCGATTGAAAATATAAATTCAAAAACGCATACAACGATCACAGTGATGATAATCGCGTACGCGCTCTCGTTCTGAATTGTATAAAAAAAAATTATTTTTTTTATCACAATGAGACGAAATGACATATATGATAAACTTGATAAGCAAATGAGATGAAATAAATTTTCCCAATTAATCTTTTCCAATTTATAAATATTTATCTATTCTTCTTTGTATCTCAAAGTTTTCCACGTTATTATGATAGTTGAAATTTCACTGTGAGTCAAAGGTATAGCAAAAATTGTATTTCATATATATATATACTCACAACTCGATATCGAGAGCTTTGACGCGAGTAATGCGCCAGTAGTTCTAAAGCCATAATTCCGAGCGCAATATTTGCTGCTGCTGAAATGGCGGAGAGAATTGCAAATACCATTCCAGCGATTACCTGTAATCAAATTAAGTTTTATTTGACAAATAAATGAACATAAATCTAAAAATCATTCGAGGCAAAAATAATCAAACCACTTCCTTTTTTTTAAAATAAACCCAACAATTTTAGGATCAACCCCCTGCCCAAAACCTACACCAGGGTGTAAAATTTTTAGCAGACTGTATATATATATAATGTTCCATTGTATTCAGTTTGATAACCAAAATTGTTTTACTGTACAAGGTCAACTCATTAATTGTCTCATGACTGACTGGTGTGAAGTAATGTTAAATGTAGTTAATCTTTAACGGAGATTGTTCTTTAATATGCAGTTATATATCGAAAAAATATTTGATGCTGGGAGTCATATTTTGTGGCAAGTATCGTCAGAAAACACAATGTTTAGAATGGTGTAATATCATGTATTCCTATTATACTTACATTACACTGTGAAGGCGAATTCCCAGCAGATAGAGCCAGTATTCCAGTGATTGTGTACTGTAAGTGAATACAATTTATTTATAACTAGTTGTTTAATTTAAAAATCGGCTGCAAACTGGTTTAAATAAAATTGAGCAATTGTTATTTGCATTTCAAGTAACTTTTATTTGTTTAATTAGATAGATTTCAATGTCACTTTCTGCAATATAAACTTGAAACCGATTATTATTATTCGTCCGAATTATATTTGAAAACATTGGAGCAATTTGGAAAAATAAACACCAGTTCAATTTATAACCTCTCACTATCAAGAGTTGATATTGTGTTGTGATTGTTTTTTTATATAGTATAGTTTAATTTATTAGAATAAATAAATTTATCTTACCAAAATACCAGTTCCAATACCAGAGCTGGAATTTTGCGATGTACCAAATTGAATAATCAGAACAACTCCAAGAATTGCACAAATCAAACCTATGAGGACTTGGAAAGTCTGTAAAAAAGATCCGTGTTGAGAAAGTTTATATATTCAACTCATCATTATGAAACAGAATTCACATCACTTACCCCTACAACCGTGAAACTGCATCTATATCTAGAAGCTGGGTGACGCGGATGCACAACAACAGTAGGCATTCTTTTGAATTTAAAGTTTATTCTAGTTATGGATTAGAAGCTCAAGGCTGAGTAAAGTAAAAAAAAAGATAAAATCATTATTAATAAGAGTGAATATTGAATATTAAAAGTTAGGAATGTTATTTGTAACACACATACGACAAGAATTCAACCACAGGGCTGGTTCTCGCTGTCAACCAGTATTTCGTCAATTTTCTAGATATATGTTGTACTTAGCCTGTTACTACTAACAACTTGTTTTGTAAAATTCACACTTGTTTATTGACTAAATTGATTGAGCGAATATTGAATACTGGGTTGTAAATACAATACAAAAGGTGTAAGTATTTGTATTGAGTATTCGTGGCTTAATAGAACCATCCCCTTATTAACTTACTTCGAAAAAGCAACTATCTCATTAAAAATTTTATAAGGCGAAAAACCTACTTCCAACTTTTTTTCTAGTAGATGATTTAGTACTTATTACGCACTATTTATTGCAAATTTAGGCAGCAATCTTTTTCAAATATCGTAATAGAGTACAGAATATTGTAGTATATTCCTCCATGCTCTTTGTCTTGACGGAATATGTTCATGAACGAATCTTTACGCCCTTTATATATACATTTTTAAATGAATCGATGACGTCAGACGTCCTGTACCCGAAATATGAAGCATTAGCGTTACACGTGACCTAAGTAATTTCGAAATTTTATTGATACACTTTCAGACAAGGGGAATTCTATCATGTACATCCGTGCAAATGAAAGGGCTCATAAATTGAATTATACAACGTTCGACTTTATTCGGCTATTTTGTTTTTATTACAGAATATCGAACAATACAATTATGTCCATGCTGAGATTTTTGTATAATAAAAAATTTCTTTCTGCTTTCAAAACATTTCGTAAATATATCTTGAACTATGTATTTTATGAATGCAACTCGTGATATCTTTAATTACAGATCTATAGATGGCACACTCTACTCAAAACCCCTTAAGGCGAGAGAAATTTAAATTGAGAACCTTGTATATTTTATTTGTCATTTGTATGGTTTTAGTTTTTTTTTAGAATGCCCGTAAGCAAGTATGTACGCCATGGTGAACGGCAGTATAAAAAAGTTTTTGAAATGTGATTGGTCATTTAAATATACGAGATAATGCATAACTATTTTAAAAAGTACACGTGACTAAACGTTGCTGTGCATCAGATAATGCGCTCATCTAAAATTAGGTCAGAAGACGAAACTGTGTAAATGTATGCGCTGATGTTGATAATTAAATATTTCATGTGATATGCGTTGGGGATATTCATCAACCATATTTCAGAATTAAGAAATTAAACAACAATAAAGTTTGTTTGGAAAATGTGTTAGTTTGGATTGGATGAAGACCACATAATTTAGAAAGTTGTCTTCCACGAGTGGCTTCACTCGAGAATTGCAACTTAAATCACATTAAGAAAATCTATGGTAGCCTACTCCTTTAGGCGATTCCTGTTTAGTAACAAAATGAAAAGGAACAATGCTTCAGGTTCGAAAAGTAAATAGCATTGAATTACAAATTTGCATCATTTACCCCGAACTGGACGTCAACAGCTATGATTACCATAAAATACCTTCAAATATCAAATTACGTCAAACATATCAATTTATTTTTTCATGCTGAAGTGATCACGATTGTGAATTTTAATAATTTTGCGGTGCTCCTGAAGCATGCGCGCCAAGATGTCGCACAACCTGAACCCTAGACTGGTACACAACCAGAGTTCAGGTTCAGGAGGTCCAATTTTCCATGTATATCCTTAGTTTTATAGAAAGTAGGTGCAAATTAGCGGTTAATTAGGAATAGTTCTTTTAAATATGGTCACATGGGACCAGCGCCGGATTAGCCATTAAACAATATAAGCACGTGCTTAGGGCACCAAGCAAAGAGGGGCACGACAGAAATTTTAGAGCAGAATTTTATATAGTTTATCGGTGTTTATTAAATTACGAGTTCACCAGACGACTCAAACTTCAAAATGTCCGTTTATTTTTTGTCCTCAAGTATCATATTAACCTTCTTTATTAAAACTAAACACTAAAACCTATTTATTGGACACGAAATGGACCTATGAGTCGTTTTCTTAAATTGGTGTTGTTTTTTTCTTCTAGTATTCTCCTTGTTGCTGCATTTGTGTTTAAAAAAAATTTCTTTTCTCTCCAACAATTGAACCAATGAACTATTTACACTATGTGGCGGTTCCACGATCGCTTTTCAAAGATCTAGTGGTCAGCGAAGTCGGAGTTTTTCGATAAGGTAGACCAGGGTGGTCCAAACCCTGTCATGCTGATACATTCCGTGCGGCTCACAGAACAAGTTTAGCGTATATTTGTTAATAATGGTTGAATGTTTTTGAGTTTTTTTAGTTATCTCAACTGGGGTTGAGATCCCAAGATTCAACCCTTTTTCTATCGCTTTGTGCCTTTATTTTAGTAAAAACACTCCCCTGTTTTCGAGCGTCGGCCATGTGACAGTAGTGACGAAACGCAGAGCCGACTTAACGCTGCGCAATCCAGTTTTTTTTAGCTAGGTCTCGAAATACCAACTTAGACGGACTTGGTTGGTATTTGACAATGCCAATAAGATTGCTCACGCTGCAAGTTTTTAAATAACTCAATATAACAATTCGTAATAAAATGAGTGTCGCAAGAAAGGTGACATAAGGACAACACGGCGGAAACGTATTTCCTTGCCCATCACACAGTGTCTGGTTTGATTTCAAGTAATATCTGTCACGAAAGAATAAAATTTGAAGCGACAATAAACGCGAGATGCGCAAAATACAACGGTAATTCTCGGGAATTAACTTTAAGATAACAGAAGGCTTTATATATATTCTTTAAAAGAACGCCACCCATGCAACATATTAATAGTCTGATTAGAACGGTAAACTCTCGGTGTTTATTAAATTTAAAGTAAGTAAACTCGCGATATTTCGATCACTTTTGGGTTTTCTCCGACTTGCGGCCCTCGAGACATCCCCAAAAGTTATTGCGGTCTTTCAACCTAGCAACCTTGAACCACCCTGAGGTAGACTACTAGGTACCGGTAAAATTTCAAACTACAGTTGTGACTTGCATACTTTGGTATTTCGATTCACGTTGAGACTGGAGGCATGAATCTTTATTGCCACACTCCGTCAGGATTAAATCTCAACCGATATATCGGTCCGATATTGCGTGTTTGCCGATATATCATATCGGCAGTAAACGGCCGATATATATATCGGCTATATATAACAGTTAAAAGCAAAAAATGTACTGTTGGTTGTGATTATTTTTAATGGATATTACACTTATGTGGTTTATTGTTTTTGTAATTAAATAACACATGAGAGGGCACCAAAGTCTTCAGTGCTTAGGGCACCAAAAGGGCTTAATCCGCCCCTGCATGGGACCCTAAAACTTGGGAATGTCTGGTGACTGGAAAAACTCATATATATATATCATTAATTATCTCATCACTGAGATTTCTAGCATCCTCTTATGCGACACCTGTTTTGCAGGATACTTAGAAACAGATGTACTGAGGGTAAGACGGAATAATTTAAAAAATTATGCGATTATTGTTGAGTATTAGATTGGCTATTTTAATGCTCTTGACGTAAATGCGGACTTCTGATAGTGATCAACTTATGTAGATATATATTATTATCAACTTATATATATATATTATCAGTTTCTGTTTTTATTTGACGTTTCACAATTCAAACAAGGCTATATAAAAGCAGTCACTAATATAATATAACAGGAGCTACTATTTATTGTTTCCGGTTCCGCATTCCCTAGTCAATTATACACGCCCTAGGTCTAGGTCTGACATGGGCAAGCTACGGCCCGCGGACCAATCTGGCCTATTGGGTGACCTGACCCGCCTGATCCTGTCATAAATTTATGCTTTAACCAATTTTGCATGTACTACATAGTAGTTGTTATTGAAATCCCAAATCTGTTTTGACAATTGCCACAACCAAACTAAAACCAAATTTTGATTTTGTAGCTATAATAAATAGTTCAAGGAATTTGTTGCGATTACATTTAATTTTGGCACAAGGCCTATTGTTTCCACTTTCGCGTTTATAACCCTTTTTATAAAATGCAACCTTTTACGTCACCCTCCAGTCTGAATGGTCAAGATTTTTGGCCCCTGGTCCTTGCCCCTTGGTCTAGGTCAGGGGTCGGGAACCCATGGAGTTGATGAAACCTAATGTTTTTGTTTTATCTTCGTTTGTTAACAATCCGTTCTTTACTTAAACTAGGGTTGCCATATGCTATATTTTTCCCTGACATGTCCGGGATTTCAGTAGTCAAATTTGCGCTAGGGAGAAATGTTGAAATGGTTTAAATGTCAGGGATTTTCGAATACAGGGAATCTCTGCTACAAATCGTCGAGTTTTTCATATATCGCGGATACACGGAATCCTATTTCCTAAGATCGTGAATTGTCAGCATTTTGTAATCGATATTTTGGTTGTACTACCTTTACCTGTACTTTATCCCGTTCTAGGGCTTAGTAGCGCTAAGGATTAAGCAACAAGTTGGCTCTTTTCGTTTTGCTGTGTAGGCCTATGTATTCTTTTCTCACGACGTTTTTCACGTTACAAAGAAATATATTGTGACGTAACAACTACCTGATGTTCCAACCTCCGGCAAATTTTCTCCAGACAATTGCAGTATTTGGTTACATTCGTACACAATATAAGAATACTTGATTTAGGAAGTTGTAGATCGCGTGCTAGTTTGGCTTGCTTATTTATTATCTACATCCGCATATGGAAGTGAATTACTGTTCTCAGTAATGAACTTTTTTTAAGTATCGTAAAAGAAGTACCTGACTGATGAAGGTATTAGTTTGTGTATTTCGTTGAAGGTTACAAAATATGGGGCTCCCGAAGTATGCGAACCAAGATGGCGGACATCGGAATGTAATATTTGTACTAGGTTAGGGTTAGGCCATAATTTTAGGTATAAATACTACGAGAGGCTCTTGGCTAGTCTTCGAACTGATAATAGGACTAAAATAAGGAAAATTGGAAAAAAATTATCGCCTAACCCTAACCTGTTACCCATGTTACGTTCCGATGTCCGCCATCTTGGTTCGCATACTTCGGGAGCACCCAAAATATAAACCTGATATAAAATTTATGTCAACGATAATACAGTAGCAGAAGTCTCACTGAAATAGCAAAAGAAAATTGATAAAAATATTTTTGTCGGACTAATATTTTCTTGAAATGTAATTTAATACCTGTTTAAAAGGTTTATTATCCTGCAGGTTTTGCTTTGAAAGTAGCAAAGCATTGTTTTTAAAAAGAATAAATTCATTTTTGATTTAATACATTTTCACAAATTTATTGCCGAGCGGAAGAATTTTGCCATTTTATTTAGTCAATTTTGGCACGCAAACCAAAAAAGGTTGCCCAATGCCCACCAGTGGTGAGCTGTGGCCGGAACGACATTCCGGTTGTATAAGTTCCCCCGACCTTTGACCCCGTGAAAATTCATTCTATACCTTTCTAATGAGGTTTGTATTGAATTGCTATGAATACTTCAATAATTTCACACAAACATATTTCATATATATAATTTATTTGCAGTTCTGTAAACGTCCGCGTCGTGTTCGGAATATATTACATTTTTGTGAATTAGGTGCGTTCCGGTTGTTACGATTTTTCCAGCTCATCACTGATGCCCACCCTTTATATGTTTATGGATGTGTATATTTTATGATTAGTGATCAATAATGCTGTAACTGTACTGTGTCAACTGTGCTTTAAATATCAATAAAAAAATTATCAAATAAAATAAGACACAAATAAAAAATACTCATGAAACATCATTATTTATTGTCGAGGTCCTTAAATCCCGAGGGGGCATCTGATTCTGATGCCCAAGTTGAATCACTTCATTCTCGGAACATTTCGATCTATTCACCAAACTCGGTGTGCCATAGCGATGCCTATGCGCAATCACCGTGTTCATATATTCGAGCATTGCTTAATTGTTTTACTATGTATACAGTAATAATATCATTATTACAAAATTTACCGAACAAATGAATCACATGGACATCTAGTTATTTGGTTTGATAAATTTAACGATTAAATGTAGAACACGTGGTACAAGTGGGACAAGTCGGACACGTGTTACAAGTGCGACACGTAAGACAAGCGGAACACGACATTTTGAAGACACCGCATAAGTCGTGTGTTTTTGCTTTGACAAATGAAATGAACTTTCTTTCCCACTCTCTCTCTCTCTACATCTACAATAACGCGTTCATAATTTAGTTGTATTGTCTGCTAGGCTTACCCCTACTTCCACCTTTATCAGTGACGTCTGTCGGCATAAGATAAATTTATAAACAAGTCGTAAAATGCAATTCAAGAAAACAACATTCGGAGTTAAAAGTCTATCTCTAAGATAACAGCAAACAAACTGTTAGCAAAATATCACTCCACATGTGATAGTATAACCACAATCTATGCCATCATATGTTCGTGTCGCTGCTTCGAATAATTTCTCATTTTTATTATTTATTTAGTATATAAGACTGTAAATCTTCTAATTATATATCCCGTGTATATGCATTTATCAGCAACTGCCACTGTTAATAATGCACGTATAGTTTGCTTTTGTCTTATAATAAAATGAGAATTTACATGAGATGATCACTCTACTTTTTATTCGGTCACACTTCATTCGGCAATAATTGTTTTTCCGCCATATTCTGGAATCCTGTTCAAAACTGTGCAAATTTTTATCATCATTATGAACGTCATTATCATTGCACTGATAGATATGATGAATTGAACAAGTTTATATGCTCCTGTATATGTGATCGAGAATCTCCATTTCCCGTTCTTTGACATGGCTTATGTACACTCTCCTCTCTGTTAAAATTAGAGGAAGTTACTTTATTTCGTTGTTATCTTAATATTGAAACCCAGTATTTATAAAGTGAAACTATTGGGCATTTGTGCAAGTTTAATATGGTATACTCTTCCAAAAACCACTGGATGGGATAATTGGGTCTAAGCACAAAAAGCACTCAATTTTACTTTGTTTTGCTCGTTTGCATTTTGCTGAAGTGAACTCGTGGGTTGTTTCGACTCGCACAGTCCGCTGAAATTCTCATTGTTTTGCATTTTACTGAACGTGAAGTCGACCAATGCATCGTTTCGAGTTCGACCCGCACTGTTTGCTGAAATTTCCATTGTTTTGTATTTAAAAGTCATTGCCTAATTTTATATCATGTATGTTTCCGGGACCCTTGCACTTTTTTCTCCTTTTGTGGTTTTGTTGTATTGATTGATTGATTGATTGATAGTCGTCAAACCAGCATTTGCCGGTAACCTCAGAAAAGGCTAACGAGAACAACAACATACCAACAAAACTATCCATTGGTACACTTCAAGTCAAGTTTTTGTAATCAATATTCTGCCCCGGAAGATGGCGCACTAATTCCGCGCCGTCGTCCACGCTTTGTGATGGTAGTTGTTGCGCTGCGGCTCAATTCAGCTTGACTTTACTGTTTACGAAATACAGAAGTTGTGAATTGTTCAGACTTGTGATGGCTGATGCAAAACCTAAGGATGTTAAGCCTGACGGCGATCAACATATAAACCTAAAGGTGTCAGGACAAGATGGCTCGGTAATTCAATTCAAGATTAAACGTCGCACGCCAATGAAAAAACTGATTACTGCATATTGTGATCGGCAAGGAGTTCAAATAGAAGCCATGCGGTTTCGTTTTGACGGGACGGCTATTTCGCTCGAGGACACCCCAGAAAAGCTTGAAATGGAGGACGATGATACAATAGATGTTTTCACTCAGCAAACTGGTGGAAACCTGTAAATATTTTCCAAGCAGCTTGTCTGGAATGTTCATACTGAGAGTATGATGATTATCTTACCTTTATAGACCATCAAATGATGGTGGTTCCCACCGAGACTGAGATTTAATGGTAATTTACTGACAAACTGCTCAAAAATGCCATGGACAAATGGAATACTCTCTTGTCCAGTTGTCTGTTTTGTGATCTATCAAATGGCTATTTTGGTATTCAGATGAGACTATGATATATTAGACTATGATAGACCGCATACACATAATATTTCGATATGTTGGCTAATTATTGTATTCTATTGTTAGATACAGTAGATACCGGTATGACATTACAACCAAATACCCAGGCACTAGTAATGTTGAATATGAGTTAAACATAATATAACATATTATTTGGCTGACACTGGATAAGGCTTTGAAAAATAATCATTATGAACAACTGGAAAGCAGAGTAATGTAAAGTTGTTATAATTCTATGTTTACAGTAATTGCTAAATTGTTCTGTTCAACCATATTTTTACAAAACTGATAATAGTATTCCCATTTATTTTGATATTTGTTTTCAATTTAGACCTTTTTAAAATTGCTGAATTGTGGTATCAAGTTTTCCTTTCTAGGCTATGTTAGTATGTAAAGTTTCTTTTAAGTAGTCCTGTTACAATATCATAGAAATATGGTGTTTTGGTTGAGTTCTTATTATCAAGTGACACACATTATTATTAGCAAATAAACCTTGAAATCCTGAAATCAGTCGATTCAACAACTGCTATTATTTGGTAATGAAATATTCCTTGTGCTGAAGAATAAAACTGCATTGATTCGAAGATGTTTCATTTTGTCATTTATTCTATTTCCATTTTCTGTTCATTGTTTATAAAATAATGTATGTCTGTCTTATTTTAGTAAATTTAGATTAAAATCACTATATATAGCATGATATAACTGCTAAATGCTTTGTATATCACATAGAATAATTAGTCTTTTTTGTAACAAGTCATGCCATTTCACATTTATTTGCAATACTTTCTCTATTTCATCTCAATATTATCGTAAGAAAAAAATTATCACCGGCAAGCCATATAGAACGGAAGAAGAATTGGTAAGATATAGCCGATTCTTTAGGTAGTGTTTGGCTGTTCCTTATATTTGATTCATAGAATGCCAGTGTGTCAAATCAAAAGTTTGTCCAAGTTGTTTCTTTCTGAATGATACAGTTTAATAAACCCTTTTATAGCATTTCCCATTTTGGTTGACTTAGAGAATGACTGAAGTGATTTTAGCTTTTTACGAATTTAAATAAATTAGTTTAATGTGGTATAATTAAATCCGCATTAAATCCGCATTGTGACCAAAGTTTTAGATGGCACCTATGCCATGAATAACATCACTGCGTTAAGTTTGAATGGTTGCTACCAGTTAAAATGCACATTGAGTAAAATGCAACGATTTGAAGTTTGCCAATCAGTACTGAAGTTATGCATTTATTAATTGATGCCACTTGTGTCCTCATTTTTATTTGTGAGATGTATGAACTATGAATTGTATACTTCAAGTTATATTATGTGTGAATGCAATAAAACCTATTTCTGTTTCATTTAGGCTCAAAAGTTTATTGACCACAAGTTGATAAAAGTCTATGCAGGCAAAGGAGGAGATGGAAGATCATCGTTTTTGAGAGAAAAAAATCGTCCTATGGGTGGACCTGATGGTGGAAACGGTGGAAATGGAGGCAATGTTGTATTTGTAGGTAGAAGTAATTGATTTTGTATCGATCGTATTTTGTTATCTAAATATGTTAGTGAAAGTCACAAACTAATTACATGATTTGAATATGCCAGATGTAGAATCTAAAAACTTCGTGACATTTAATTACTATCTAACCCTCCTCCAGCCTCGGTTTATACTAGCCTTCTTTGTTTGTCTGTTGAGAATGTTAGTCAAGTGATGCATTTTTAATCACTGTTGAAACTTTTGACTTTGATTACCACCTAAAAAGTTGAAATTTTTTCTTTATTTTCAACTCGGGGGATTCTAAAAATATAGCTCCAGCCGAAATTAAAAAAATAAACATGCCAAATCATACTTCACAGACCTGGTAAATACAGAGCTATGTACCCCTTACTTTTTCTCTATTGCACTACATTTTGGGAAATTTGCTATGACAGAATGGATAAAATTTTTCTCCATCTTTGGGATAATTGGCATTATGACAATCACTTTCATGCTCTGATTTGCGTTTTCACACAACTGACCATGCAAACCTGAAATAGTAAATTTGCAACATATGAATTGAATTTATTATATTTTCAGCTGATTCCAATATGAAATCTTTAGAAAAGTTATTGCCATTATACCAGGCTGATGACGGAATAGATGGCGGAGGATATAATTGCTTTGGAAAGAACGGAAAGGATAAATTTGTTAAGGTATTTTTGATTTTTAGATACCAATATTATTATAAATATACAGGACACTGAAACACAATATTTTTTTAGTTTCCAGTCGGTACTTATTTCAGATGTGAAGATGGTTCAGTAGTTGAAGACTTGGTGAAACATGGCGATGAATTTGTAGCAGCTTATGGTGGATTAGGTGGAAAGGGTAATAGGTTTGTGTTTTTTTATTTAATATATACTGGATGTCATTTAAAGCACTCAAACTGAACACAAAATAATAAACACATATTCCTGTATAGTACTTAAATACCATTTGGTATTGAGTAATGTAAGCCAGCATTTTTTTAGCATAATTTGTGATGCTGTTTGAAAATGTAGAGTTTTACAGAAATCCAAGTCCTAGATCATTTTTGTGTGTGAAATCATTATCTATAGCAGGGGTGGCCATCCTGCTTTGGACAGTGATCGACTAAAATCGGTAATGAGGTCATAAACAAAAAATGAATGAATACTGCAAAAATTTGCATTTTTATGCTCCATTCAATTTGTTAATGTGATTATGTAATGGAGTAAAGATCTATTTTAGATTTATTCAAAGCATACAATTCCGATCTGAGGCCTGTCTAATTTTTAGTCATAAGTGTTTTCAATTCCCCAAAAATCCTTGAAAAGTATCCATGTATTATATAAACAGCGAATAAATAATATTCTCAAACCATAGATAATACATTTCAAACTCCAGTATCTAATTCACAATTTTCTTCAAGTCCGATTCTTTGGTCGCTTGAAATTAGAGAAAAAATTGGGCGTTCTGATGCCACTGCTATCGCTGCGAATAAAGTTTATTGCACTACTCATGGGGTGAGACAATAACTTTCGCACAGTGCAGAAATTGTTGTAGGATCGTTTGTCAGTCAAGACAGATGGTATTCAGTCTGTTCATTTCCAAAACTTGGCAGTAGTGAAACTTGCATTGGTCACATAATAATATGCTCCGTCGGGCTTGTCCATACCCAATTAAGGCAATTTTTGGGGTATGTCATTAAATTTACTCAACATCAGACTCGATCGACTACTCGAGACGTGACGATCGACCGGTCGATCGCAGTCGACATGTTGGCCACCGCTGATCTATAGTATACTACTTGGAATTAATAATTGTTCAGCAATATAAATTTAACAAAATTTGCCATTTACCATATTTGAAAAGATTTTCTTGACAGGTGCTGAATGTCAAGATTAAATTTGGTTGTCATGCAGATACATCATCACCATAGTATTATTTTTAATCCTTATGTGAAGTTTGTGAATTTCTACAATTTTAGATTTTTTGTTACAAATACTGAAACTGTACCAGAAGAGTGTACTCCTGGCCAGCCAGGAGATGCTAGAGTTTTTGTTGCGGAATTACGAACGCTTGCACATGCAGGATTAATAGGCTTTCCGAATGCTGGAAAATCCACGCTGCTTCGGATTTTAACTCGAGCAAGACCGCAGGTTGGCGATTATCAGTTCACAACTTTACGGCCTCATGTCGGGATTCTTCATTTTGAAGATTTTACTCAAATAGCAAGTAAGAGGAAATTGTTACTTTAAAACAGCTGTAATGTCTTAAAAGAAATCATTGAGGTTCAGTCAATTGTTTTACAGAGTACCGTTTATGGCTATTGACTCAATGCAAGTACTGAAAAGCCACAACTCACAAGCAAAACTGCTAAATCCGCAAGCGATTTATTTAGCGCTCCAGTAGCGTGTGTACCAATATGGAGGTAACCAGTTTGTTTGCCTTCTTTACATCGAGTTGTGTGAAGGACTGAAGCCTATATGGGCAGGAGGTATATTCACTTGGCTAACACAGACAGCCCCCGAACTTGTAGTTGTAATAGAACTAAAATAAGGAAAATCTGAATAAAATTATGGCCTAACCCTAACCTGGTACACACACTACGGGAGTACCATTTCCTTTACCCACATGGAGTTATACAGTCAACTGTTGCTAATTTGAAACTGAAACAGAAAATTTTGTTGTGTGATACTCCTTGAGGGTTTTACTGATCATATGAACTGTAGGGTTAGCAAATGTTTTGTTTTGCAGGCTACACTTTTCAATGAGCAATATTTTGAATTTTCTTCAAATATTCAAAAAGCAGTTATCAATAAATTTCAATTAAATGTAGTTTAATTCAATCTTCACACACAAATCCCTTTTTTTCCACCAATATACATTAGCATGAGTGGAATTTTTTTTTTGTTCTGATTTTTTTTTTTTTTTCCAATAGAAGTCAACCCATTGGTTACCATGACCTATTCTTTCATTTTTTTTTCTGTAAATTGCTAGAGATATCACGAATATTGTTTGTAGACAACAAAGCTCTTCTACAAAGAAACTAGGCTCAAAATGGTATTTTCTTAAGTAGCTGCTTACCAGTATACCGGAATTGTAAGAGACAGCTTGTGTTGATTAAATTAACCCCAGCCTTATCATAAATTTTCAATGTATACTTTTATCAGTTATGTTTGTGATACCTCCTTACTTGTATGGTTCATTGAAAACATGACGGGCCAGTGCCAATTTTAATTTTATTCAGGACTGATTCTATACATAATACATATTACATATAGTCTGGGAATATACCTACATGATGTAGAATTACGTAATATCCTGGTTACATGTGAAACATCCTTTTACACATTGCAATATAGATTTTGATGTATTATCATACTTATGCTGTCATATAAAATGTTCTATTTTGGATGTGAATGTATAAATTTATCTAATGCGCAATAAAATTTGCAATTCTCATGTATGTCATGACAAAAAATTTCACATAAAATTTCGTGTGCGATGAATCAAAACTTATATTGTTAGCACCCACTAATTCTCATTTTTAATTTTTTAGTTGCAGATATTCCTGGAATTATAGAAGGGGCACACAAGAATCAAGGTCTCGGATTAACATTTCTTCGTCACATTGAACGATGTAGATTTTTTATATTTTTATTAGATCTGTCAGAACCAGATCCGTGGCAACACCTTCAGACGCTAAGGTATACATTGTTAAGCTTTTTTATATACTTGTGTGAGTTTTTTAAAATAGTCATATTTGAGTATGTACAGATTAATAGTAAGATGTACTATTCGCGCATACATAAGAACTTTAAATTCAATTTAGAGTTGGTTTAATAAGGTCACATTTAGAGCTATGATAGAGGCAATTATGTATCATTTCAAAAATATCCATTTTGATTATAAAATGTTGAAAAGAGCGTGGAACTGTTAACAATAATTTAGGGGAACCAAAGTCCTACTATAATGTGGAATATTAACATCAAGTTAAATATTATTTTGTACAGGAAGGAATTATCTGAGTATGAAAAGGTTTTATCAGAAAGACCTTCCATATATGTCGCCAATAAGTTGGATCTTCCAGAAGCCAAAGAACATTTGTTAGACTTTACAAACCAATTTAAAACAGAATTTGGTGAAGATAAAAAGTTAGTTTTGCTTTCTGGAAAATATGGACAAAATTTAGAAGAACTGATACACACTATTAGATATTTTTATGATGAAGATATAAGGGTAAATCAAATGCATGGAATGACCTCACCTATGAGATGGTGACAATACACGTGGCATTTCGGTATACCGAATTTGAACGCATCTGATAAAACTTTCACAGAAGCTCGAAAAGTTGATTTTTTAATCTAACCCAAATGGGCCATTGGCAATGACAATCCGGTCCGGGAAAAAGAGTGAGAGATTTATTAAAGCAAAGTATCCACTACTATAAATAGGATAGTTATGTGCAAGAGGATTGCTGGATTTCTAGCCGCCGTAGGGTGGTTCACGTAGCCGCTGTTCGGTTATGGCTTCCTCCACTATCAAGTCCATGCTTCCGAAAACAAATACTTAACCTATCCTATAAATGTAAGCCAATGAATAAAATAATTTAACAGTAATCGATTAATCGTCTGTTGGTGTGGTCAGTGTGCAAGACCGATCACTTTGCCTCTCGACCCTTGTGTATGTGCTGTCTATGATTTATTAAAAGTTCATCACCTCAATCTACAAATGCATACATGAACTTTGAAACCTATTTATATAAAACCTTTAGAAGCAAATAGGTACATATGCAGACTTTTTGACAGTTTGGGCTGATAATTTCGAGTAACGTTGGTATCATATTGTAAAGATTTTTCAATCCTAGACAACTAACTCTGTTGTTCAACATCAGCAGAGTAAATTATGCGCTAACAGTTTTGATTGATACATTATAGTCTGTATTCATGACTGAGTGTTGCATGTGTATCAACACGTCTCAAATCTTTTTTACCTTAATTGTCCCGAATTCATTTGATTCGTCTTAACTTCGATTTTTAATTTTATTGCGAGGGGGGTTTAAACCAAACGAGATAAAGATATTTAGGTTTCCTGTGACGGGGCCCCAATATTGGACTTTGTTGGTCCTCTGCCGTTGTATGGTGAATCATGTAAATGGTGAACGGTTGCAATCGTCTTTTTACTATTAGCAAAATTTACTCAATTTTCCATTATCCTTAATGATCAAAAGTTATAAGCAAGCAAAATTAAGTGTGATTAACCCTTCAAGGAAAATATGCCTTTTGATGGGAATCATACAAAAAATGGCAGTTCATAATGAATACTCACTAGACTTATTTCACTATATCGCACTGGTATGCTACTATTCCTCTGTCCAATGGTACCGCCGCACCAAGGTTCTAAGAACTGATAGGACGACAAACGACATACAGGCGCATGTTCTCGTTAGGATAATTAAAAATATATATACTGATTTTTGAAATTGCCTTCACTTTCTCCAGTGGGTCGCGAATATCTATAATTTTTAATTTTATGTAAATTTGGCTCGAGAAAAAAAAAGTTTGGGAATCATATCATGCCCGACGTATATTGGAACCGGTCCGGAAATCGTGGTTCGCCATAGGATTGGGATGTCTTAACGGCTCTACTCTCCCCCGGGATATATCCTTTACAGTCAGTGGGGAGCGAAAAATCTTCGGTGTCTAACTTCTGTTGAGGAGAATCCACTGAGGTGTACTCAATGGGAGAATCTGATTCAGTTACATCGAGTTTATGAACAGCTGACCTTTAACCGCTAGAATTCTATTTACTAGTCCAAAATTGCGGCCCGTCCATGTAAGAACACGGACGTGACAAATCCTTAGCGTAGACAATGTCGACCCATTTGTGTGTTCAATCACCTTCAAGCTTTTTGGATGACTGGTGGAAGAAAGGATACTACTCGCAGAATCTTGTTTCATACGTGAGGTAGTCAGTGAGACGATTCGCCTATCCGGGTAACCGAAATTTTACACAATTCTACAGTTTTATATTTTAATCATATCCATTTATAGTTTCAATTAGGACATGCATTCAAGAAAGATAAAAATTTAATCAAAATGTCCATCGGAATTGAATGACATAGATAATTAATTAGATTTTCTACTCGAGAAACAACATTAATTAGTAAAGGACCTAATATGTATTTTATTTAAAAATAAATAAATATAAAACAAATTAGAAAATAATATAGAGGTATTTGTTTTATTAACCATCGGTCGTTAGAAAATTGAGACGAGAGATAACATTGCACGTTATTGGCCATATATGACATAAAACTAAAATGTTTTTAAAACAAGTCTTTCAGTTCCAACCAATCTGATGACTTTCCAAGTGAATGCATTTCACACCAGTCTGGATTACGATTCAATTCTTGAGCTACTTCTCCCAAAAAGTCAATAAACTTACGCATTTCTTCCTGTGATTCGGAAAATCCTTCGTTCCATGGAATATGACGCATTTGCGTTATGTTAAATTAAACGATGCTAGATCAAATGTAACTCATCTGTACGTCACCAAATACTGATCGCTGATATTTTTTAGCAAGATTACGATTGGTTCGTCGCGATGTTTCATCTTTGAACTCAGAAGTAGATGAAAACTGACATGGGTCATTTGAAGTATTGATTGTATCTGATTTCCATAGATGTTTTGTATTCGATAGAGAATAGTATCCATTGTCCTCCGAGAGATACCTAGCCTCGTCCATCGATCCAACTAGTCTCTGAAATTCTTGTTCAGACATAGGAATACCTACCAGACGATTTTTTGGTCTGTTCAATATAGGTGTGCGAGTGAAGCCTGTATAATCTGAGTTTCCTTGGTAATTCTGAGTTGTTTCGGGCTCTCTATTTCTCTCACTTTTACCCATACGTTTTTTTATTTGTTGAGCGCTGGATTGCACTTTCTGCGCGTCTACGCTTTGGTGATTGTTGAAGTTGGTCAGAATCGATGGAAGAACATGTGGCCGGATGCTGGCGAGATACAAAGTCTTTTTCGGAAGTTCGTTTTACCGGTGTAGATGTCGCAAATTTTTCCACTGGTTTTGTTATTTCTTTGCTAACGTTAGTCAAACTAGTACTTGGCGTTAGCAGGTTGTCGGCGTGGCATTTTTTGGCAGACCACACTTCCAGTTTTTCCAAGGTAGTTTCTTTGTTGTTACTCACATTAGTTTCGGTGAGTTTCTGGAAAACTGGTGTTGGCGCAATGCAATGTTGTCAGCTTGCAAACGTCGCGCTGTCAATTCTTGTTGATGTTAAGCTGATTTCAGACGTCGAAGATTAGAATACATTCTGTTATATGTACTGTTTTTTCTAACAATCTCTTTCCTAAGATTAATCAACGATTGCTTCATGTACTCATTTTCCTTCATCAAATCATGTTTTTGTCTTTTTATTTCATCAGATTGCATTTTAGAAACGTTACACTCGACTGATTTGTCTTGTTTCTGAATATTTCCTGGCTTGAACTCATTTGTCATCCTAATGAGAAGAGATTCAATACTCTTCATGTCGACCCTCAAATCAGCGTGTTCTTTCTCCATTGATTGACAGATTTTAGTATTTAGCTCCAATGACACTTTAATTGATGAATGCGATTGAGACAACAAGTTATAGTTTTGTTTGCTATTGCATTCAAGCATTCTCATTTTATCGGCATTATTCTTAAACATCTCTTCATTTTCATCTTTCTCTCGTCGATGTGAATCTCTTGTCTGTTTTACTGCTTCATGCGCTGCATTCAAATCTTCTTTCAACTTGTTGTTCTCATGTCTTAGTCGGATCATCCTGACTTCACAAACTTCATCTTTGTTTTTTAAAAGATTTTCCCAGACACAATTCTCACGTTCAAATGTTTCAGTACATTCTTTTAGTTATAGTTCGTGAGCAGTAGCGGCAAGTGAAGCTTCAACTTGCACACGATCGATAAAATTGAGCAAATTTTTAACTTTGTTCCACATGAACGTTGAGCTTTCAGGAATATTTTGTAAAGACAGTTTACATTCGAAAAGCTCACCAAGCTTCTCATATTCATTTTGAAAAAGTCCTAAATCAGTTTCTAGAATTTGCAAGTCACTTATTCTTCTTTCTAGGTCTTCCATTTTTCTCAATCCATCCCTTTTCAGAGAGATTTCCTCTTGCCACTATTCTTGTATTCACCCATTTTATCTAAAGCTGACGATAAAGCACGTGATGAGATAAGAAGATCATCGGCTTGCTTCAAGGTGGATGAACATGAATGCAACTGATCGCGCATTTTATCTGCATGAGCTCGTGTGATGGTAAGAGCCTTTAGGTTTAGAGCATCTTCCAGCTGGCAACAATCATTACGTTTCTAAATATAAGAAATATAATATGTTTATATTTCTGCTTGCTGTAAACTAATCTTTAAAATATTTCCCCCATTAAACTTACCCAAACAGTTTGAACCCCACAATGGCAAATGTCGTATTTCGTGCATTGTTTCTCAAAATTCGTTTCGGCTTTGATTGGCTAAAATAAATGAGATCACTGTCAATATTTTATTTGTTTACAAAACAACGTTAACGATAACAAAAATAAATTGTGATAAAATATTTTGCCTCTATTAAAACTTTATGTATTTGTAGCGATAGCGCACGGAATATTTCATTAAAAATATGATTGGATACAAAGTTAAATATTTCGTTTCATCTCTTCTCGAACCTCTTGCTGTCCGTTAGTGCTCTGTATAACATTATCTTGTTTGTGTTCCGAACTAATATTTTTCAATGCATCTTCCTCTTTGCCTTCGGTGGTTCGTGAGTTTTTCTGTATTTAATGAGCATAATGATATAATCACAATCATAGAAAAAAGAAAGTATTTTATAGAAATATTTGACACAATTAATACCTCGACACGTGATTCTGCCTTTAATTCACAACTGGCATCCCCGCTATCTTGTTCCATTCGTCTTTTTGTGATATTTCGAACTATCGGAAACTCTACTGCCATTTCAGTAGTATGACTAGTAGAAGTTGCAGATTTGGTACGTGTCGAAAGAGAGTTCATTTGTACAATGTGATGCTGATTATGAGTCGGTATATTCAAACTGGAAAGTTTATCGTCAAAGTCGGAATCATCTGAAAAAATCGAATAAATAAATTCAATGACTGAATACATGTAGTATTTTTCAACGAGGCTTTTTTACACACAGACTTCAAAAATATTTGTAGTTTTTGATCATTAAAAAGCTATAACCTCGTATAAATGATTTCACTGTATTAGTACATACCGTAAGGCTTTGGTGCGAACGCATTTCTAATTTTCTGAAGTTGTAAAACATCGCGAGGACTGAGTTCATCCTCATTTTCCGTAGATAAAGGAATTTCATACCATTCATCAGCATCGGTTAGATTTGAGGATGGTTTAAAAGTATACTCAGTCATTTTGATGATTTGTCCTCAAATAATTCATTGAAGTCAGCTTTAGTCCTGCAATATAAATATAAGTTGGTATTAAAAGTTTTGATTTTACAAAGAAAACATGGTTAAGTTATAAACTCAACGTGCACTGGTAGTCTACCGTAAATTTTTGATTCTAACGTTACTTGGTTTAGTAAGCTATGCCGTGTCCCAACATGTGCTATTGAAACAAGGTTTGTTCGTACGCATATTATTGAATCATAATATTATTACAAGCAATACTCACAAGGAAATTGAATCTCTGTTTGTGGACTACTGGCCATCCAGCTCATGCAAGTTTAAACTTTCTGGTATCAACGTAAACATTATCAATACAACAACTAGCAACCCCGTTATTTCAATTACAAAATATAATAATTTTTTACCTGGTGAATATAACAGGACTTCTTTGTACTAGGAGGGAATAAATTCCTACAAACCAAAGTGATGCGAACATCAAGAAATAAATTCCAAAGTGAGAGCCGATCTTCTGTTACCTAGGAAACTCAGAACAATGGAAATGTAATTGTAAAAAAAGAAAACGTCACAGATGTAACTATGCGAAGGAAAGTGATTTAAATGTGTTACCAGATAATAAAAAGAAATTTGAATCAGAAGCCCAAATTCAGGTTGAAATTTCAAAATGTTTTGAGCCGCATAACATAAAAATTGAAGTAATCTTTTATGAGCTTTTTTTCTGAAGTGTCTCGGACTAAATGTTTATTATTGTTTTTAAATTATCACACGCTTCAGTTTTATTCCCTTCTGATTAAGAATTAGATCTGGTAATCTCTGTGCTCGTATAAGCACATACCGTAAATGCTCGTTTTAACCCCCGGTCTTGATTAAGGGCCCGTCTGAATAGCCGCCCGTGTGAACAGGACATGAAAATAAATAAGGGCCGGTGCTTGAATACCCGCCCGTTTTTTTTTTTGTTGTTGCGGATTTGTACTTGCGGTGCGTAGAAAAAGTCAAAATTTTCATTATTCTCGTTTAAATCATACTTGAGAACTGGAAATGACAATATACGGTATTAATTATTGTAACGATCGATCTTATCTACCGGTATTTTGAGTGTAATTTTACTAAAAATAACAAGCGCCCCTGCTTGAATAAGGGCCGGTTTGAATGAAGGCCGGTTAGTGAGTATGTTTAAAAAAATAAGCGCCCGGGCTATTAAACGAGCAAATACGGAGCCACATACGGCCCGAGGTTTTGACCGGCCCGCTGACTGTACATCAGTACATTATGATATTACATTATTACACTTTTAGTACATTATGATAAATTCATTGTGTTTTTTGGTCTCTATTTTTTGTAGTTTAAACTTTACTTTAAACGAATAAATATGTGATTAAGATATTGAATACTATTCATGTTATAATCCGGCCCGCCGAGAACTTGGTTGTAAACACTGCCTTGTTTCTTGAGTTTGTATTGCGTGTTATTTGTCAGTTTTCAGTTGTGTTTCCAATAAATTAGTCGAGAATGAAGTATTTTAATTGTCATTATGTCTTCTAAGCTAAAATTAGCTATTAGTACGTGAAAGCGGCACGCGGTAGTATATTTTAATAAAAATAATGGTTTTGAGCATGTACATCAGTTTGTGAGTGTTAATTCTCCAAAACACTCACAAAATAAACATTCAAAATGTTTATACGCTATCTTCCAGTGCAAATTATTGCAAGAATCCTCGTGTTCCCTATTTCTATTACCGTACCGTTCTTAAAGACTCGTGGCGGATTTGTTCTGTTTATACGGTATCGAACGCACTAGCGGAAAAATTTGTCTTCAGCATTATGTTCCCCATCTTCTCATTTCAAGAGGGTGTTCCCAAATTTAGAGGGTGGTTGATGTTTTTCGAATAATGATAAAACGGACCTCCTGAGGTATGCGCACCAAGATGGCGTACAACCTGAACTCAGGTTGTGTACCAGGTTAGGGTTCAGGTTATGTGACATCTTGGTGCGCATACTTCAGGAGTACCGACTACCGATAAAACTATTCAGAACTTATCAAAATGTGTTATGCACTCGCCCGATAATCTGCACTGGCACTGGCATATACGCCACTTTCTGCATAGTTGAATACCATTTTATCAGCGTTAGGGTGTGTGGCGCCCTAAAATTGGGTGAGGGTATTTTAAATGTTAGGGGTGGGGCTAGGGTTCACTGGTTTTTAATATTAATAGAAACGAAATCAGATGTGGCAATTTGCAACGCAAAAACACTCAACACACTGCATACTGCAGAACATTCTTATGGTGGATAGCTATGAAATAAAATATTCTAATGTTATACCTTTTATTTTTGGCAAACGAGGACAAGAAAAATAAAAGTTTGTACTATTGCACAATAAAAACTAGTTGCAGCATACTCTCTACTCTCCAAACAAATATGGATGCGTGGCTCGTTGGCAATTGTTGTATATTGTTGTCTGTGCTTTGCCTAAGATGCCGATAATGCAGTGCAATTCCAGTTTCAATTCACATCTGCTACTCATTGCTCAAGTTTGTATGTCATGTAGGTAGACGTCAGCGACGGATAATGACAACAGATAGTGACTTTGAACTCTGGTGCACTGATGATAATGTCTGAGACAAATAGCACTTGGTGTTAGGGATCTAGCACAAGATTACTCGCGTTCACAGACACCCATTATCATCGCGTGAATGATCGCATTCTGGAGACTCTTTCCCATCTTGAATCACGTGGCCTAGCCCTATCTTCAACCACTTTTATTAGTGGAGTATCCTCGTTGCTATCGCGACTTTCCGCATATATGAACCAGGACGCCACTGCAGCAAATGTAATTGCGTATCCAGTAGCACAGGAAACACAACCACCAACAAAATTGAGACGAAGGCCATGATTGTTGTATAATTTGCAGACAGACTTCCCCATGCACTCGGGCCCCCAATAAATGCAGCTGTTATCTATCACCAAAGCAAACCATATTGGAGCAGGTATGAATCCTAGAACAAAAAAAATGCCCGTGTTAATAAAAATATTGCAGCAATTCAGATAAGAAGCCGCGAATGGATGAATATTACAACTTTATATGTTACAAATACAGAATTGTAAGCAATCAACTGAAGTAACAAGAAATCGTTCAGAAGACTTATCGATCGAAAGTTAGGGGATCCCGCAAAACAGCGCTCTTACTCCATAGTGACACCTTGTGTCCCATCAGTAATTAATCAATAACTCGCTAATTATACGACATAAATCGCCCCAAATCAATAGGCTTTTGGTCCGAGATATGATGAATGCACATTCAAAATCTGGAGCAGATTCAATCTCGCCTTCGTGAGATATCGCGTGCATCTAACAGACATACAGACAGACAAATACCTATCAACATACTTACCGATTAAAATCGATAAGTAATAAATATAAATAAAATAATGGGTCTATGTTTTCATCCAGCATTTGTCACGAAAAAATAGCATATGTTCATTTTAGGCAGAAGTAAAAAATAGTGGATATATATATCACATTTTTTAAAATGTAATTTCTATGTTCATTTTTAATATTAATGTAGTATATAAATTATTAACTCGTTACCTAAAATTCGAGAGAGAAATGTCAACAGTCCGATGGCCAGAGGTTTGTCTTCGACTCGTAGTGAGCGAAGTAAAATCGTATATGTCGGTGCTTGGCAGAAGCAAAGAATCATAATTCCCAAAGATGCACAAATCATCGCACCTGCTAGGAGTCGACCACAGTCATTGGTGGTACAAGGTCCCATCGTCAACGGTTGCGCTAATTCATTCACGCAAGAGCAATCATCATAAATCTGCGGAGACATAGGTCATCATGAAAGACATAAGTAAATGAAAAGACACCTATTGTGTGCATATACCTATTATTTATTTCGCGAATTATTTTAGAAATCTAAACAAATGTGCATTCTACCAAATGCGCTAAAATATTTTCCCATTTCACGCCTAAGATAATATTCGTGCGAAACGCTAATTGAAAAGCAGGGAAAACGAAACTCTCAAAATTTGAGTTTGAGGATTCTAATCAATGTCGAACAAATGTTATTTTACTTGTTTCGGACTTGAGTAAATTTATATGACAAAGTTAATCACCTCTTTTGTATTTCCGTCTTTTGTTGCTGGGGTATGTGAAGTACATCCCGCATAACACGGTGATATATATGTGATGTTGGACTTGCTACATAAAAGATTAATTTCACCATGTGGGCAATCACAATCTTTATTACATTCTGAAGTTATGTTGATAACTTTTTCATTTCTGTATAAAGAAAAAGATGAGCAATTTTGTCTTTCAGTTTTGATGTCTTCAGCAGTTCAAAAATATATACGGTTACATCGGGCGATAAGAAAAATAAACAATATTTTTGACATAGGTCACACGTTTGAGGTATTTGGAGAGGAATATTTTTGACTATATTTTACATATATATATATATATGTTCATTGTTTAAAGTTTGTTCTCACATATATGGGCGGTTGATTCCCGCTGTAATTGGTGTGTCACATCCGAGCGCAAATAATGTGGAGAGAATCACAGTACCAATGCTGGACATTGCGACGTTAAATAGAAGGCTTTGGCTGGTTGAAAAATCAAATCTTTTCATCAGGTATCCGCCTCCAAAAGTGCCAGCTATTGCGAGTGGAACGCAAACCCCACCTAGAAAAGTGTGTGAAAAATATCTTTTACCATTTATTTAGCAATTCTTTTAGATATAATAATGGATAAGGTTGTTCAACTCGCTTATTGAACTTGATCGAACATTTTGTTTTATATATATTTGCATTGCGTAACCTGAGTTTAAACTAATTTCTTTGATTGTACATGTGCAAAATAATAAACAGTTGCTTTCACGAAAGTGTTTTTAATGAAAATGAATGAAATGAATAAAAATTTAAGTTGAAGTGTTAATCAGAATGTTCATAAAACGTTAAAATGATTTTTGATGACTTCATGAAAACGTTTGATATGATTGATGCGTACTTACTAAAGTTATTTTTGTCTTATAACAACTAAATGATATATACCTATCAACATATCTGATGTTATTCTCAAAACGTTAAACTCTCTTTGAATGAAAGTTGACCCAAATGTACTGACACCAGCCAAGAGATTGGCTAATATAACGTAAGCAAGAAATGCACACATCACCAGTGGTATTGATAGAAGTCGCCGGATAGAACAAATTAAATCTGCAAAATGAATAACATATCATTTCCATTGATTTTCACGAAATATTTAGCAACAACAAGCCATTGGACGCCAATTAACTGTGAAACTAGCAGTTTTGGAAATATATGAATTTCACGTTTGACATTCTCTACTAAATTTTTGTCGATTGAAACTTTTGTCACTTATCATCAACGTTTCTGCATTTGTCATCAAAAAAGTTATAACACTAATAATCTAGTCGCAATTTAATTATTTATTCAAATAATACAAAAAAAAAAATCTCCAGATGCTGAAGTTTCATCAGCGCCTGACAAGAATTTCTAGAAAAATGAGAATCTTTATCAGGCTAACCTCTCACGGCTCTATAAATTTTTTTCCCGTTATTTTTTTCTTCGCATAACAAAGGAATACTTTCTTCCGAATGAAAATCTCGAGCATCCTGGAAAACTGCTGTAACAGTACCGCCATCTGCTTCCGCCTCCGCCTGATTAATGACACAAGTGAGTAGTGAAGAACTTAGTTTTATTTCAATCCTCAAGTCAAACAGGTAAAATATATATTGATAGAGAGCAATTCTTCGCAAATTTATTGAAAATGTCAGTAGTCAGTAGTATTTTTTCACATGGTGAAAATGATACAGCAGCAACAAAAATAAACTTGAACACCTGTTTTCTCATTAAGTTAGATGTCTACCGCGTGATCTATAAAATAAGTCAATGCGGTATATTCACTAAAATGTATGCAACATGAGTTTTGATTATCTTTATGATTCTATGTTAGACTCCCTCAACGATGACGCTGCTCCATAACTGGTTTATCACGCCTCCCCTTACGCTGAATTACATTATTTTATATTTTACCTTACTGTTTGTATAATTTCGTATTTTCGGTATGGGAAAAAATAAATTACTGATTACTGATCATATATATAGCAAAGTTTGGTTTTCTTTGCGTTGGGCATGAAATAGTTAATTTTTAATATGGCATATTTAGCTATGAAAAGCAGCAAATTAATTCCGCAGTATATATAAGAAAGCGAAAACTTACGGCACTTATTTCCTCTGCAATTAGAATTTGATATTCTTCATTTTCTTTTATTTTTTCGTGGGACAGTTTCAATTTTTCGGGGAAAAAATAAAACGGTACAAGCAGTATCACCATCAATGTAGCAGCGATGACATATCCTATAGTTTTTTAAATGAATATAAATTTCAGTTATAAAATGGTAAAATTTCTGAAAATACAAATATAAAACAAGGTACAGTGAACAAAAATAAGATCAAATAAAATTTTATAGTTTTCTTACCGAGCCACCATGCACCAATCCATGCTGGATCAGATGGCTTGAGGTCGTGTGCGTCTATTGATACATAAATAGCAGAACTCAAACTTCCAAGCAGAAATCCAGCTACTGGTCCAGTTAACGTAATGCCAATAAAAATACCTGCAAATTAAAACAATATTGCTTTATATTATTTTACCCACTATAATGTATGACATATCCAATGTGCTTTAGTTGGAAGATGCCTGTCTCAAGAAGTAGAATTTTAGTCAGACAAAAGGTTACAGAAATACATTTGGCGGAATAAGATTCTAAAATATATACTTTTGTACGCTTTTCTGTTTGTTTTCACCGATTTTTTGCATGCGTATCAAGTTGATAAGAACCCATAAACGCTAAAGCTAAAAGTGGAAAAATGTAGTTATCTATGCATTCTCCTATTCAACCGTCAGCAATTGTACAATTCCACGTAACTGCAATATGTTAAAATTGCTGCATGTTGGAAATGGAAGTTGTCAGCAAAGGTAAAAAAAAAACATAACAAGATATTACGCATGATTTTTAAAATAATGTCAATAATAGATAAATTTAGACAATTTCAAAGCTCACCTAAATATATTGGCAACTTTCTGCTGACGAGATGTTCATCTAAGTAGGCGACTCCGAGAGGCCACAACGGCGTAGAACCTGCTCCGATAAAGACATGACCTGAAAGATATACTTTTAGCTTTAACGTTTTACAGTACACACTATATTTTCAATTTATCACTTACTCACCATTCTAGAATTTTATATAAAACTAAGATTCTTTTGCGCTGACTCTCTTATTATACGCTCAAACTTACAGTTAATATGCATAATAATTTTGCTAAGTAAGGTATCGATTTGGTCTGACTTTGTTGGCATTGAATTTGGGAATCTAGACCTGGAGCCTAGTTCAATCCAGCAGCCATCACGTTTGCGCACTACAATTACTTGTAATAGCTTCAAAGTCAAATATTGTAGCAGCTCCCGACGTATTAGTGATCGCGCGTGGAGCCAGGGCTTTGTCAAGATAAAAGTTGTATAACTATACACGCCTCGATCTTAAATTCGATTTTCTTTGGTATTCCATGTATTCTCTCTATAGAGCAGTCAGTATGGTTCCCAACCCCCTAGAGCTCGTGGCCCCCTTCTGTAAGCTTTTAGCACTCCCTTGATTGTCTCCCGTGTTTATCATTCCAGTGGTTTTTAAAGTGTATTTTGATTGATAGATTCCAAATCCCATTATGTTCAAACAATTCATGCAAAACAGAGTGAAAATATTCTGTAAAACCAAACCCTATGGAGGCGGTCACAGGCCCCCGGTTTGAAACCACTGCTATAGAGAGTTTCGTCAAATACTAAAGACAATGACCCGACTATAGTACAACTATCACACAACCATACCACAAGACCACTATTGTTTCTTACTGGCACTGCTCAAATCCAATATAAATTACAAGGATACTTACCTAATATTAAAAGAACAGATGGATTATACATGGTGGCATTAGCGTTACATGGTAATTCTTGAGGTGTAGTAAGACTTGGTTTTATTAGCCTATTCGATGAGTGATAATATGATGCTAAATTGTGCAATATCCTTGTAAACCTTAAAATATATTAGTATTTTAGTATAAATCGTATATTCAATCCGATTCAGTCGAAACATGATTCTGATTGTGACATTAGAGTAGATTTACAGCATCATTTTCAGCAAAAACGAAATTTTTCAGTTTACTATTCAACATTTTATTTACATTTTCAATTGCAAAAATTCCTATAAATTAAGTTGGTTTCAGTAAGTGGTGAGTAAAGTGAGTAAATGATAATGAAAGTAATAGTAGAAATCTAGATTTGGTTATTGTTAGAAATAGGTTTGTAGATATCCGCCCGATTGTATCTGGAAGTTTTTTCAACGCAAAGTAATTATTCAACAATTGTGCATGTAAACACATAATCATAATATTTGGTCACCAAATAAAACAAAAAAGCGATGAAATATCATTTGTTATTCGTATCGTATATATTCGTAAAAGCTAAATTCGCACAATATTTTGAAATTATACAATTATATATATTCATAAAAATTATATAATGGAGTCCAATTGATAAATCGCAAATAATACAAAATAATATTATTTTTTTCAGTTGGTTGCGGTTTTAGAGCCAATTAATATTTTGGGACGGCATATCACGTTTTAGAAGAACTTAAAACAGAAATAAAACCTCACCAAGTTGATTTTGACTTTTCAGTATCATCATCGTCTGATTTTGTTTTATTTCCAAAAAGCTCGGATTCAATGATAGTCCAATTTGTTGTGGGTAGTGTTATGTTGTGTGCCTTAAATTCCCTTGCATATTTTCTCATAACAAACGCTGAAGGTATAGTTCTATGACACCTCCCATCTTTACCACTTGCCATGGCACCCTTATCGGATGCCATTATAAAATGAGGTAGAATGCAAAAACCCAATCCTAGCAACATAAACATAACTCCGACACATATAGCGCGAGGACGATGCCACTTTGCTCCAAAGTACGAAACTGGTATAATTGCAACTGTGCTTCCAACTTGATAACTGCTAGGTATAAATGATGCCATAGTGTTTGGGATGTGAAATCGTTTAGATATGAAGTTCAAAACGCTATCGGTGTAAGTTAGAGTCAAAAGGTTCAAAAGCTGGAAACTAGCCAGGAAGAAGAGGAATATATTGACGGTGTACCAAGCGTCGTACTTGCTCCTTTTGTCATCATCGGTATTCACATCGGGAGCAGCGAAGACTTGTTTCTCTGCGTTTTCTTCAATAAATCCGGTAGTTTTGAACACAGAATCCGTACTATATGCTTGTCTTATTTGCTTATTTTCGTTGAAAGTATCATTGTCGCGATTACCGGGATTGGAGGATCTTCTTTCCATTACAAACTAAACATAAAAGCTGCTTATTGAAAATAAAGTTAGAATTTCCAAATGTTCAGACACCGTACCAATAACTATGTCTGAATGGATTAAACTGCACTTCACTATTAAGCATTGCATCCATTAATCGCAGTGGTTCTCAACCTTTTTCAGTTCGCGGACCGGTAAAATTTTAAAACAAATTTCGCGGACCGGCAGATCTTCAAATTTAACCAAAAATGTCATGAACAAAAAACATAATCAAAAGAATGCAATTACGCCAAAAAGTAGGCGGTGCAAAATAATACAATCCAATTTAATGAAAAAATTGCTGCTGTCTTTTTGATATTATATTTTTCGTTGGCTTTGCGGGTATCATTGCGTGGTTTGAAAGAATTTTGGCGCAAACTTGGCACATGGGAAGCTTTCCTTTTTTGCTACTGGGAGCGATAGTGAAACCTAGCCACAAATATTTCTTATCATACCAGATCCATATCAACTTTGCTGCTGCGGACAACAGAACGTAGTATGTGTAGCAGGTTAGGGTTAGGGAATAACTTTATTTCAATTTTCCCTATTTTAGTTCTATTACAAGTTCGACGACTAGCCAAGTGACTCCCGTATTAGTTGAACCTGAAATGATGGCTTACTCCAACCTGGTACACATACTACGTTCTGTTGTCCGCCATCTTTGTTCACATATTTCGGGAGTTCCGAATAGGTTAGGGAAAAATGGATGTGAAAACATGCCAAGCGCTTCCCGTTCGCAATAAAGCCTTTGAAACGCTATCTATGAACTATCGATGAAGGCTCATACACGCCTTCTCAAGCTTTAGTTCAAGGCGTTCACAAACGTGGTTGGCGCAAGGAGACGCACCAGATAAGACATTACGTGAACGACCCTGTGACGAGAACCAAAATTAAAATACGACCGAATAAATGAGTTTGTATAACTTTTTTTAAACTCTATCACTTTAACCTTAAGAACATAAATAAGCATAAATTAACCGAACAGTTTTAACCGTAATACTGCCTTTTTTTATGAGAAAAAAGTCGATACAGAAACTCGAAATCCTTATTATGGAGTCATAACAGATTAGTTTTGACACCATTGCATCAGAGGGGTCTTGCAATTAGCATAGCCTGTCTCGTCGTTTAATAAATCAGGTTGCCGCCGATGTAAGTATATTCTTCATCATCATACCGCACTTGTTTTGCCGATTTGCCGGCTGCCCTTGATTAAATAAGTTTCATGATTTTTCTCACTCAAAAGGTCTCTCTGGTATCTCGGATAAATATTCCTGTTAAAATCGTATGACTTTGGTATAGATACAAACTTGGCAATAGATCTACGCAATAGGAGTGAAAGTCAATACAAGAATTTTTACTTACATTTTTGAAAATATAATTCCGGCAGCTTATGCGGCTGCCAGAACGCAACGTTCTGGCGTAGTTTCACGGCTGTGCAAGGGGTATTTCAATAAAGCAAATACAAAAAAAAATTGATTCAAAACAAGCCCTTGTTTTAAAACATGATGTTTTTTTAGACTTGATAAAAACTAAAACCCTAACTGTGTGCTATCAAACTCCTCCGGTATGACGTTAGCCGCTGTTATGAGGCCGTAGGCTTAACAAACATCCAGCCGTTCAGGGTTTGAAATGGGCAGAGGACTTCTAACCAAGTTTGGTTGATAGACGAATACCGGTACTACGAATCAATAAGAGTTCGGGAAAAAAAACATAAAAATAATGGATATGCCGTCAAACCTTTTTCATTTGCAATTTGCTTTTGATATATTAATATCAGAAAGATATTTGGCGGACCGGCAGAAACGTTGCCGCGGACCGGCACCGGTCCGCGGACCGGTGGTTGAGAACCACTGCATTAATGTCAGGCAACGTTTTACGCATTATCATACGCCGGGTGTGGAACCGATGAGGATTTATAAAAATATAAATACAGTATACACATTCAAAAATTCGTATATACATTCAAAAGATTCAGATTTCTCGCATTAAAATGGATAAAATGGCTCGTTTGTTGCAACGATAAATTAACTGAAATCTATACGAGTATATAACATCTCGCTCAATTCCAATATTCGTGCATCACGCAATTTAATATATGAATTGAATGGAATAGTACCGTATAAACAGGAAATTAAGCATATTGCAACAACAAAATTGTCAGCTTGGTATGGTTGCTTCTGTGCTACCCCAAATTTCAAAGTAATAAAATAAATCAACATCCATTAGAGGTGGATAAGTCGCAATATTGTCCCAAATGATTCGATCAAACTCGACCAAAGTGGCACCAATCATTTTATACATAACATTATGTCGGTCGTTTTTATTTTCATTTTCCCTTTTCCTCACTCACGTAGTTTTATTTATTTATTGATATTTTTTGACAAGTCTAAACCGTTCTGTTTAACATTTATGACCGTTGATAATACCTTTCTCAAATAAATCACTTTCTATAAATTACATCCACAAGGATGTACATGTCACGAAATAGCCATGTAAATTTATACCTGCTTATATTGGTCGCGTTTTGTTGTTATGTATGCAAATTAAATTATTACCGAATAGCTCTGTGTGTACTTGCACTGCTGGGCATCGAATAAAATACTCTTGATTAGCTCGAGTTTAACATCCACCAACAAACTCTCCTCTCCAATACAGTAATTAAATAACTACGACCCCGGAATTGCTCCGATGTAACATATTTATAGTTATTCTCAATATAATTCAGTCATATTACATATATTGCGATCCAGCTGCCCGTACATTATACTCTACGTTTTGGCTATAACTGACATACTATTGAAACGCAGGTCTTTCGTAGCGTAGAATAGAAGGCATTTAAAATATGAGTAATAAAACCTTAACTCATAATCATGCAGCGGATAATACACAGCACTAATTTGCGATATTCAACAATAACCGTCGGAAAGCTTGGCAATTCATCCATCCTATGGTCATCGACCCTTCTATATTCGCGAACTGGTTGAGGATGGGTATACCGCAAACGGGCGGCGATGTGATTTGTCGTTGTAAGCATTATGATGAACATGCATCTTTCAGAAATAGGTCAGGTATTTTTACTTTCAAAAGATATGCAATTGGCTACATATTTCATAAATCTAGATGTGACAGTGACCAACAATTAAGTTATTTTTACTAACTGATCCCTATGTCTAGGAAGGGTCGGATACTCGGTGTTGCGGATCACTGTTCGATGATATCATACTGTAACATCATATTTTTATACTGTAAGTACATTACCTTAGTTCGCATGACCATTAACCCTGGTATTATTAACGCACTCCACTCTTTACGATTGAACCAAGTCCATGAAAGCTTTTATCTGGCTCCAAATATCTTACGACTATACAAATGAAGCCCTACTTTATGTATTCTCTTGCATATATGCCAGCTCTTCCTTCCGCCTGTTTAACATCGTGTCATGACTACCATAGCTTTTCGTTACCCAAGTATTACGTATTCTTTCAAACTAACTTCATTTGCGAGCAACTATACACGTGAGAATGTTTGGAAAATTGAGCCTGAAGGCTAACACACACTAACAAATCGTAACATATGCTTTAGCAGTGAGTGGTTCTGCCTGAAATTTGTACTGATCTGTGCGGCTGTAAATTGGCATATTTCCTCCAATTCTATTCGGCGTTAAATCGATAACGGTACTGCTCTATAATCCAGTAAACAATTAACTTGCCTCGGCAACAAGTCTGTAGGTTCTGTAGGAAACGACGAACGCGATTATCAAACATATGTTTTTCTCCAGCCTTATATAGCAACATTCATGCTTCGCCTGTGTGCAATTATTTTAATCTCGATGTAAGTCAGACCCATTCTCTTCGATTAAGCGCATTTTTAACAGCTGTTTACTACAGTACGGAATAATCGCACTTAAAATCAAGCGTTAGACCTAACCAATGTCATCGGTTCACTTATATACCTTAGCTTAGCATATAACAATATGAAACTTGAGCTGAGTTCAAGTTACGTCACAAACTGGACACTCCGTTACAGCAGCAACTCTATACGGTACACACTATACAGCGTTTCACTGATCGCTTGGATATTTATCAGAAACACTTTTAATTGAGACCCTGTTGTCTAAATCTAAGGTATCTTAATTTCATGGAAAGATTATACAATATGTTTATTGTATAGCAAATTCTTTTATCAGAATAAGTCAGAAATTCAGGGTGTCGTGATGGTGAATCCAAACCAACTAATAATAATTAGGAGTAATATAAGTCCACTAATGAAACTCTGGAAAAATCGGTAAATGTCGAGAAAACATCAATATATGAGGTGCATATATGCTTATTTGGATATACCGTTTTTCTAGGTACGATCTTCAGTTCGTGACAATATTATTATTATTGTAATGGATAACAAAATTCCGAGCCTAAAATACTGTGTAATAAAACGAATTGTATGGTTTCAAAGTATGTTCTTGCAAGCATGGAGAACTGATAACACAGCTTTTCAAGCATTTTTGATATATGAAACATGCGTAAATGCATTATGGAACAAGTGAGGTGTCATTTTTCACTTTGCGTCAATCAATGCAACGCATTATCGAAACGGCTTCCGGGATTTTAGCGCGAAGCAACACGACACTCTGAATAAAATGAGCTTGAATGCCAGGACGCGAAATCGCAACCTAATATTTAATTTATGTAATGACCTTTTTATGTATGTGTATGTTGCTTGTCAATGTTAATGTATGGTTATATTTTGGCTCATGTTAATCCGCTAATGCAAAATTTAACGACAAATCCGATTGGCTTCTAATAACCATGATTAATTCCGTCCATATAGCCTGTCGTGAAAGACCTTATGCTACAATTTTTATTATACACGCAAAATTTTAGTGGTAATTGAAACGCATTTAAATCCAAATTGTATATCATCAAGACTACATTTTTGATAAAATATATATATTGTCGAGTATGTTGATCATACTCATAAAAGGGCGTTTTCCTAAATTCTAAAAGATTTAACAATTATGTTTCCTGATTTATATGGTATTTGGTATAATTCAGTTCTTTAAACACTTCCACATTGATTGCCATGTGTTATCCCCCTAAAATAAATTGTGAGATTTGTGAACGTCGCATTGTAACCTATCTCAAGTACATTATAAACAACTAGTTGTTTAAATGGCCTGTTGTTTTGTCTTAGTAGAACAAGGCTGCCCAACCCGCGGGCCGCATGCGGCCCGCACTATAAAGCTTGTAAGCAGACTTTTTATGTTTTTACTATGTTATATATCAATATATAGGGTTGAGTACGTTTCTGATTTTGGTGTGATTATTCCTGCCATCTATCTATATTCAAATGCCGGTTCCTATTATTACGTATGTGTCAAGTCTTGCACCCTGGTAGACATCGACGTCAGTTTTGAAAGATATTGTGCGATCATTGAGGACGAACGCTGAGCGCAAATATAGGAATGAATTTGGAGCCTAAATTTGCAAATTAATTTCATTCTGATTGTTTTCTTACGTGTCTGCTTTGATCGTCTTCATCGCCAGCGTAAAATAAAATGTCAACAATATCTTTGGTACTGGTCCTGGGACTCGTTGTCCTTTTATGTTTGTATTTTTTTTTATCAAATGTTTAGGTTAAATAAGATTTCGGAAATATCGTCATTGCGTATCCGTCAATAATTCTGATAAAATTGACTTAATGGCATTGCTGCATATTGGTCACGAATCAGTATATATAGGCTATTCACTCAGAAATCTTTGTAATGTTACTTCATTAAATTTTTGTATTGGTGTTTCAAATTTTACGAAACGGCCCACTTAAACTTGATATTCCCGCAACAGTGGCGCACATTATGCTCATTTAAACATTGTTCACGCCCCGTGTTACCAGATATTGAATTGTAAACTGCTATTCTAATATTCGACTAGATTTTCGACTAATTTGCCAGCCCCACTCAGTAACCAGAAAACACTAATTAAATTGATTGATTTGATGGTAATAAACTTGCCTTTTATTTATTATGTAAATTACCTACACCGAAATCAGGACTTAGCTGGTATTGGTACAAACGTTTGCGGCCCGCAACGAATTTCGTCACTTGAAAGTGGCCCGCGAGACGAAAAAGGTTGGGCAGGCCTGTCTTAGAATATAAAATAAATTTCAATCGAAAACCTCAATGAAATTTTATATTCAAATTCTACTCATAATTCGAATGTCGGTTTCATCTTCAAAAATCAAACGTGGGTTTTGTGACAAAAACGTATGTACACAAACATCAGATAAAAACTAACCATCTTTTACCTTCAGATATCCTGTGTCATCGGATGCAACTATGAGTTTCAAAATGAATTGATACTAGAGATTGGTATCATTAACACTCATCAAAATATCATATAGTCCCTTAAACATGATTTTAGCGATGTGATAAAGCGAATGGGCAATAATTATATTTCAATGACAAGCAGTCGATAGTTAGGTGCTAGAAAACATGAGCTTTACAAAATCACACACATAACTAACTTTAAAGACAGCAATTGTTAATACTTTAGGGCTACGCAAATAAGTCCAATTCTAGTTGGTTTTGACTGTACATATTTATTATACATACATACACACATATATTATTGATGCACTTTAAAGCTAGATATAACCAATACCCAAGGATAAAATCGCATGGCAGGCAAATAGCGTTATCCTTACGACGCGTAACCAAGAACAAACAATGGAACTGGATTCAAACAATGGGTCGTGGAATTCGTTTATATTACAACAGACGATTCAACAACAGACCTCTTCAAACAAAACGTAGTGGAGTTGTCGGTTAAGAAATACTTCGGGTAATATTTATAACTTTTATAGACAAACATAGGTTTGTGAAGCAGTTAGCAGCTATATGTATTTCATGGCATAAGTTAATTAGATACAAGAACCTATATTTGAGGTTCAAAACTGTTTGTACAAAAGCTCATTTGAAGCGTACAGTGTTTCGACCGGGCTTTGGCTTTCCGGCCCAAACTGTAATAAGCTTTGGAAAGAGGGTTGGGGGTGGGTCATGAAGCAATGTGATTCTATTTATGAACTACGTTGTGTTTTTATTATTAGATCGATAAGAACTTTGGATTAATGCATCACATGCTGCAAAGTTGATTAAATACCACACTGAATGAAATATTGCGTAATCACACGAGTTGCGATTGTAGGTGAATGTCTAGCATTCATGTCACCGCTTAAAGAGGCACAATTGATTCAGGGCTTCGAACGGAAAATATACATTTGTCTTGTTTTTACATTTCACCCCTCCCTTTTGTGAAAGTGAGTGAAACTATGCGGATGCCCAACCCAAGTTCATCGTTAGTGGGTAAACCATTTGAAACAGTCGATTTATTCATTTCCATTGCTAATGCATGCTCAAGACTGACAACCAAAAATCGTTTGTTTTGTTTTTGAGTCAAACATTTTCATTAAAATGCTAATTCATTGTTTTTTTAGCATGGATACATCTGTGACGTAATAAAGTTATTGCAATGGCTTAGTTGAGTATTGCTGGAGAATAAGAAAAGAAAGCGAAAAGTCGCCACTAAGTCAGTACATGAGTAGCATTCTGCAATGTTTGCTGCATTTCAGAAAGCAAGTGAGTCACCAAATGTGTTATTTCAATATTCATCAGGTACGTTATAAGTATATAATTAATGAAACACGACCAAGTCATTTCCTTGTCGTTCCAAACTAAAACTGTACCATTCTAGTTTAAAGCATTCGATTATAAGTGTGACATTTCCTTAGTCGGTAGCCTACTCTTCCACACCAGCTCTACATTTTGCTTTCAGGTTGGAATTGGGTTCCTGTTGCTGTGTTTTCAGAAAACAACGTTACAACAACAAGTAATGAGGATTGTAATGATCTACCTGATCGATCTTCAAAGCCATCAGATTTTATCTCTGAGATCTCTCCGAGCATAAAGCAGCCTGGAGATTGGTTTGAGATCCCTCTATCTTCAGACGACGAAGATAGATTCAGTCCGCGTGGAGTTTTGGAGTTTCAAAGAATTAGCGAATGCGAATCTTCTTTAACACCACGCGGTTAGTTTATTTTTCATTATAATTTTCATGGTTATTTGCGTGTAAACGGATATGACCGTCTGAATTTTACGCCATTGCTCCTTCCCAGAGATTTCAGCAAATCTACTTTACCAGTGTATATGTAGTTTTTAACGTGTCATTGGTTTATGTCAAGGTTCCAATTTAAACCGGGCAGACGCGAATATATAATTTCTTCGACTTTTGCAGATATTTACCAGAACGAAATAATTTACCAGTTTCTTTTTTTCAGATGATTGTGAATGTGATGAAATACTCGGGATTAGTCAACAGAATAAACATGTACTCCATAAATTTTTATATCACGAAACAGGCCCAATCTTCGACTCAATACCCACCAGCGTCCCTGAACTATCGTCGATCGTCACAGAGAATGCTTTTCATAGAAATGATATTGCAACAATAAAGGAAAATTTAACATCGTGTGGGAACGCAGAGAAATATTTCCTAACACCAGAGGGTGAATATCAGGTATATATATAGGCTACATATATAAGATTATGTAAACATAACATCGATGGTAGCGCAGTTTTTACATCTTCGTCATTTAGTTCCAATTCCTGAGACATCATATTTACAATTGCAAAGATTGTTTGACTATAATATTATCTGAAAATAGTTGGCATTCCGCGTATGCGCATAAACTATCAGGAAAAAATATTATGAATGTATCTCCCACCCACTAAATACACAATAGTTGGTATTATTAGACAGCGTTTGTAAATTTTGGCTTATCGGCAACGTCGCCGATCACTTCATGTAATATATACTTGGTTATATGGGAATGTGCTATGTAGCACGACCCAAGTTTTGGATTGCGTTGGATTTATATTTTCAATAAGAATTGGTTCCGAAAATCGGGAAATTTTCACATCAGTTACGAATGAGAGTAGCCAACGTTCGGAAAGATACGTTGGGTCAGTCATGAACAAGTAACTGAACTTTATTACTGTACTTCATTAGTATCTTGGACTGCTCGATTTACATGTGAAGGTAGATGTAGTGCAGTAAACTTTTTATATACCAAAAATTACTTCAGAAAATTTGGAATAATGATGATCGGGAATCGGGATTATGATTACAATAATTATAGATATTCTAAATTGTATTTTTAATTTTTGTTCTTAGCTTTTATGTGGTATAATCTTATATTAATTATTATTCATGGATTGTAGAACTTGAATGTTCAACTAGATGAAATTCAAATGACAGTAAAAATCGAAAGAATCGTTGTTCTTTACATTTATGCAGGATATTGAAAAAACGAAAAATGAATCGCCTGAGGAAAATCGGGAGATAAAGTTAGTTGAAACGAATTTGTCAGATGAAGACTTTGTACAGAAGGCATGTAAACTTTTAATTGCCATAAAAACGGAAATTTGTTTGAAAATTTATATGAATACATTAATTGAAGTCGAAATGCCCATATGTAAAAAAACATCTTCAATGCTACCCGTATTCAGTCGTTGTATTTTGCCATTATGTTGCTGTTCATTTCCCTCTTGATATGTTACCATAAATGTTTCTTAAGAAAATTTAATAAAAGGTAATGATCGAATTTAAAAAAAAGTGATTGTGTGCATGATTTATTGATCCAGTATTCTAGATTTTGCGAATCATTATTACAAGTTGTCAAATGTCAATCTTAAATCGAATTTATTCAATTTACACTTTAGAATATAGAAAAAGTAACTCGTGACGTTGACGAAGTCAAGATGGCTCAGATACCTGTACAAAATACGCATGCGGGTGTTCAAACTGATGCGGTAAGTTTTGTGGATTGAAAAACACATCATTGTAACTGAATATATATGGAAAATAAATAACTTCACTGAATCTTACAGGTCAAAGATGACTTCTCCGATACAAAATCAGCTCTACAGCGTCAACTGGCAGATGCTTTGAAGGCGCTTGAAATAACGAGAAGCAATGCCGACAACATGCGTGATCGTATGCGAACTTACACATCTAGCATGAAGCAACAAGCAGAAGATTTGCGTTCGTCGTCTCGAGCATTGTCGTCAACGTTAGATAAAGTATCAGAATACAAAGCTAAATGGAGAGAAGAAAAAATGTTGAAAGAAGACATGATACGAATATCTGAAGAACAAGCATCCAAAATAGAGGAGTTTAAAGCTGAAGAAGCAAAGCTAAAACTATTCCGTCAAGGTTATGATAGGCTGAGCGGACTTTTGCAGTGCGATGACCAGTCACAGACCGCGTTTCAACAACTTACTCTGGTATCAGACAAAGTACGATATTTACTTGATTTAGTTGAGCGATTGCAAGTGGAGTCTGCTGTCGCCAAGAAAGTTCATGAAGTCGAAATGAATGAACGTCTTGGGGCGCATGAGGCAGAGAAACAAACTTGGAATAACTTTCATAAAAACAAAACTGAAAATTTTGAATCCAAAATCAACAAACTTCAATTTGAAAACGGTAAACTGAGATCTGAAATCACATCCATTAAAAATGAATTCAATGAGATGCGATCTTTATTGCGCAAGACGAATGATGAGGGTGATAATAAAGAGTCAAAATTGCAGAAATACGAAATTCGAATAAAAGAACTGGAATGCATTATTTCGCAGAATCAAGAAGAATTTTTAAAATCTATTTCAGACATGGAATTATCGTTGAAAGAAAAAGAAAATTTTTGTCAAACGCTGGAAAATGAAAAGAATCAACTTTACGAGGAGAACACAAATATTCAAAACATTCTTGCCATACAGAAATTTCAAGTGAAAGTCGAACAAAAAGAAGACAAATCGGTTGAGTGTAATTTTACCTATAATGACGCACAAATTCATCAATTTGCCGACTGTGTTGATAGTTCTTCTCTTCGATCATCAGTGAATACTGACGCTGAAAGATTTCAAGATTTGCAAAATCAAAATTCTCAATTACGAGAGCAAATTATTGAAATGAGAGAAATCATCGACTTTCGAAAAAGGGAATTACTTTTGAAAGACGACGAATATGCCAGAATCTATTCTGATTTCCGACATTTGAAATGGCTTTTTCATCAACAGGAAATTAATGTTCAACATCTTCGTGCCGATAATGCTTCTTTAAATCACTCCGTTACAATGTTACAAAATAACGATGATTGTCAAAGAAGTGGGCATAGTACATCTAGTTCAGATGAAAAATCTCTTACAGGTAACAATGACTCACCACGATTGCGGCAGAAAGGCGGATTATTCTGGTCTTTCGAAAAACCTGACAGTGAGTCGGACACCGACAGAATCAAACTTCAAACCATACCTGAAAGCGCAGATGAAAATTTTTCTGATAACGAGGAAGCTAATGGCGAGCACTTGCAACATAGCGTAGCTCAACCTAGTAACCTCATGGGAAACCTTGAATCAGAATTTACTCGAACGAACCCACTAAATTTTAATAAAACCAATTCTGAACCTGAAGATAATACAGCAAATAAATTCAAAACCTCTACACCAGTGCGGAAGAGAACTTCCTTGTCACGTCCTGCTCGTGATCACATTCCAAGCAGCAGTTCTTCTTCCTGTTCAGATAGTCAAACAAATCTCAGGCGACCACCGAAGTATAAACGCACAAAGAACGGTTACAAGCTGCCCATATGGAGACAAGAAAATCCAGAGAATAAATATTCATGTGGGACAACTAGAAATGGTATTTCACAATTGGCAACTAATAGTGGAAGTGAGGTTGAAGAAGTCTTTGGAATGTGTCGTGATTCGTCTTTTTCGAAGTTAAATAGTCATACCTCATCAACATGTTCACGCAAATCAAAAAATTCTACCCTCACTTCTCTTCAGATAGATAAGCAACCGAAGCGGCTTGTGGGAATTCCAATGTCTGAGGAAGAATTTCAAAAACTAGTTGGATCATTGAACATAGACCAGAAACCAGTCACGTCATCTGAACTCAATAATGTGAGTCACAGAAACTTACGAGAATTAAGCTGGATGGACGACGGTTACTCTTCATCGTCAGAGGACTTAAATTGTCGAAGACAATTGAGTGAAATACAGAATGACCGATCGACATACAATGACAGTATCGCGACCGCGTCGGACCAGCTACACGCAAATTTATTGTTCCCGTACAATAGTGTAGCTGACGATTGCTCTGATGATACACTTACGCAGGATAACAGACGTGCATCTATTTCCAGTTTGAACGAAAATTCGAGAAGTCAATATTTAGTTAAGTACAAAGGAGTGACATTCGATGTATCTTCATTTGATATTACGAAAATGCGTCAAATTGCCTGGGACGTCGGATTCTCCGATTCACAAGCTGAAATGATCAAATTTATTGACTTTTTAGCAAAAGTAGCCCAAGATTTAGATGATAATCCTAAATGGACTGGTAAACACTCACTGGGGAAATCGTCAGATTGGTTGCAACTCAAAGGACTTTTCCAATGATAACGTTCCACTTCACCATGTGATTACTTCGCCTGATCGGAGCGCGTGTTTTTTGATCAATTGCAATGCTTCAGTTTATCTATATTTCCGAGTTATGTATTATGCGTACAACGTACCGGTACATCAAAACATAGCGTACCAATTTTCATTGATTTTTTTATTCGTAACCATTCATCATCTTGATGTGTTTTGCCGCAGCGAGCAATTAATAGATGTACGAAAGCCAACTTGCACTTACCTATTTACAGTATTATTTATTACATAAATATCTTTTATATTCACAAGAAATATACAAGACGGTAGCTTGGACGTTGACAAGCAATAATTTCAATTATCAATTCAATTACGAAAAATTTACAGTACATGTGAAAGGTCCTATCTTGAGAACAGACAGATCGCTGATGGAAGAGTGGAAACTAACAGTCGCGTACGCGTCTATTTCAGTAATAGAACTGCCAATAACGATATACGGGAGTTTCAATTCGGCTGGCTTTAGAAAGACTTGTCACTAATTTACTCAATTGAAGGAAATTTAGAGTAGACCTATGAAAAGGTATTTTGTTTGATAGTTTGTTTGATCCTTTTTTAGGTGCTATGTATATGAATCAATAAATTTATTTTCCCTTTCCATGTCGTTTACTTTCTGTTACGTAGGTTTGCCTCTATTGTTACTTAACAATAAAAAATAGATCCAGACGCAACTTGCTGCAATTTCGTGAGCTGCAGTTTATTTATCTTCTGAACCGAGCGTAGAGAATATGAGTGATTTTTTTAGTATTTCAGAGGAAATTCAGACATAGATGAGAAAGAAGAGTTGAACTTTTGTCAATATTCCTTAGGCATACATGTTCACAATGATCACAAAATGAAGTTTTATTTAAAGGCAGCAAATTTTTTTTCGTGTAAATGCGCCGTGAGTTTTCTCCCTGATAATTTGGCGCTCCAGAAGTATGTATGCCAATATGGAGGTAACTAATTTTGTTCGACTATCCTAGATCAAGTTGTGTTAAAGAACTGAAGCCTGTGGACAGGGGGTATATTCGCCTGGCCTACACAGACAGTCCCCGAACTCGCAATAGAACTGAATTAAAAAAAATTCGAAATAAAATTATGGCTCAACCCTAACCTGATATACATACTACGGGAGTACCGATAATTCGGCGCCGCACGAAGAAAAAGTTTGGGAACCGCTGGCGTAACCTATATTGATAACGACATTTATCAAACTTCTAGTTCATTTGAATAGGAAATTCTAAAATTGGTTGCGTAAAACATTTTTCATTCTGGCCACGTTAATATATGCTTTCTAAATTTTCAACTAAATACTGATATTGCCAAAATGGCAAACCAGTCTACTCTCACTCGGTTGTTGTTGTTGCAATCAATAATAAGAGCGTGACTGTTTTTCGAATGCCACCTGATGTAATTTATTCTCAATTTATTTTCTACACTAGTATAAAGTGTGCATCATGTAAACATTAAATCAATAGATCGTTTTTGCATTGCATGCTTTATATTTAAATTAAACGCCCACATCGAGGTAAAATCAATCGTGTTTATAAAGATGAAAAATAATCGATCATCTGAGTATAATTTCGTCCGGCTTCATACCAAGCTGAAAAACTGGAGACACACGTCGCTCCGTTAACTCAGTCTAAGTCAGTGGTTCCCAACCGCCCGTCCGCGAGTAAATTTTGTTGTTTTTATGCCGTCTCAATCGCTTTACCGAAGACGAGGTTGCGTTGGTTTATTACGCACTTTCTCTTCCGACGTCATATTGCTACGTCTTTCGTGATCGCGACATCTTGGCGCCGAGTAATCACACTTTTCGAACTCCGATTCATCGAGAATGCGCTTCAACAAATCTCGCAAGATTCAGAAACCTAAAAATCGGCACGCGTGCTTTTTTTAGTCTGCGTGCTTTTCCTGATTAATATGACTATTCATATAAAACGTTATGCATTTTTCTTCGTTTAAACCAGAAAACAGTCAAGAAAAGTATATAATATTCCAGTAAGATATGAACTTGTTGCGACCTTGCAGGTGGTCACGAGACGCGCAAAAAAGCATGGGCCGCAGAGCTCTTTCCCAGTATTTTGAGTAGGGGCAGTAGGATTTTGAGCCTGGTGCCAAGTTACCGACGGACGAATTTGTCATTGTAATGTATTTCGTTTGAGGCGTCGATCAACTGCAGAGGGATTAATATGATAAACCCGATGAAAATAAAAAAGCTTGATTAAAATTGTGATTCTACTTTACAGTCCAGATTTCAAAAAGAATCACTGTCACAATTTTGGATATTTCTTTTTAACGAATGCCCATCGCTAAGTAATCGAGCAGTTAAACTGTTGTCCGTATTTTCAACCAGTTTTATCCAAAAAAACATGCTCATCACTAGCTTTAATTAAAGCGAAATCTGCTACACGCTGCTGCAGAGCTATACGTGTTGCAGAAACTTCTTTGAGGCCTCGTTTGCAATCCTATATTGGAAACGAAACAGCAGCAAAATTCTCACTAGAGTTGATTGTGTTTGTAAATGCTTTGGCATGTACATGTTTTTTATGCGATATGTTTTATGTGTGTCTTTATGTTTCACCCATTTCAATTTTTGGTCGGCACATTATTTGATAGTTTTCTTCGTGTGAAATTTTTTTAAGTGTGCCTTTTTGTTTAGCTAATAAACAGTGCTATTTCAAACTTGTATACGCAAATCATGTTTTTGGCTAAGGTTTTCGTTGCTGCTTTATTAACTTGCTTCAGATATACGATCGTTTCAACTTCGAGTGAACAAGGCTGTGGGACCATACCTCCAACTTACGATATTGACTTTACAAAGGTACTTTGTAACTTAATTTGCTATACTGGTATCATATTATAATAGCGATAATCAATTTGATCGAATATGATTTGATTCCAATCATTTCATGACGGTTCACATAACCTCCGGTTTACTTGGTTACATAGAGTAATCATTGATCGTTACTCAGACTCGTAACCTATGAAGGACCCATGAATAAAATCGGAAATTAAAAAATCGACTTGGCATGGTTGAAAGAAAATCCTGCGAAATAGTCACGTTTGTGAAATAGTCAGGCTCGATAGTTCTTCAGAATTTATTAACTTTTTACGTATATATATAATATCTTTTTATATAAGTTGCCGCAGAATATCTGGTTCCAAACTCTTCATACACCGGATGAAATATTTTCGAACATAGTCGGTTGTCAAATAGCAGAAAATATAACAAAGATACCATACGGAGTGAGAACGAACCTTTACAATTATTACGCATCGGGGTGAGTAATCACAAATCAGCTATAATTTTGTTTTTATTTTGGGACTTGCAGTTTGTAATGAAGCTGACATAATTATAGGTAGAAATAAGTTTCATCGTTACTTATCAGCCTGAGAACAAAACATTTTGCTATTAATAACATGGCAATTTACGGTTTAGTGTTATATGCAAGCGCAGTATAATCTATACCTTAACTTTTGATTTTCTTAAAAACACAAAACAAACATGGTTTCGTGCATATATAATATATATATTGGCTTTTTCAGACAAATGTCAAAGAAGTTTGCAGTCCACAACGTAAAACTATCCAGAAGGAATGTTTATATTAATGTCGGTAAGGTTTTAAACCTTTTAGGTACTGAATGAAAATTATAAATAAACGCGCATGGCGTAAGATAGAAAGATTTATATAAAACTTACAAGGATGCGATGACCTCCATCCAGACCAACAGTTATTCTGCGATCTCTTCGAGTTATGAGAAAATGATATATGGATACTGTGGAAGACCTCGTGCAACAAGTATTAATTTTAAAATCAGAAGAATAAAGATTACAAATAAATTGTGGCAATTTATTTTATCTATAAAACTGTTATCGAACATTTTATAGTGCAGTATTTGCAAAAAAAAAAATAAATTGCTTGATTTTCAGGTTGGAAATTTGGAAAAACTTTATTTTCATAATTGCCCCCTGTTTGAAAAAAATGAATGGAGTAATATATCTTGAGCTATCACAAAAAAGGGGCAATCAAAAAACGATGAGAGGAAGTCTCAGCCTAAATGAATTCTAGCTTAAAAAACTTTAACACTTCCGAATTTCATTGTAGGTGGGCCAGCCTACGTCTCATCGATGCTTGGCTCATCCGAGTACGACATGAATGCCATAGCAGAAGGTAAGTAAACACGATTATCTGAAATTCAACAACATATAAAATGGAGTTACGCAATGCAGTATAATATATAAAACTTCAAATCACGTTTTAATCAAATATATACTCATCAATATACAGGTTGCATCCTGAACATTTAAATTATATATATATGATGCAAATACAGGTTACGACAGGTACAATATAACCAACAACGATATTTTTAAAAAGCATTGCGTATCATATTTGATGATGTCAACTAACACCTTAAAATTAGGACAATTCGAGATCCCTCGGGCACTTCAGAAAATTTTTATATTTTTTAAGCGATAGTGCAATGTAGTTGTTTCAGCTATATATATTTGTAAAGTAGTGCCATTGAAGACATATGATATTGCATTCTTAGAATTGGGCAAATATTATTAAAAAAGCATAAAAGTAATATATAGTAATGTCATGAAATAAAATTGTAACATTTTATTCACTTATGTTTTTTGTTCTATCAGCTGTAGCAAGAGGAGAACTAAAGGAAGAAACCGTGTTTATGACGGATTATATGACGTATTTAATTGTTTCACTCTGCAATTCCCGTGAAGGTAATGGTAGCATCGATACTCTCAAACATTAGAACATAATTGTAAAAAATAAACGGTTTTTACCTATTTGTGCAATCTATTTCCATATTTTTATTCTTAAATTTTCGATTTATATTGCGTTTCACCATACATGAATAATGAATTGATAATAGTTCCAACTAAAAACCGATGATTATTAAGCTACAACGTCGCAATGTTATTTTCTAGGTAAAGTCACTAACTCAATTTTTACTACTAAACCAATAATGAGCGCTGAAGATATATTAAACATAAGAAATTCATTGATCGAAGCAAACGCAATGACTCTACTTGAGAAAAGCAACTGTTCTGCTATACATTTTTGAGAAAAAGATTGAAAACCTTCAACAAGTTGACGTAATCTTTGAAGACAAGAACGAACATCACGACTGCTATAATGAAATAGGAGTATTTCTTAGCTTATACTGAACGTTTTGCTTCCATATTAATCTAATACAGTGGTGGGATTCAGCCGGTTCTATAGAACCGTCTCACGGAATTTTATGAGATCAGCGAACCAGTTAGCATTACTGAAAAAACATGACTTTTTGTAACAGAACCGGTTGAAAAATATGTGATGGAACCGGCTGACAAAAAATTTGAATCCCACCATTGACCTAATACCTTTTTGTCAAATACTTGTTGTAATCAACATGGATTGCTTTGTTTAACAGTGTATCAGCTATTCGCATTTTACTTCATAAATCAAGCACTAAATTACATTGTTACTTACTTACTTTGGAGGCATTGTCATTGTCGCCAAAATTGGTACTTACTTTCCTGTGTCATATATGACGATTTTTTCGAAGCTTGAAACGTTTTTTAGACCCTCAAGACTCCTGGAAACGTTTTCCAGCCTCCGGTAGGACATAACAATTCTAAATTTCCGAACAACAGGTTGAAAATTTCTGGTTACGCCCCTCGCTTCGAACTGCATTTCAAAAGATTACCAGCTTAAGTTGCAGCCTGCATGCAAATTTAAACTCTTTTTAATTAATATATATCACAATATGCATGAAATTCTGTTATATACATTCAAGAAAAATATATATTTGAGGGTATAATCAAAGTATTTTACAACTTAGTAAGTAATTGTCAGTATATACCAAGAATTTATAAACGGAGATAATAAAAACCAGGAATTATTTGTAGTATTATTGTTATGTTTCCTGCATATTTTGAGAGTTGATTTTTGAAAAAATGACATCAGTAAACGGGTGGGATTATTTTATAGAAAATATGTATATTCTGCAATCGATAAATGTTTTGGGAAAATTACGAAAAATTATAACACAGAAATATTATTAAAAACGAAGTGGGTCCATAGATCGTGTTCCTAAATTCTTGATGTTGTTGTGAAAATAGCTTTACTCCAAAACTAAAAGACTAATCCATTTAAATTTCAGTGTTTACCTATGACTGACGACGTTATTAATTCACTCTGATTCTTGTAAGACCCCATATTTTACTGAAGTTTTTTCACGGGAACACTTAATAGCGTCGCGCTTGTTCGTCAATCTTTTCTGCAAACTCGGTACTCAGTTAGGCAGTTATGGCCTTCAGCACACTTGTACATGTACCGACACGCGACCTTCACGTACATATCATGGACATTCTTCTCTTATTTTAAGAAGTGCTGAAACTATGGACCATTCCCCGACCTTTGACCTCCGGAAAATTCTTTCTATACTTTACCATTGCAAAATTTTCGGGGCTATTTTAAGAATGCTTTTGCGAGTTGGCGCCTGTAAAATGGGTTATGTGTTTCAAACCATCATTATGATTCATCGCATACAACAATCTGTTTTTTAAAAGTACCGGTAAAGAATTTCAGTCTAGTCTATCACAGATATTTCTACAGTAATTTTTATTACTGCAATTAAATCAAAACTCCTAGGAAGACAGAGTGATCATTGAAATATCTGAATTTTATTCAAGTTTCCGAAACACAACTGAAAACTAACGAATAAAGTTTAAAAACGCGAAAACGAGGTAATGTTTACAACCACGCTTTGAAATCTGTCTGAGCGGATGCGAAAAGGGGGCATTGTTACGTCACTCTTTGCATCTTACTGATTGGCCATTGTCACGAAGTAAACAAGGAAGTCGATGCTCGGGGAAAGGTCCATTATCATTTGATTTTAAATTCATCCCAAGAAACAGTGCCACTGTGACGTCAGAAACGTAACTATGGCTAAAAAATTCGATAAGAGTATGCCAGACCAAAGCATATAATATGAATAAACTAAGAGAACTAGTTATTTTAATGAAATAAAATTAGTCAGCCGTGCGAAAACATTAACTCTGATTATTCTTACTCTAAGCACTGAACAAGCCTTTTTCTTTTGAATGTAGCTTTTTTATATTTCTTCCTTTGTTATTAAGAACCAAATTGAATTATCTGGCAACATGTAATAAAGCAACTTCTCGGCATAGTTACGAATGTAACGTTCTGATTGGACTAAATAATATTTCCATTGTTAAGAGTTTCCCTGGTAACAGATGATCAGATCTCAGTTATAAATTTGACTTTCGCTGTTCGCTAAACTGCACTTCAAATTGTGAGAAATCGTTAAAAAGAGTAACTTACTTCCAATATCCACCAACAGGTAAAGTGAATGTAATTACATATATATGACGTTAGGCTCATGTAAAATATAAATAACTCGATTAATTGGCATATAGAGGTGGTTTTGTAGCGCATCCAACTCGATGTATGGTACCGCAACATTGAACCACTGACAACAATTCAGAAATATGAAAATATACATTGATGAACTCGATCGAAGACGAGAGATTATTAAATATATAATCGCAAATTATAATGGAAACATACATAAAATCCATCCACAAAAATATAATCTATGTCTGGAAATGAAAAAATCTGATATTTTGTAATAGGACTGCTGCAGTAAGATTGAACGCAATGCTTGTACCAATAGTTTTATGTATTGGGTCCAAAATAACTTTTGGACACAATTGGCACATCTTGTTTTTTTTTATGTATTTTCATCTCCGTTTGGTATTAATTAAAATCGAACATTCACGTTTCAGGGTTCATTTTAAGCTTCAATTGTTTGAATAAAACCTACCCGCTGGATTACACGTCGAAAAACTTGCAGACAAATCTGTAAATATGAATGAGGAAACTGTTGAAAGGTTCTCAAATATGTCAGATACTGACGAGGAGTTTAAAATTCCTTTAACCATTAATGATAAGGTCCTCAGTCCTCGCGTGGTCATGCATCTCCGAGAAAGTACAAATGAATCGGCATGTAAATGCGATGGTATGTACACACTAGTTAATATTTATATAAATATCCTATGCGCTAATGTGCGGTTTTTCATCCAAATATAGCAATACATGTTAGACACAAAATTGATGACTTGGTCTGCAGTTTTAATTTTTGTTAAACAATTACAGTAGTTTGATGTTGCGTTGATAATTAATATTCTGTTCATACCTAATTTTGGATTCTTTGAAAAATCTTCAGTTGTGTTTTTACAAATATTGACAAAAATAGGGGATTGGAGAAACAAAATTGATTATAGTATATACTTTCAATGAGAGGAGTGAATACTATTAGATGTATTTGGTAAATTCCTTTCCCGAATTTTGTTATTGATAATGTCGGACTCGTATGCAACATCCCGACATATAATTTTCAAAATAATATACTTGGAACCTTTGTAACAGAGCAAAGCATTTCCAAATAACTTCACAATTGCACATTTCAGACGCCTATAGAAAGCTTACCTGGAATAGCCGACCAATTGAAAAAGAGAATTCGTTTTCACCGGCCGTCAACAATACACTAAATAGTCATGTGGAACAAGATAGTGGAGATGCAAGTACTGGATGTGAAATAAAATCCGAAATCGAATTCATGTCAGACGCTTACGAAGACAAGGTAAATATTTTATATTAATTCACTGCGACATGTATGAAAATAGTAGCCCAATGGTATCAAATTATTAACATTCATTGTGTTTATTTTAGCGACTGAAAGTCCGGCAAAAATTTGATACTCTGGAGACCAAAAACAACACTGGTGAATATCCGGCTAAGACTGTAATGGTAAGTTTGAGGAGGAGAATATATAATATATGTATAGAGAAATCTGCTGAGGGCAGAATGATAAAAATATATTTGTTATATTTAGGAATATAATGATCGTTCCAACTCAAACTTGTGTCGAAGCCAGATGGAAGATGCTTTGATGGCGCTTAACGTCACACGAGCGCATGCAGATAAAATGCGCAATCGGTTGCATTCATGTTCATCCACCTTGAGGCAACAAACCGAAGATCTTCGTATCTCATCACGTGTTTTATCGTCAGCTTTAGATAAAGTGGATGAATACAAGAAAAAGTGGCAAGAGGAGATCTGTCTGAAAGAGGGCGTTTTGAGAAGAATGGAAGACCAAGAGAGTAGAGTAAGATCCTTGCAAAATCTAGAGACTGATTTGAGGCTTTTTCAACGTGGATATGAGAATCTTGGTGAGCTTTTCGAATGTAAACTTCCTTTACAAAATATTACGGAAAGCTCAACTTTCATGTGGAACAAAGTTAAAAATTTGCTCAATTTTGTCGATCGTGTGCAAGTTGAAGCTTCACTTGCCGCTACTGCTCACGAACTACAACTGAGAGAACGTACCGAAGCATTTGAACGTGAGAAATGTGTCTGGGAAAATCTTCTAAAAAACAAAGATGAAGTTTGTGAAGCCAGGATGATCCGACTAAGATACGGGAACAACAAGTTGAAAGACGATTTAAGTGCAGCGCACGAAGCAGTAAAACAGACAAGAGATTCACATCGACGAGAGAAAGATGAAATTGAAGACATGTTTAAGAATAATACTGATAAAATGAAAATGATTGAATGCAATAGCAAACAAAACTATAACTTGTTGTCTCAATCGCATTTATCAATGAAATTGTCATTGGAGCAAAATACTAAAATCTGTCAATCAATGGAGGAAGAACACGCTGATTTGAGGGTCGACGTGAAGAGTATTGAATCTCTTCTCATTGAGATGAAAAATGAGTTCAAACTAGGAAATACTCAGAAACAAGACAAATCAGTTGAATGTAACGTTCCTATAATGCAATTTGATGAAATAAAACAACAAAAACATGATTTGATGAGGGAAAATGAGAACATGAAGCAATCTCTGACTAATGTTAGAAAAGAGATTGTTAGAAAAAACAGTACATATAACCGAATGTATTCCAACTTCCAACGTCTGAAATCGGCTTATCATCAACAAGAGTTGACTCTTCAACATCTACAATCCGACAATTCCGTGTTGCGCAAATCCATTGAAAAAGAAGATCAAGGCGCCTCGGATACCAACAGAAAACTGTCTCAACGGCAGAACGTTGATAATGAGAATCCGATTTGTAAACGTCAACCATTGCCTGTACCTCGTGATAAAATTGTAGGAGAATCTGCCACAACTAATCTCAACAACAGAGATGGTACTCTGGAAAAACTGGAATTGTCGTCGGTAAAAAATCGTCTGTTAGAGCGAGGAAGTCGTAGCATTACTGACATTTCCGAAGAGAAGACAAAACCGGTGGAAAATTTTGCGACATCTACACCGGTGAAAAGAACCTTAAAACAAAACCTGAAACCTCGTACGGTTCCCGTAATATGTCCTTCCATCGATTCTGACCGATCTGAAACTTCAGCAAGACGTAGGCGTTCAGAGAGCGCAGTTGAGCAGACAGTGAATGAAACCAGATATACCGATAATAAACGTCTCACTGAAAAGAAAATCAAAAATAGCAGATTCGTTTTTAATCGAAAAACTGTGCAATCGTGTGACGGAGACATTCATGTAACGGGATCTGATATTATAAAGGATTACGATTTGAATAGAAGGCCAGGAAATTTTGGCATGATTCGCTCTCCTATATTGGATAGACCAAAAAATCGTCTTGTAGGCATTCCCATGTCTGAACAAGAATTTCAGAGACTAGTCGGATCGATGAACGAAGATATTATTTCCACCTCGAATGACGATGGGTATCATACTTTATCTGATTCGGATCATGAAATGAAGTCGGCTTATGCCTCAATATTGAATATGCGTAACACTTCAAATTCTTCTAGTCTAATATCCTCTACGTCTGAGTTGAAAGATAAAACTTCACGACGAATCAATCGTAATCCAAAAATGCCACACAAAAATATCAGCGATCAGTACTTGGTGACGTACAGAGGAGTTACATTTGATGTAGCATCGTTTAACATAACACAAATGCGTCACATTTCATGGAACGGAGGGTTTTCCGAATCTCAGGAAGAAATGCATAAGTTTATTGACTTTTTGTCTGGAGTAGCTCAAGAGTTGAATCGTGATCCAGACTGGTGCGAAAGACATTCACTTGGAAAGTCATCAGATTGGTTAGAACTGAAAGACTTATTTTGAAAACATTTACTTTAATGTTATGTGAACATGACCATTTCTATGCAATGATGCTTCTCATTCAACGTCCATATCATCTGGCTGTGTTTTTATTTCATCTATTCGATTTTTGCATTTTTTTTTAATATAAATTGTTGAATAGTGATAATAAATTATTTTTTTTTATTTCTGGTTGTTTAATTTGAGTCTAATTTAATTCAATTTGAGTAAAATTTGAAGAGAAAAAATAGAGTAAGTTATAGACAAAACCATCAAGCCTCATTTTTGTAGACGAAGTAACTGTGAGATACAATTACTAGTTCCAAACATTGTCTTCCTAATTAAGAAGTAATTAGATTAGACCCTGTGAATCAAACCTGTAAGGAATGAGTGATGGTAATTGAAAAATATTTTAGTGTTGTAGGCAGGATACCATGAATTTTGTAAACGTATGGTAGGTTTGGAATCTACGCAACTCCTGGCGATCGCAGAGAAGTCATTATAATTATTAAAGAATAATTTCCTATTTTGGATGAAAAAAAGACTGTCGTTTACTTAAAGTGTTATTTCTTTCTAGTATTCCTTGTTGTTGCATTTTTGTTTAAAAAAAAATCTTTTTTCTCTTCAACAATTGGACCAATGAACTATTTGCACTATGTGGCGGTTCCACGATCGCATTTCAACGATCTAGTAGTGGTCAGCGAAGTCTAAGAGTTTTTTAATAAGGCAGACCAGGGTGGTTCAAACCATGTCGTGTCGATGCATTCCGTGCGGCCCACAGAACAATTTTAGCGTATATTTATATCTAATAGCAGAACGTTTTTGAGTTTTTTCTAGCTATTCCAACTGGGGTTGGGATCCCGAGATTCAAACCCCTTTTTCTAACGCTTTGTATCTCCTGACAATAACATTCGATGATTTACAGTTTTGCAATTTCTTTAATAATTCCAAGAGTCTTGCTGCCATCTAACACCAATATATTTCTGTAACGTTTCGTCGGACTAATGTCATTAGTCGCCCCAAGGTCAGAATTTCTCAGACATACATAGTTTGACTATAAGAAGAAAGGTAGTTTAATGCATATTTAAACAATCAGTGTAAAACTATGGGAGTGACGCATGCTTAATAATCGAGAAAATCAGCCAATTCTTGATTGAATAACAGCGAGTGACTGAAATGAACGGTCATTGATGAGATGATCTCTTTGTTTTAACAATTAAAATCCAAATTAAACAATGATGTTTTGTGTTTCTCAGCATTGTATGATGCATACCAGAAAAGCCAACTAAAAGTGTCAACTATAATATGGTGATTTTTCGTCTGTTGATGACATAATTGGCCATGTATGATCAAATTCTGAAAAAATATCAAGTACTAAAAAGGATTTAAACAATGAATGAAAGATTTATAATCCCTAAACTTCATATTCATCCCTTGACGCTCTTGTGTCCCGAGGAGATGAATGAAGTGACATTCCTTGTTTTTTCGATATATGTGGTCATGAAATAGTTTTTCAATGCCAAAGACACGATTCGATAAAGGATTCTTACGGCAATGCACAATTCTTTGCCTCTTTTTGCAAGTAGTTTTTCTCGTCATCTCCTTCTAATCCATTTTTCATGAGATGGAATAAGTATATGAAGAGCTCTGGAAAGTTTAAAGCGAAAAAGTTCCACATGCCTCTATCTTTTGAACCAAGTTTGGATTTCACTATTTTTGATTTCTTATCATAATATTCATGAGTGTTTCGAATGCAACGAACTAGATCAGTAAAGCTGTTCTTATATGGGTTGCAATTTCCATCGTTGGGATCTTCCAGTTTTTTCAATATCAATTCAACCCAGTTCTCGCTAACAATTTCATAAATTCTTTTCAACGCTTCATCTTCTTTTTTGGTCCGCACAAGTTCGTTATTGTCCTGTGGTACCTCTTCATTTGGAGGGTCAAACTGGACTGAATCTTGACTGTCATCACTGCTATAAGTATCAATGCTTTCTTTGACAACGTATGCCATTCTCTGTTCCACAGATCCATTGCTCTCTAATTTTCTTTTTGCTTTTCTCTTTGGCATTTCCTTGTCTTCATCACATGGTTGTTCAAAATATCGATGGCAAACATGAATGAAGTTCATTTTCTTTTTTTCCTTCCATGTAAAGCAATGCTGAAGTATTTTTTCAATTCCAGGACGAGCGTCTGGTTCATGACTGAGCATGATCTTCAGGAGATCAATAAGTAAATACCTTTCATGGAATTGTTTGGCATCTTCAATGACAGAAAAATTTGGTTTTTTCTTCATCTTTATACTTTGATGCTTATCAAAACGATCTCCTTGATAAGGGTGTTCTCCATCAGTGAAAATAAAATAAATAACAAGACCTAATGAATATAAATCAGCCTTGACCCAAGCTTCAAATTCTTTGGATCGGTCGTCTGGACACATTTCTGATGCAACCCAACCAAGGGTTCCACTAAACCCGGATGATCTGGTAATTGTTTTATTTTCATCTAATGCAAACTCCTTGCTGATTCCAAAATCAATAATTTTGATATGTTTTCCATCTATTGAAAGCAGCACATTGCTTGGTTTAAGATCTCTGTGGGTAATCTGCTTTGCATGGATATGTTTTAGACCATGACAAAGTTGTACAAGCAATATTTTTTTTTCTTCTATTGAGAATCCAGGCAAATGGCTTTCTAATTTCTCGTGGTTGCATAGCTCTGTGACAATAACAACAGTAAGTTCGTTGGAAAGGTAGCATGTGAGATGTTTTACATATCTGGCCACATTGTCATGTGCAAGCAACTTAATTGCAATTTTTATTTCATCCAAATACTGTTTATCAATATCTTCTTGTGACAAGCTTCTATCAATAGTTCGAAGTTTGACAGCTAATTTATCCTGTACGACCACTTGCCTTACTATTTTTCCCGCATAAACTCTTTTTCCCAGGCACTTATTTGTATTATAGATGATTGTAGAGGTTCCATCTTCAATTTTGTTTTCTGTGAATGTAAAAAACAACCATTTTCTAACATTTTGTGCGAGGGTTATTTCACGTTTAGCAGAGATTGCAATCTGTGTACTAATTACAAATATCGCAATTTATTGATCAGAGCAGGGCTTCCCAAACAAACATATATTCACTCAGATTAACGTTACTCAATTACTCAGTGTGATGGGTGCGAATGTTTTTTGCTGCATCACAAGTCCAGTCGTGGCTCAAAGTTTGTTGATGCAGGCCTCAATGATTATGAATTACGATGTCTGGCCACCGACGACATGGTCCTTATTCGACATTGTTACTCACTCTTAATGATCAAATTTAGCACAAGACAGTGGTTCATGCGGCGCCAAATAAACTCGAGGCGCACCTACACGAAAAAAAGGTGCATTCGAATAAAACACAATTTTATTATCGTAAATGTGTACTTTATGCCTTCTGAAGTTTATAAACATGTGAGCCTAATGAATAAAGGCCAAAGGTTAACTTCTCTTCCTTATTTTCTTTAAAATGCTAAAAAATCACTCCTGTTCGCTAATCTCTGTTCAGTAAATAAATAAACTGCAGCCAACGAAATTGCAGCAAGTAGGGTTTACCTCTACTGTTACGTAACAATACATAACAGAAACTAAACAACATAGAAAGGTAAAATGAATTCATTGATTATTATACACATCATTTACAATAATAAGGAACAATAAAACTTAGAATAAATAAAATATGTTAATATTTCCTCATATATTACGGTAGTTAATATTCAACACAAATCTCCTAATTTTCGAAGCGCACTTAGGAAATCGGGTCTTACGATAAGAATAGGCATTGTTATGCAAGCGCGATGATTCTACTGTGCTTCCCCGGAAATAAGACCCCGCCTGAATATACGACCTAGGCTGAATTTTAAAAATAATTTTAATATAAGCCCTCCCCTTAAAATAAGACATAGTCTATAAAGCAAATTTTTTAAGATCTAGTCGATAGTAAGAAATCTTTCCTACTTGTTTCAAATTGATTATAATTTGTGTTTAGCAGTTATTTTGTATAAAAACGTGTTATTTATAAATAGAAATCGTTTTTCATATTTTGTATATTTAATAATCTTGTAATTCTCTACTTTCTATTTTGGTTTTTAAAAATTTAAAAAAGACCCCAAAAATAAGCCCTAGTTTTTTTTCGGAAGAAAATTGAAGACAATGTCTTATTTTCGGGGAAACACGATATGATGATGCATTCACTCGGAATCGTGAGATTTTTGTTTTACACTAGTTTTAATAATTTTGTTTCGAATCAAGAGTCTAAAATGTACAATAGATATTGTGCTTTGTATAAAAATGGTGTTTTCTTTGCGGAACCTAAAATTCGTTTCTCTGCCCCTAGTTTGGGAAGCCCTGGTCCAGAGATCAGAAATATTTAGGAATATGGTGCACAACTCGAAGATTGTAAGACAAAATCACGATATTCAGACAAAAGCATGCCAAGATGTAGTCAGCTTCAAGCAAATATGTTTCAACCACTGAAATTGAGATGTAGGGTATCTAATTAAACAGGATTTGAAACAAAAAATATTGAGATTATTAGAAAGTTATCCACACTTGAAATGGTATTTGTTTCTTGATCACAGCCCCAATTTGTTGCAGTATCAAAAACGATAAAGCATAGTTTCAGTTTTCAACTCGAGCGATCAAAGTTTAATCTCTGGTAAAAGACTTTGAGAATATAATTTTATTATACAATGAAACATACCTTTAAGCTCGAGACCCGTAGAAACCTGTGCAAATTTACCTGCTGATAATTCTACGGGATTTCCAGTTTCTGAGGTTTGAGAGCAGATTGCCTGTTGTTTATCATCAGGTTTGAACGTTTTTGCTGCATCTGTAAAATTTGACGACAATTAAACAAAGCATCAGCCAAGCATGATTATCAAGCGGAAAAAATAAGTGTATAAGTAAACTCAAAACTAGATATCTTCAAATGATTCATTCTACTAGTTTTAGACAAAAGGTCATGGTTCAGAACCAGTCTCAAATAAAATCACGATATATGTACAAAAGGATTACCCTATATATTTATCCCGGAAAAGAGGAAGGACAATAAGACGACATAAGCATATGACGAATCACAGCCTCTCGTCCGGTTAACAGTTCTTGTGGGGTATGAGATAGTAAACCAGTTATTTGTTTTAGATGCATGAACTTGATGCCAGAGGAAGTCGCACCGACCAGCGATTACGTGAACCAATACAATACAATTTTATTTCAAACTTTCGTGTACAACACAAAACACAAATAAAAAAAAACACAGTTCAGGACAACTGAAAAATCGGGAAAATGGGCAAAACCTGTATACAGGTTTAAAAAGAATGCTGTACCCAGCGCTTGTGTCCATTCACCCACACTCACACAAGTGAAAACACATCATGACAATCATACTGAAATAAATTAATGAACAGAGTAGGCCTACATAATCACGAGAAAATAAATTTCACGGGCGAAGCTTATTTGTAATGTTGTAAATAATGTGATGAGTGAAAGTTGTGTAGAATACAAAAACAAATAGTTATGTGACAGTGCCTGTGCCGAAATGTGAATACCAATAATAACAATTAATTGATTAGACTGTCTAGCAATCTTCTCGCACATTATTAACAGGATTCGAACCCACGCAGGGTGCGGTAGCGAGCGTATTCTTAACGCTAGCACGAATCACAAACAAAGAGTCAGCCTCTATATTTTTTTGAAATCTCACAAAAGTTTCTCACCTGCATCATTTACTTCCGGCACAACATTTGATGACGGTTCTTCTCTCATTTGGTCTGATAAGGGAGCCTGGCTTCCATTCTCTGGAAAACAAAAGATTAGGCTTTGCCTAGGTATACACAAAAATTCCCCGTTTCAGGAAGAATGTGAAAATATTCCAAGCAAAGCTAAAACATTCAACGTGCGTACCTGATAGCCGATTCTGTTTAGTTTCCTGTTTATGGCTGTCGCTTTTATCCATATTGCAGTTTAAAACTACCTATATCTATACCAGGGGTCTCAAACTCGCAGCCCACGGGGCAGCCCCATGGAACTTCCAATGCCGTCCTCGAATGATAAACAATGATTGTTACATTTTGTAAGTTTTTTTTTATCTAAATGTAATACTTTTTTCATACCTTTCAAATTGAAATTGATTATCCACGCAGAACACAACAATTTACAGAAAGTAGTTTTAAAAAATTACAAATTTTTTTGTTTTCGTTTTGACGAGATTATGGACACACCTCAAGCTAGCAAAAAAACACTTCAGTGATTAAGAAGAAATGCAAAGTACATAAGAAGGTCGCATTTTCAATAAAATTGGGAGTTGCAATATTTCTATGCAATTTTCAAAATTTTAAAGCACACTGTTCAATTTGTCACTTTCCTATCAGTACAATAAAAAAATACAATATAATTAGACATTATCAGAATAAGCACAGAAGTCAATATGACAAATTTAAAGATCAATTTCAAACCAGGAAACTGTTGCAGGTAAAAGCACAGCTAAATCAGCCCAAAAGAGATGCCAAACGTCTGGACAAATGTAAGAAAAAACATTAAGTTTATACTGAATTTGTGTAAATTGTAGGTCTATAAGATTAAGTCATTTTTAGTGTATGTTTTATTCATTGAAATTTTTTCATTCCAGTTTGGCGGTTACTCGAACATTTCGCTCATAACAAAGTCGGGTACAAGCAGCCACTGATATCCTACATTGCTGTCGTAGATATCTTAGATATACAAGCGCCTATCTTACCTACCTTCACCTATCTTAGTTGGTTCATTTGGAGAAAGGGTCGGTAGTAAGTCAAAAAAGGTCTGGTTATCGGTAAATCAATGAATCGAATAGATACAAGTTATACCCGAAATAAATTTGTTGAAATTATTTCGACTACGCCTGGATAGGTTCAAGAATTTTATTTGGTACCATCTTGCCTGCTTCAAAGAGAGACATGTGAATACAGGCATGACAAGTTTGCCAACAATTTGTTCGGGCATGGATGCAGATGAATATAAGCAAAAAGAACCAAATAGTTATTGAAACCATTACAGGAATCCCGGAAGATGACCTTTGTCTATCCTTATGAACATGTATCTAAACTATACCCGCAAGCCTTTTGTGAGCCCCCCCCCTCACTTAGAAAGTTCTGAAACTTTTTTTTATTTATCTACAGTAGTTAACTTATTTAACAATTGAACAGGGGTTATCCAAGCTTCTGAAATGTTGGGTTTCAGCTCCACCAAAAAGGGTGAAAACCATTTTTCATGGTAAATATGAGAATCTTTTGCAGTTTGGTAATATATATGTGGCATATAGATATAAGATATACATGAGGGAATTTATTGCTTTTGCCAAACCAGAAAACAAAACATACAGACATAAGGTATATATATATACAAAATAACGATGCAAAGTTTTCGGTAAATGACTTGATTGTAACAATACGACCGTTAAGGTCATCAAGGTCAGTTGCCCCAAAATACATAATAAATAGTTAAACAGGTAAAATATTTTGGCGCTCCCGTTGTATTAAAAGGTTAGAACATAATTTTATTCCAATTTTTCTTATTTTAGTTCTATTGAGAGTTTGGGGTATAGCCAAGTGACTCCAGTAGTATTTGTACCTGAAATTATCGCCTAACCCTAACTTGATTCACATACTACATGAGTATCAATATTTTCAACATAATATAGCAACTATAGCCTATGCAGTATTTACAAATCGTAATTCTAATTTTAAGCTACAAATAGTAGCACGATTACCACATTAGGTATCGGTTCCGCGATTTGGGCCGATATAAAGACCCTGTCTATAGGTCTATCCCGTAAATGAGGGGTGCACTCACTGTTATACCTGATGTCTTTTATTGTGGGGGCTATTCTTGGAATCGGAGAACTGTGACGTACTGCACTAACAATCATTTGAATTGCTAAAATATTCTGACCCCAATTTATAAACAGATTACTATATTGACTCTCAATTTCCAATTGTAATAATTCATCTGGAACTCAGTCAAACACATTCGGACATTCTCTATGCTTGAACAAAATTCAAAACTCTGACAAAAGCCAACCTGGCATTTTGTCTAATTTCTTTCTTTATACAGTTATACAAATGCAACATGTATAAAAACTAACACAGTAATCCCTAGAATCAAATTTAATATGAACAGTACTTTGGTATGGATAAATATCTGGTTCTGCAATGACAGAATGAGGGTGGTTTTGGTAGGAACTGTGAACTGGGAGGCTGTTGACGAGTCCATGCATGTAAAACAAAAAAATGAAAACAAATTTGAAGGCTCAATACTGCAATAGGATTTTTCTATTCCTGTCTATGTAAATGTTTTCATTTAATCTAGGCTAATAATAAAAGGATCCGAAAGAACAATGCTACAACTAATGAAGACTGTCGCACTCTAGACTCGATAATCCATTATCGGCCATTTTCAGATTTTGTTCAAAATGAGGAAGTTTTACATCCTGATGATTCGCGTCACTGTCACTTTCTCCTTGTCGCCACCCATTCTGTCATACCATCGGTGTGGAAGGGTAGTTATGAAATGGCTATGTTCCATATGTCCGCAACGTCCCTACTAAAATGACTATGACCCTTCTACATTGCGATCCCGATATTTTCCTACTTAAATGGCTACGGTATGTCCGCTATGTCCCTACTAAAATGGCTATGTCTTCTATGTCCCTACTAAAATACCTAGGACCTACGTCCAGTGGTGGGATTCAAATTTTTTGTCAGCCGGTTACATCACAAACGTCATATTTTTCAACCGGTTCTGTTACAAACAGAACATCGATAGTAACCAGTAAAGCTAACAGGTTCGCTGATCTCATAAAATTCTGTGAAGCGGCGCGAACCGACTGAATCCCACCACTGCCTATGTTCCTTCTAAAATTGAAATATCGATATTTTCCTTCTAATTTAATTATGTCCCTACTAACATGGCTATGTCATGTAAGTAGAAAAATATCGGGGACATAGCCATTTCAGTAGTAAAATATCGCGATTGCATTTTAAAAAGGACATAGCCATTTTAGTAGGAAGTAAATATTAGGGACATAGCCATTTTAGTAGGAAAATATCGGGATCGCAATTTATAAGGTACATAGCGGACATAGCCATATTAGTAGGAAAATATAGGGATCGCAATTCTAGAAGGGACATAGCCATTTTAGTAGAAAAATATCGGGATCGCAACTTAGAAGGTACATAGCGGACATAGTCATTTTACTGGGAAAATATAGTGATCGCAATTCTAGAAAGGGACATAGCCATTTCAGTAGAGACATAGCGGACATAGCCATTTTAGTAACGACATGGCCATTTTAGTAGGAAAATATCGGGATCGCAATTTAGAAGGGACATACCCATTTTAGTAGAAAAATATTGAGATCGCAATTTTAGAAGGGACATAGCCATGTTAGTGGAAGAAAAATATCGGGGAGATAGCCATTTTATTAGGCACATAGTCATTTTAGTAGGAAAATATTGCGATTGCATTTTAAAAAGGAACATAGCCATTTTAGTTTGAAAATATCGGTATCGCAATTTTAGAAGGGTCATAGCCATTTTAGTAGGGACATAACCATTTTAGCAGGGACATAGCCATTTTTAACTACAGTGCGTGAAGCCATCGTTGGACTCTTGACTGAGAACATTTAGACTTGAAGGGTTTGTAATTTTTCCTGGGGAAAAGGAAAGCCACTAACGGAACTCAATAATATCTGAACGAGAATATTGGTCGGAGACCGAAGACTTATCGATCTTAGATCGGTAATTAGTTAATAACTCGCTAATTATACGACATAATTAACCCATCTATAGGCTTCTGGTCCGAGGTAAGATGCATGCACATGCAAATTTTGGAGCAGATTCAACCACGCGTTCGTGAGATATCGCGTTCATCTAACAGACACACAGACATACATACACACAGACAGACAAATACCTATCAATATACTTACCGATCTTAAGATCGATAAGTAACAACTCCCCACGTAGCCGCCGAAATGCTACTTGAGGAAATACTTTTATGAAGAATTGGCCGAACTGGATCGTTTTGTTTAGGCGAACAAAAGCCTAACTGGAGCCGAACTGGATCGTTTTGATCAGTTTACAGCCAATTTACCACCGAAAATGGCTAACGCCAACTATCCTATATTTTGTGTCAAATAAAACGGCGCTAACCGCAATTGCGACGGCTATTCAGCCACAGCCTAGCGATATTTTATTGAAGAATTAGATTTGGTTTCAGTCAATAGCCTATTTGCCACCGGTAATGGCGAACGTCGATTATCCTATAGTTTGTGTCAAACGCAAAGATAGTATACGACGGATGATTCCGATTGTATCCGAATTAGCTTTATACAACGATTCCAGGTCATTGATGTCGAAGCGGCGTGTAACCAAAATACCTAAACAAACGCTCAGCATCGCAGACAGAGAAGTGTTGCGCACACACACACAATCGCACGAAAAGGGGGATCCCCCAAAACAGAAACTGCGGTTTCGATCGCATCGCAGAGAGGGCATTGTAATTCTCTCTGAACCTCTAGCAACACCGCGTGTTCCATCACTAATTAATTAATACCTCGCTAATTATACGACATAATTCATCCAAAATCCATAGGCTTTTGGTCAGAGATATGATGAATGCACATGCAAAATTTGGGGCAGATTCAAGCTCGCCGTCGTGAGATATCGCGTTCATCTAACAGACAAACAGACAGACAGACAAACAGACAAATACCTATCAACATACTTACCGATCTTAAGATCGATAAGCAATTAGGTGATCATAGTCTCTTGTCCGTGAACCAATCGGAATATGGGCAAGGTTGCCAGATCCCAACGATAAAAAAAAGTTAAATCAAGACATAGAAAAGCCAGAATGAGTTAACAATTTTACCAAGTACAAAAGCCCCATGATTTGTCGGATTTGAAGCCCTTGGCACAATAGTGGATTTGCACAGTTTTCAATATGCTGATGTAGAGCAATCACTTAATTTAGATTAATTATATAGAATAGAAGGTTATAAATTTTCTCTGATTTTTGTAAAAGCCTATATTTCACCCAATATTTTGCAGTCGTTTTTCACTGGAACACTTATTAATAGCGTCGCGCTTGTCCATCTATTTTGCAAACTTGGTGCCCAGTCAAGAAGATAAGGCCTTACCGCACACGTCTACATGTACCGAAACGCGACCTCCATGTACATCAGGGGTCGGAAGTCTATGGCCCGCGGGCCATATCCTGCCAGCGATGCTTCACTGAAATTTGGAGACAAAACGGCGGCTGCGAATTTCTTGGGATGCAATAAAATCCATATTTATTCGAGAGATGTGTGAAGCTTGATTTTATAAAATGTTATATACTTGAAGGAAATCTCTATCCAGATTTGACAAACCGTGACTAACCATGCGAAAAAAAATTCAAATCGATGCCTGGAAGTACATATGCGTGCAGAAAATTTATTTTCGAAACTGAACATTACAAAGAACAAGCGGAGAACTAGGATTAGTGATGCCCAACGACTAACATTCCATGATGCCCATTTGAAAAATGTTTTTTTTTGCATCTTGGTTTCGTCCGGTGCGTCGCCTGATGTCGAAAAGCTATACATTAAATTTTATTTGTAAATTTGTTGTCTTGTAAGACGGCTTGAGTTTACGAGTCGTCGCAGTGACTGCTCGCTATTTAAAATTTTAACTTCTGATTTGGGTAAAAATGTGATTCGTCAGCCACCCATTCGCTGTTTAGCTTTCCTAAAAAAATATGTGCGGCCCGCTAAGATTTGAAACCCTTAATTTTAGCCCGCATGCGAAAAAATGTTGCCGACCTCTGATGTACATATATTTGGACATTCTTCTCATGTTTTCAAGAAGTACTGAAACTATTATCACGTGATTTCAAAATTCATCCTGATCAACTTGACTGACTGCCACTGTGACGTCAGAAACGTAACTATTGTCAAAGAATCCAATAGGTAGTATGCCAGAACAAAAATATGAATAAACCAAGAAAACTAGTTTATGTTGAAAGAATAAAATTACTAATATATTTCAAAACATCAACTTTGATTATCCTTATTCTACGCACGGAGTAAGCTTTTTTTTTGAATGTAACCTTTTTTTAAATATTTTGTACCTTTGTCATTTGGAACCAAGTTGAATTATCTGGTAACATATAATGAGGTAACTTCTCAGGCATAGTTACGAATGTAACGTTCTGATTGGACGAAATAATATTTCCATTGTTCTGAGTTTCCCTGGTAACAGAAGGTCAGATTTCCGTTATAAATTGATTTCTGCTGTTTGCTAAACTGCACTTCAAATTGTGAGAAATCGTTAAAAAGATTAACCAGCTTCCGATATCCACCAACAGGTAAAATGAATCTAATTAAATATAACGTTAGACTTATGAAAAATATAAATACCTAGATCAATTTGCATAGAGGTGGTTTTGTAACGATGTATATCGTATTGCATTGTTGAACCACTGAAAACATGTCAGAAATATGGAAATATACATTGATAAACTCGATACAAGACAAAGTTTTATTAAATATATAATCGCAAATATTATAACAGAAACAGACATGAAATCTACCCACAAAAGTATCATCCATTTCTGGAAACTTTTGTGATAGAACTGCTGACGCAAGATCGAACGCGAACGCAATGCTTGTGCCAAAAGTTCTGTGTGTCAGGTCCAAAATAACTTTTGGACACAATTGGCACATTTTCGTTTTTTATTATGTATTTTTTTTTATCTCCGTTTGGTATTAAATACAATTGAACATTCACGTTTCAGGGTTGATTTTAGACGCCAATTGCTTGAATAAAATCTGCTCGTTGGAATACAAGTCGAAAAACTTGCTGACAAATCTGTAAGTATGAATGAGGAAACTGTTGAAAGATCCTCAAATATGTCAGCTACTGATGAAGAGTTTGATAATAAGGATGAACTCTGTCCCCGCGTTGGCATACATCTTCAGAAAAGTACAAATGAATCGGCATGTAAATACGATGGTATGTATACACTTGACTTGGAGTCATTGTATTTATATAAATAACCTATGTGCTGATTTTGTTTTATCCAAATATAGATGTTAGACACAAAATTGACTACTTGGTCTGCAGTTTTATTTCTTGCCAAGAATCAGTTTGATGTTGCGTTGATAATTCATATTCTGTTTGAAAAATAATATATATTTTCAATGAATAGGTTATTAATATAAGATGAATTTTTTTCACAAATTCTGTTAATGTTGTATGCACAATTCAGACGTATGATTTTTTCAATTCTTCAAAATTATCATATTTGAAACATTTGTAACGGAGCAAAGAATTTCCAAATATATAACTTCACAATTGCACATTTCAGAAACCGATAGAAAGCTTTCTTGGAATAGCCGACCAATTGAAAAAGAGAGTATGTTGTCAGCGGTCGTCAAAAATACACCTCGTGTGGAACGAGATGGTGGAGATGCAAGTACTGGATGTAAAATAAAATCCGAAGTTAAATTCATGTCAAACGCTTGCGAAGACAAGGTAATTATTTTATTTCAATTCACTACGACTGCAATATGCATGAAAATAGTAACCCAATGGTATCAAATTATTAACATTTATTGTGTTTATTTTAGCGTTTGAAAGTACAACAAAAATTTGTTAATCTGGAGACCAAAAACAACACTGGTCAATCTGCGGATCAGACTGTAATGGTAAGTTTGAGAGGTCGAATATATAACAAAAAAAAAGAAATCTGCTAAGAGCAAAATGATAAAAATATATTTGTTATATTCAGGAAAGTAATGATCGTTCCAGCACAAACACGTCTCGACGCCAGCTGGAAGATGCTTTGATGGCACTTAACATCACACGAGCTCATGCAGATAAAATGCGCAATCGGTTGCATTCATGTTCATCCACCTTGAAGGAACAAACCGATGATCTTCGTATCTCATCACGTGCTTTATCGTCAGCTTTAGATAAAGTGGAGGAATACAAGAAAAAGTGGCAAGAGGAAATCTCTCTGAAAGAGGGCGTTTTGAGAAAAATAAAAAACCAAGAGAGTAGAGCAAGATTCTTGCAAAATCTAGAGACTGATTTGAAGCTTTTTCAACGTGGATATGAGAAGCTTGGTGAGCTTTTCGAATGTAAACTGTCTTTACAAAATATTAATGAAAGCTCAACGTTCATGTGGAACAAAGTTAAAAATCTGCTCAATTTTGTCGATCACGTGCAAGTTGCAGCTTCACTTGCCGCTACTGCTCATGAACTACAACTGAAGGAACGTACTGAAGCATTTGAACGTGAGAAATGTGTCTGGCAAAACCTTTTAAAAAACAAAGATGAAGTTTGTGAAGCCAGGATGATCCGACTAAGATATGAGAACAACAAGTTGAAAGAAGAATTGAATGCAGCGCATGAAACAGTAGAACAGACGAGAGATTTACATCGACGAGAGAAAGATGAAAGTGAAGAGATATTTAAGAATGATGCTTATAAAATAGGAATGCTTGGGTGCATTAGCAAACAAAACTATAACTTGTTGTCTCAATCGCATTCATCAATGAAAGTGTTATATGAGAAAAATACTAAAATCTGTCAATCAATGGAAAAAGAAAATGCTGATCTGCGGGTCGACATGAAGAGAATTGAATCTCTTCTCATTCAGATGACAAATGAGTTCAAACCAGGAAACATTCAGAAACAAGACAAATCAATCGAGTGTAACGTTCCTATCATGCAATATGATGAAATAAAAAAACAAAAACATGATTTGATGAAGGAAAATGAGAATATGAAGCAATCTTTGACTAATGTCAGGAAAGAGTTTGTTAGAAAAAACAATACATATAACCGAATGTATTCCAACTTCCAACGTCTGAAATCAGCGTATCATCAACAAGAATTGACTTTTCAACATCTACAAGCTGACAATTCAGCGTTGCGCAAATTCATTGAAAGAAAAGATCAAGGCGCCTCGGATACCAATAGAGAACTGTCTTTACGGCAGACCGTTGATAATGAGAATCCGGTTTGTAAACGTCAACCATTGACTGTACCTTGTGATAAAATTGTAGGAGAATCTGCCACAACTAATCTCGACAACAGAGATGGTACTCTGGAAAAACTGGAATTGTCGTCGATAAAAAGTTGTCTGTTAAAGAAAGGAAGTCGTAGCATTACTGACATTTCCGAAGAAAAGACAAAACCGGTGGAAAATTTTGCGACATCTACACCGGTGAAAAGAACCTTAAAACAAAACCTGAAACCTCGCACGGTTCCCGCAATATGTCCTTCCATCGATTCTGACCGATCTGAAACTTCAGCAAGACGTAGGCGTTCAGAGAGCGCAGTTGAGCAGACAATAAATGAAACCAGATATACCGATGATAAACGTCCCACTGGAAAGAAAGACAAAAATAGCAGATCCGTTTTTAATCGAAAAACTGTGCAATCGTGTGACGAAGACATTCATGTAACGGGATCTAATATTATAAAGGATTATGATTTGAATAGAAAGCCAGGAAATTTTGGCATGATTTGCTCTCCTATATTGGATAGACCAAAAAATCGTCTTGTAGGCATTCCCATGTCTGAACAAGAATTTCAGAGACTAGTCGGATCGAAGAACGAAGATAATTCCACCTTGAAGGACGATGGATATCATACTTTATCTGATACGGATCATGAAATGAAGTCAGCTCATGCCTCAATGTCAAATACGCGTAACAATTCAAATTCCTTTAGTCTAATATCCTCTGCACCTGAGTTGAAAGATAAAATCTCACGACGGATCAATCGTACTCCTAAAATACCACACAAAAATATCAGCGATCAGTACTTGGTGACGTATAGAGGAGTTACATTTGATGTAGCATCGTTTAATATAACGCAAATGCGTCACATTTCATGGAACGAAGGATTTTCTGAATCTCAGGAAGAAATGCACAAGTTTATTGACTTTTTAGCTGAAGTAGCTCTAGAATTGGACCATGATCCAGACTGGTGCAAAAGACATTCACTTGGAAAGTCGTCAGATTGGTTAGAACTGAAACACTTGCTATGAAAACATTTACTCTTATGTCATGTAAACATCGCTAATTCTATGCAATGATGCTTCCCATTTAACGTATATTTTATTTAGCCGTTTTTTTTTTATCTTCATTCGGCTTTTTATTTTTTCTATTTATTTTTATTGAACTGTTTATTAGACCATGATTTTATTAAAGTAACATGCCAATTTGGTGAATATTTGTTTACCAGTGTCATATTTTTTATGATTATTTTTATCAATTTCATGATTATTAGTTATAAAGAGAAATTTTCATCTTCCCGGTAGTATTTTTAATAAAAGGTTGTTGATGAGTGATAATAGATTTTTTCTTGTATTTCTATCTCTTCAATTTACTTGCTCAATGAAAGTTAAGAAAGATTTAAAGTGTCAGGAATTAGAGTAAGTAAAAATAATATGAGGTAAACACGATTTTTTGTAAACTTATCTTGGGATCTAATTACGCTCTCAAAGTTTTATATTATGTATCGCCGTGATCGGATATCGGTCCACATAAAAATTAAGAATTAACCGTAGGCGGTTGCAAAGACTTCTGTACTTTTGTATTACGGGACCGTAAGCGCTTCAAACATGCGAACATGTCTGACATATACAGTGTTTCCCCGAAAATGAGACCGGTAACAATAAAAATTATTCGTCGTATCTCCCTTAATAATTTCAGTATCGGTACACTACTAGGCAGATTATTATTTCTTGGATTCGGGTAGACATTTACGACTTTGTTTGATTCTTGTAAGCCACAACATGGATAATTTTTCCAAAAGAAAAGGTAACAATCAAGTAAAGAAAAAAAAGGAAAACTCGAAGAGTTGTAGTGAGAAAATATGACTCTGATTACAGGATTAATCAAGTTCATTGACAGATTGATGAAGGAAACGAGATAGCGATCGAAGACCGCCGACTTATCGATCTAGCGGTGTGTATTCTTCGCTCTGACTCGATAGCGACACCGCGTGTCCCATCACTAATTAATTGAAAACTATACGACATCGAATTATCATTCATCCAAAATCAACAGGCTTCTGGTCACCACTGTCACGCCAGCCAAATACCAGCCAAATATCTAATTTAAATGCCCGAATTTCATATTATAGTGTTTCCGCGTCAAATGAAATGTACCTACTACGTAAACTAATAGTTTGGGCATCACGCTATGGGTGGATTTATATTTAGGACTGACATGAGAACTCAACGCAACAAAAAAATTTTGGTGCTTTCCTGCGATTTTTCGAACTATTTTGGGTTCGAATATTGGGAATTGTAAAAAAATTGAAAATTTTGGTAAGATAACCGATTTTTTTAAACTTTTCCGGTCTCGGGGGCAAAAATATGAATTTACCAATGAATAGAGGACTGACATGAAAACTCAACGCAATAAAGAAATTTTGGTGCTTCCCTGCGATTTTTCGAACTTTTTTGGGTTCTAATATTGGGATTTCAAAAAAGTTGAAAATTTTGGTAAGATAACCGATTTTTTTGAACTTTTCCGGTCTCGGGGGCAAAAATATGAATTTACCAATGAATAGAGGACTAATATGAGAACTCAACGCAACAAAGAAATTTTGGTGCTTCCCTGCGATTTTTTGAACTTTTTTTGGTTTGAATATTGGGAATTGTGAAAAAATGTAAAATTTTGGTAAGATAACCGATTTTTTTAAACTTTTTCGGTCTCGGGGGCAAAAATATGAATTTACTAATGAATAGAGGACTAACATGAGAACTCAACGCAACAAAGAAATTTTGGTGCTTCCCTGCGATTTTTTGAACTTTTTTTGGTTTGAATATTGGGAATTGTGAAAAAATGTAAAATTTTGGTAAGATAACCGATTTTTTTGAACTTTTCCGGTCTCGGGGGCAAAAATATGAATTTACCAATGAATAGAGGACTAACATGAGAACTCAATGCAACAAAGAAATTTTGGTGCTTTTCTGCGATTTTTTTAACTTTTTTGGGTTCGAATATTGGGCATTGTAAAAAAATTGAAAATTTTGGTAAGATAACCGATTTTTATAAACTTTTCCGGTCTTGGGGGCAAAAATATGAATTTACCAATGAATAGAGGACTAACATGAAAACTCAACGCAACAAAGAAATTTTGGTGCTTCCCTGCGATTTTCTGAACTTTTTTGGGTTCTAAGATTGGGAATTGTAAAAAAATTCAAAATTTTGGTAAGATAACCGATTTTTTTGAACTTTTCCGGTTCCGGGGGCAAAAATATGAATTTACCAATGAATAGAAGACTAACATGAGAACTCAACGCAATAAAGAAATTTTGGTGCTTCCCTGCGATTTTTCGAACTTTTTTGGGTTCTAAGATTGGGAATTGTAAAAAAATTGAAAATTTTGGTAAGATAACCGATTTTTTTGAACTTTTCCGGTTCCGGGGGCAAAAATATGATTTTACCAATGAATAGAGGACTGACATGAGAACTCAATGCAACAAAGAAATTTTGGTGCTTTCCTGCGATTTTTTGAACTATTTTGGGTTCGAATATTGGGAATTGTAAAAAAATTGAAACTTTTGGTAAGATAACCGATTTTTTTGAACTTTTCCGGTTTTGGGGGCAAAAATAAGAATTTACCAATGAATAGAGGACTGACATGAGAACTCAACGCAACAAAGAAATTTTGGTGCTTTCCTGCGATTTTTTTAACTTTTTTGGGTTCGAATATTGGGCATTGTAAAAAAATTGAAAATTTTGGTAAGATAACCGATTTTTTTGAACTTTTTCGGTCTTGGGGGCAAAAATATGAATTTACCAATGAATAGAGGACTGACATGAGAACTCAACACAACAAAGAAATTTTGGTGCTTCCCTGCGATTTTTTGAACTTTTTTGGGTTCGAATATTGGTGATTGTGAAAAAAATAAAAATTTTGGTAAGATAACCGATTTTTTTAAACTTTTCCGGTCCCGGGGGCAAAAATATGAATTTACCAATGAATAGAGGACTGACATGAGAACTCAACGCAATAAAGAAATTTTGGTGCTTCCCTGCGATTTTTCGAACTTTTTTGGGTTCTAATATTGGGAATTGTAAAAAAGTTGAAAATTTTGGTAAGATAACCGATTTTTTTGAACTTTTCCAGTCTTGAGGGCAAAAATATGAATTTACCAATGAATAGAGGACTAACATGAGAACTCAACGCAACAAAGAAATTTTGGTGCTTCCCTGCGATTTTTTGAACTTTTTTTGGTTTGAATATTGGGAATTGTGAAAAAATGTAAAATTTTGGTAAGATAACCGATTTTTTTAAACTTTTCCGGTCTCGGGGGCCAAAATAGGAATTTACCAATGAATAGAGGACTAACATGAGAACTCAATGCAACAAAGAAATTTTGGTGCTTTCCTGCGATTTTTCGAACTTTTTTGGGTTCCAATATTGGGAATTGTAAAAAAATTGAAAATTTTGGTAAGATAACCGATTTTTTTGAACTTTTCCGGTCTTGGGGGCAAAAATATGAATTTACTAATAAATAGAGGATTAACATAAGAACCCAACGCAACAAAGAAATTTTGGTGCTTTCATGCGATTTTCTAAACTTTTTTGGGTTCTAAGATTGGGAATTGTAAAAAAATTGAAAATTTTGGTAAGATAACCGATTTTTTTGAACTTTTCCGGTTCCGGGGGCAAAAATATGATTTTACCAATGAATAGAGGACTGACATGAGAACTCAACGCAACAAAGAAATTTTGGTGCTTTCCTGCGATTTTTCGAACTATTTTGGGTTCGAATATTGGGAATTGTAAAAAAATTGAAAATTTTGGTAAGATAACCGATTTTTTTGAACTTTTCCGGTCTTGGGGGCAAAAATATGAATTTACCAATGAATAGAGGACTGACATGAGAACTCAACGCAACAAAGAAATTTTGGTGCTTCCCTGCGATTTTTCGAACTTTTTTGGGTTCGAATATTGTGCATTGTAAAAAAATTGAAAATTTTGGTAAGATAACCGATTTTTTTGAACTTTTCCGGTTCCGGGGGCAAAAATATGAATTTACCAATGAATAGAGGACTGACATGAGAACTCAACGCAACAAAGAAATTTTGGTGCTTCCCTGCGATTTTTTGAACTTTTTTTGGTTTGAATATTGGGAATTGTGAAAAAACGTAAAATTTTGGTAAGATAACCGATTTTTTTAAACTTTTCCGGTCTCGGGGGCAAAAATATGAATTTACCAATGAATAGAGGACTAACATGAGAACTCAACGCAACAAAGAAATTTTGGTGCTTTCCTGCGATTTTTTTAACTTTTTTGGGTTCGAATATTGGGCATTGTAAAAAAATTGAAAATTTTGGTAAGATAACCGATTTTTATAAACTTTTCCGGTCTTGAGGGCAAAAATATGAATTTACCAATGAATAGAGGACTAACATGAGAACTCAACGCAACAAAGAAATTTTGGTGCTTCCCTGCGATTTTCTGAACTTTTTTGGGTTCTAAGATTGGGAATTGTAAAAAAATTCAAAATTTTGGTAAGATAACCGATTTTTTTGAACTTTTCCGGTTCCGGGGGCAAAAATATGAATTTACCAATGAATAGAAGACTAACATGAGAACTCAACGCAATGAAGAAATTTTGGTGCTTTTCTGCGATTTTTCGAACTTTTTTGGGTTCTAATATTGGGAATTGTAAAAAAGTTGAAAATTTTGGTAAGATAACCGATTTTTTTAAACTTTTCGGTTCTCGGGTCAAAAATATGAATTTACCAATGAATAGAGGACTGACATGAGAACTCAACGCAACAAAAAAATTTTGATGCTTCCCTGCGATTTTTTGAACTTTTGTTGGTTCGCATGGCGGATCAAAAACCGCGTTCACTTGATTAAAAAGTAATACAGGGAAAATTTGGAATAAAAAAGTAATAGCCTTCTGGCAAAAAATTTATAAACCACTACAAATTTCAAAGCAATAGGCCCAGTAATCTTCGAGAAAAGCTGTTTTTTAATATGTGTCAAAGACCAACAACAGCAACATAATAATAATAATAACGAGAATATCGGTCGCTGCGGTTTCGATTCGAAAAATTCTGCAAACCCGAACTGGATTGTTTCGATTAGTTTTCAGCCAATATCAAAAATGTAGAAAACAATAGCCAACTCCCCACGTCATCGTTGAATTACTACTCGAAGAAATACTTTTATGAAGAATTCTGCAAATCCGAACTGGATTGTTTCGATTAGTTTCTAGCCAATAGCCTATTTACCAATCCTATATTTTGTGTCAAATACAACAAATACCTATCAACATACTTACC